TAGTTTACAATTTACACAAAATGAAAATTTCTTGAAAAAGAATCCACTAATCTGTCTTTGACTGCGAATGGATCTTTTACTGCCACGTTTCTTTCTTCTTCTTTTTCTCTCTTTTTGCAAATTCGCATATATCGTTTTGATTTTATATTCATTCTGAATTTCTCACGTTGCGTTTTACTCTATCAATACAGATTTTTCGACTTTCTCTTTCGATTACAGAAAGCCCTTGTTTTTCGGTAACAAGCGTCAAGCCAGACAAGCTGGATACGATTAAAGTTGTTTTTTTCGAGAGGCCGAAAGAAGCCGTTTATTGTCGTTTGTCGTCGTGCAGCCGCAAAAAGGGGATAGAAAATAAGAGGAGGCTGAAAGAGAAGGAAACGAGACCCTGAAGCGACTTAAAACTCTTGTCTAGACCAAAAGAAAAAGAATTGGAAAAATACGAAACACGATCCCGCCACTTTTACGGACAATCCGCTCGTAAAATTCCGACCAAATTCGATTTGAAGTTTCCACGATCTCATTTGTATTCTTTTATTCCGTGAATCGCCCGTCCGCGCCATCATATAGCTATATGGTCAACGAGCCGAATAATCTGACAGTACATCATGAACAGCAGTGATAACGACGATAACATGACGGGAAAGATTTGTTTAAGCTGGTAGAGCCAACTGTTTCTCTATGAAACCTAAAATGTAATATATTTTTAGCTTCATATAATTTTCATGTGATTTAGCTGATGTAAAAGTTATCTTCCCTTCAAGAATTTTTAAAGATATTTTTAAAAATTAGTTAAGGTTTTAAAAATTAGTAAAGATTTAAATATATGAAAAACCATTAGGATCCCTCTCAGATATATTTGATTTTAAAGGCTAATAAAATATGAGCATAATTATTAAAAAACATTATATATAATTTTCATGTGATTTAGTTGATATAATGTTACCTTTCCTTCCAGAATTTTTAAAGAATTTTTTTTGAAAATTAGTTAAAGGTTTAAATATATGATAAATAACATTAGCATCCCTTTCAGATAAAGTTATTTTCTCTTCAAGAATTTTTAAAGAAATTTTTTTTTTAATTAGTTGAAATAAAATGTGAGCATTATTAAAGAAAAATTTATATATAATTTTCATGTAATTTAGCTGATATAAAATTATCTTCTCTTCAAGAATTTTTAAAGAATTTTTGTTTTGAAAATTAGTTGAAGGTTTAAATATACGAAAAAAAACATTACCATCCCTCTGAGATATATTTGATTTTAAAGGCTAATAAAATATGAGCATAATTATTAAAAAAATTATATATAATTTTCATGTGATTTAGCTGACATAAAGTTATTTTTTCTTCAAGAATTTTTAAAGAATTTTTAAAAAAAATTAGTTGAAGCCGAAAATATATGAAAAAAAAACATTACCATCCCTCTGAGGTATATTTGATTTTAAAGGCTAATAAAATATCAGCATAATTATAAAAAAAATTATATATAATTTTCATGTGATTTAGCTGACATAAAGTTATTTTTTCTTCAAGAATTTTTAAAGAATTTAAAAAAAAATTAGTTGAAGCCTTAAATATATGAAAAAAAAAACATTACCATCCCTCTGAGGTATGTTTGATTTTAAAGGCTAATAAAATATGAGCATAATTATTAAAAAAAAATTACACACTTTGGAAACTAATAAAACGATCCGCAAGTTTGACAAAGAATTACACATTTCCACTTGTTCTTTCTGACATTCTTCGGCGAGCAGTTAATATTAACGGAATCGTGATGTCTTTTAGTAGAGCGTAATGAAGATTGCTTCTGCGAACGCAGTTTGAATAATCGAGACTACGGCCGCTGCTGTTGCAATTCGAGATTGACGCAACTCGCGAACGGGTAATTAATACGAACGGTAGTCCAATTATACGCCGGTACATTAATTCGGCGTAACGCTCGCGCCGACAAACCGGCGGCGAATCAATATTTTATTCGTAATTTGTCACTCGCGCTCGTTCTCGTAACACGTTCGCTATACATACATATATGCAAATGCATGTATGTGTGCACGAATTTAATGACGGGACCGACCGCAGATGGGTGCGCGACACGCGATTACCATTCCGACAGGAATTAGTTGCGATAAATCAATCCGAAAGGCGCGAGATTTTTTCCAGATGGATGCTACCGATCCCCACAATAGGATGTTGCGAAATCAACGAAAATTGTGAAGGAATCTTTTCGATACCAGATTCAAATTCTGCTTTTTTCCCCATTTTTTTGTCTTAAAATTCGACCAAATGTCCGCGATGAAAACTTATATTTTTGTATCTAAAATCTTGTCACTTGCATAATTTGTGTTCTATTCCCGAACATAAATTAAAATTTATAATGCGGAAAAAGAAAGAGGACATAAAAGCAAATTGAAATTTCAATTTGATTTTATGTGTGCGAAATATTTTTAAATAATTACAGCTTCGATAATAATTGATGAAACAGTTTCCAAGAATATATAATATATACCATATAAAAAATATGATATGATCTCATTATATATCGGATATTGATAAATTAGATTGACAAATTTTGAAGAGAAATATAAAAGACTTTAAAATAAACATTTTATTTTTTCTACGACGTTTTTAGTTTTATATTATATGGTATGAAAAAAATAGGAGTTTGTGATTTAAACAATAAACAAATATATATAAAGTGGAAAAATTAAAAATTAATTTATTCTTTTTATAGTAAGTATTCAAAAATTCCGCCATCAATTTTAATACAAAGGTGACAAACTGAAAAGTTACAAATTCATATCTCATATCATGTAGTATTAAAACTAAACGTTGTAGAGAAAATTAGTATTATCAAAATGTTTATTTTGAAGTCTTCTTTCTCTCATCAAAATTTGTCTATTTTTTTAACATTCTGTATATAATATTTTGAAAATGTTTTTTTTAATATTAAGTAACAATTTTAGAAATAACGAAAATGTATATTAATCACAGTTACATGTAATGCATGTAACGTCAACATAACGTTAAATATTTTTATATGAATTTCAAATGGAGTAATACATATTTTCGTCACAGAACCATCGATACTTAAAGTTTATATAAGAATATACATATATATTTGACGTTACGTTGACATGACGTTAGTAATCATCCAGCTTAACATATGTTTTTATATTTTTCTATATACAGATTTTCTATATTTCAATATAAAATCTTTTTATAAAATATTACGATAATTTTTATTTGAAAGAGTGTCAAAATAGATGGGAATAGAGACAAAAATAGATCTCTTATTAACATTAGCAGTATGAATAAAATATGAAACAATCAGTGATATATGTCAATGATATCGAGGTCGCTTAATTAAGTTGTCTCTCTCGCAAGTGGCGACTGTGTATAAAGGATAAATCTAGCAGAATCTAATGTTAGAGCATTTTCAAGAATAATTTATAGCCAGTTATTTTATTTCGAATACTTTCCTGGTATAACCGATAATATCAGCTAGGAATAGAAAAGAAGAAGAGAGAAATAAAACAGGAAGAGAGAGGAGTAACAGGAAAGAAAAGAAGGCAAGATGGACCATTGTAAATACATCTGACAGAAAGATGGGGTGGAGAAAGAGAGGCAGAAGTGTAAAGAGAGGGTTGAAGTAGAGAATAGTGGCTGACTGGATGGTTGACTTCGACTACTGGCGGTATTTTGCGTATTCAATTGCTCTTCACTGCCTTTCCCATCTTTCCATCTTACTTCGTTTTACTTATGCGAATATACAAATGCACATACTTGCACATATTTTATCTTTTTTGTTGGTCTCTTCAATCGATTTAATGATTCAATGATGATGATTCGAGTGACAGCGTGTCTCTAATATTTTTTAATTGAGATTATTTTATATGTTGCATTTCCACGTGGAAATAAAATGTATGATTAATTAAAAGTTTAGAAATATGTAGGTCATCTTTCGAGCAAATAAAAAAATAACAATTCTGATTGTAATATATTTTTTAATTACCTAATAAAAATTTTTTACATATAATTAGTATATAACAATATAAAATTGTAATTATATATATAATTTTATATTAATATTGGCTGACATATCAACATTAATATAAAATTTAATAAAATAATCAGGATATATTTATTTTTCGACCAATACTAGCTATAATTATTTTATTTATTACGACGTTTCGACCATCAGGTTTGGTCCTTTTGAGGTAAATGTTATGAGTAATAAAATTATCAAATCATTTTCAAAAGAAAAAAAGTGTTTAAATCGTGTAAAGAATCCGAAAATGTGATGATCATTCTGATCTAATTTTATTACTCATAACATTTACTTGAAAAGGACCAAAACCTGATGGTCGAAACGTCGTAATAAATAAAATAATTATAGCTAGTATTGGTCGAAAAACAAATATACTCTGATTTATTAATTGACTAGAATTATTATTATTATTAATTTATATAAAATTATAAACTCTATAATAATATAATTTATACACAATTTTTATATATTTTCTACATAATTTTATATTGTTATATAATGATTATATAAATAAAAATTTTTTTACAAGGTGTGAACAATTAATTGAAATACATAAAATGACAACAATTTAATATATATAATACAAATATATATATATATATATATATATATATTATATATATATTAAATTGTTGTCATTTTATGTATTTCAATTAATTGTTCACACCTTGTAAAAAAATTTTTATTTGTACATATAATTATTATATAACAATATAAAATTATGTAGAAAATATATAAAAATTGTGTATAAATTATATTATTATAGAGTTTATAATTTTATATATATATATATATATATATATATATATATATTTATCACTAGAAAAAAATTTCTCATACTTTCCTAAAAATATATTAAGTCGAGAGCAAGATTATACGTGATTTAAACACCTTTTATAATGATATAAAATATCAATTAGAGAGGAGGGATGAGAAAGAAGATGGAAATCAATGACAGAGTAGTAGTAGTAGTACGAGTCGTCGTTGTGAATCGACCGTCTTCACTGTAATTATGAATGGGCACATGTGTATACGTCAACCACGTGGTACCACATCTCTGTATCCATCGATAATGGCGATACCGTGACGACTTTCCGCATTCGCAAATGACTCGAAGAATGTTGATATGCAATCGAAGAAATATCTGCAGTTAACATTGGCGATACTTAAGCCACACATAGTCAAATCTCCTTTCGCTCTTCAGGTATGAGAATTTAACCTCGTTTTACTTAAAGGCAGGCAAAAAATCGCACACTAATTGAGTTCGCAGGATACGTTGAAAGTAAATCGATTCGCACTCTTGAAGAGAGCATCGAAATTTCGAAGATCATGACTGAAAGTTGCTCTGATTTTCAGAAGATTCGTGATTTAATAATCGACAATAATTTCAAAGTTGTCAGATCGCGCAGGGTGACGATGCCACGCGAGGAGGCCGAGCTGTTTTATAAGGAGCACAGAGACAAGTTCTTTTACAATCGTCTTGTGACTTTTATGTGCAGCGGCCCATCCGACATTCATATCCTGGCTGCCCATGATGCTGTCGCAAAGTGGCGACAGTTGATGGGTCCTACTAAGTCCTATCAAGCCCAATATAATGCACCGGACACCATCAGAGGCACGTTTGGTCTGTCGGATACTAGGAATGCAACACATGGATCTGGTAATAAAAGTGAGAATATCGAAAATGATGAGCCTTGTGTAAAGAGAACGTGTTATTTGCTACAGATTCAACAGAATCAGCCGAAAGAGAGATTGCAATATTCTTTAAAGACTTTGATACGAAGAAGTGGTATGACAGCGAAGAGATATTTTTTAATTTTGGAAGATTGCATTTTGATCCAATATCCTTCGTCCATACTATTGACAAGAGTTACTTAGAAAAGCAGAATGAACATATTGAAGAATAGTCAGTATTGTTAATTTATTAAATAAAATATATTACTTATTTTTATAATAATGGGAGATGCTTCTATCTACTTAATTATCAAACTCGATCCAATATCCTTTATACATACTATCAACAAAAGTTATTTAGAAAAATAGAATAAATATATTGAAGAATAGTCAGTATTGTCAATTTATTAAATAAAATATTATTTACTTTTATAATAATAGGAGATGCTTCTATCTACTTAATTATCAAACTCGATCCAATATCCTTTATACATACTATCGATAAAAGTTATTTAGGAAAGCAGAATGAGTATATTGAAGAATAATCAGCATAGTTAATTTATTAAATAAAATATTTATTATTTTTATAATAATAGGAGATGCTTCTATCTACAGAATTCTCAAACTCAGAGTACATGCATAGTAAGAAAATAGTTTAGTGAATCTTCTCCATTGTATAGCATATTCAAACTGCTAATCAATTTTTCATACTCATGAAAAATATGTACAATCATGATTCTAGCCATTTTATAACAAGATATACAATTACATTCACTACATTGGACCCTTAAATCAGTAGATGGTGCATTGAAACATAGTTGGACAATCAATATCTAAAAATATGCATTGTATTTTGACTGAATCATTCCAACTTATGCATTTATTTTCACGTAAACTTTGGGACGCGAGAACACTTTGATCCCCTCTTCCAGTTTATTCAATTGCTTCTCTATTTCAATCTTGCGTCTCTGTGCTCTTAAAGTATCTGTTTTTATCGGCATCATATTTAATTCATTGACGTAATCTTGATAATCTGCATCAGAGAGAATAAATTTCATTAATTAAATATAATTAATTTTCTAATTTTTTAATCTTCTAATATATATATATAATGTATTAAAATATATACACACTTTTCTTTAATAGCCGTAACGTCTCTTTACGTTCATGGTCAGGTATGGGCACATGACCTTCTGGACAGTCAGAATGCATTGCTTCCACCTTGGCTTTTTGCTCCTTTTCTTGCGCTTCCTTTCTTTCTCGAAGATATCTATTGAAAGAAATGGTTACAAGATACAATAATCTAGCAAATTATATATGTATTTACTTATATGATTTAATAAGTTTTATCAAATTAATATATCTAGCTTTTCTTTCATAATTATACAAGTATTTACTCAACGCTATATGTATTCTACAATTTATTTTATATATATATATATATATATATATATATATACATTTATGTAAAAGAAATTAAAGAATTGCCAATTTCATAGTATAATTACATAAAATAATTTGAGAAAATTGTACTATAATATAAAAAAAAGTGATTGAGACATACGAGAAGAATAATAGAAAAAATTCTTTTCAAAAATTCTTTTCATAGAGAGATAGAAAGGAGAAAAGTTACTTGCAATGTCGTACTTAGGAACAACACCCATGCGATAATTCGATGGTGGTACACCGTTGTTAAGCTGTATCGCCAATTTAGTAGCAATCGAAGTACGTTCTTTATTCAATTTAATAAAATCGATTTCTTCTCTAGGTACCGGCGATACGGAATTTCGTAAATCGACATTTTGCGCGTCTTCGACATTACACATATCGCCTCTATCTGTAGGTGAATCGAATTGATTCCTTACAGATCTCTCCTTTTGCTGATTTAAATCACCATTATTTGCTGTTTCATCGTGCTTTGTAACTTTCTTTGAGGGATACCTATGCAAAATAAATCAAATCAAAAACAAAATACTGAAAAACATCAAAAATAAATACTGAAATAATATAAGAATTGAATAAAAATTAGTGGATAATAAAATCATAAGACTCGAGAATTTTACATTTTCATTCTTTTTCTACTATTCTGTCTTAATTTAACACTTCCTATTTTTACAATATTTAAGACTAAAATCTATAACACAATATATATATTTACCGAATAACGCCTTCAGAATATATACTTTCCACTTGATCTGTATCTAAAGTCTGAATCCCTTGACTTCTATATTTTACAGTACTCTGTGAATTCATGTCATTATCAGCTTTGGTTCGAACATCTGGTTCGGATGAAATCTTTGACAGTGGTTTCTGCTGACTCTTATTATGTTTGCTAGTTTTTTTCTGTCTATCTGATATATTATTATTTATTCCCTGTCTAATAGTCTTTTTAGGGACAGCTTGCTTTTTATCCAGTTCAAGTGCATTGTTTCTATTTTCAATTTGTACATTATCCTTCACTTTATCAGTTGACGCTGAATGATTAGTTTTTGAATGAACATTATTTTTTGACACTAGATCAGCATGATGATTTTCATATTGTTTTTTTTTCTCTCGGAAACTGGTGACTACCCTTGCGGATACATTCTGGTATTTGTCTGTAATCTTGTGATGTTGGTGCAATTGCAATTTTTGTAGCTCTTCTATTTCTTTGTTAGTTTGAAAGCATTGTTCCATTCGTCGCAGACTTTTCATATTTTCCTGAATGAAATTCTTCCTTCTAACTGGTTCTATATAAAATACACATTGCACATTATTAGTTAATCTTTTCATATGCATCTAATTTTACATTATTTTTTAATGTACATTTACATATTTTTTTTTTTATACGCAGTGCATTATTCGAAATCTATTATTATCAAGTCTATCAGTTTAATTATTAAATAGAATTAATTCTTTTGAGCTTTATACAATTATTTTGACCAAATGATATGTAACATTATACTTACTTGGGTCAGGAAAAATGCCTTTCAATGTCGTTACTTTCATCTTGACAATAATATTTGTCAATGTTGTCACTCTGTCACATTTATAATTTGCATTTCCAGAATAGCAAAATTACCTCCAATTGACGTCTCTTTACCGCATAATTTTCATTTCGTGCACGTTGTCCTCGCCGTTACCACCTAAACAAATTTGTTTACATAGCATCCAATGATAGCTATGTATATACATACATACAACCTGATCTGTCAGAGCGCCAGTCTTGGTGATGTCGAGAGCTAAAACCATTCATGAAAACATTATGAATGGCTTATCGATGAATGGTCATGTAAGATGCGTATTTTCCAGCTGCAGCTACGTCACTTTATACATATATTTTTTTTTTACTAATATGTAACAACCCAGATATAGCCAATAATACATAATAATAATAACAGGGTTGGATAATAACTAGTTAATTAGTTAAAAGTTAAAAAAAAGTTAAAAAGTTAATAACTTTTAATTAAGTTTAGTTAATTTAAAACGTACTAATTTTTAATTTCAACTAGTTACTTTTGACCTTAAACTTATTAACTTTTTTCCTAAGTTAAATTTTTTATCTCAAAACCATTATCGTTTTTTTATAAGTTATATATATATATATATATATATATTAAAGTATTATTATAATTTTATGTTTATTTGTCACTAATTGTAATAACCAAAAAATATATATTTCTATATAAAAATCAAAATTTGTTATTATATATAAATTTGTTATTATAGATTTTAAAAGAATTAACCAAATTCTAATTTAATATAAAGGTTTTAAAAATTAACTTTTAATTTAATTTTATTCAATTTAATCTTATAATTTAACTTTAATTGAATTAATTTTTTGTACATGCAACTTTTAACTTAAATAAGCACCTATATATATGTATAAAACTTTAACTTAGTTTAAAAAAATCATTAACTTACCCAACTCTGAATAATATATAGCAGTAATAATAAATATTGTATATTACAATAAAATAATATAATTTAACAAGAATAAAAGCAAATTAGAAATGAGGACTATATAATTTAACAAAATGTTAATTATAATAAAAATTATTTAATTAAAATTAATAGTAATAGATATATATATTTAGAAAATATATCTGAGACAAATATATTATTGTTATTGTACTTATTGTAACGCCGTTATTGTCACAATTACTTTTTCTGGTAACGATCTTTACTTTTTTTATTTATAACGGTAATGATAAATTACATTTTTATAGTGACGATAATGAATTAACCATATTACTTGTATAGGTATATTATTATATTTGTTGAAAAATACACCTATATACATTAATTTCTTATGTAAAAACTCTGTGTACATTTATAAGTAATAAATTACAATTGCATAAATTATATAATCGATTTGTATCTAGTGATTAGATCATTTATTACTGTTTGTGAAACATAAATTCATACTTTTATGTGTATTTCCTCAAAATACATACGTTAATTTCGTATGTACATATTTTGTGTGCATATAATAATGATAAATTACAACGTATTTGTATCTAGTCAGCTTCTACTACAAATAATGTATTTTTGCATTATTCCTGTATGGAATACATAACTGCGAAATAGGACATCGATGATTTTACTAGCTGCCAAATATTATCGCATTAGTATATAAAGCATTCTAAAAATCTCATTATAATTAATAATGTACGATCATTCTTACCGTAGCGAAACACTCTAAGGATACCACAAACAATCCAGACACATTAATTTCAACAGATTTGCTGCTCCTTTGCAACATAAAGAATAACAGCTTTTGTGCGTGTAAAGGTGCTGTATACCACTGACTGCTGTATCTATAAAATAATTATCATTTAATGAATCACTTAATACATAGCGAAAAATTAGGAGTAAAGAAGTCACGCAGGATATGTTAAGCTGGGTATATATATACTTGTATACCCATCTTGAAACGCATGTACAATCAATGTTAGCAATATATAAAATTGTATCTTACATCATGGAATATACATCGTTGCTGTGATCTATAATTTCTTGCCCGATGTAGTTCATTAGAAACATAAGTGTAAGAAGTCCAATTACAAATCCGAAGTGCATTACAAATGTTTCTTTTTTCTCGAAAAGTGCATTTCGAAATATCTAAAACATCAGTAGAGAATAGTTATTATTAGTGACACATGTACAAAAGCTTGCTTAAATTTCCTTGAATAATTATGTTACAAAACAATTACTAAGCGAGAAATTCCAAAGAAAACAATAATGTAATTAGCACACGATTTGATATTAATGTTATTAGTTATCATTTATTTTTAAAACTTTCTGAATGTGTTCTTGTGATCTGCGAATTTTTTAAATTTTATTTATTATAAAATGTATTATATATATTATATATATATATATGTCTCTTTTTCAGAAATAAGATTATTAAGAACCCAACAATACTTACACCAAATATATTCAGGCTTAAACTAATTACAGTAATTAATGTTGTGTAGAGCAATGTGCCTTTAAAATGAGACGATAAAAATTTGGAAAACCTTTAAGACAAACAGAATAGAATGTAATTAAAATGATCACTATTCAGTTGTTATTGTGTATACTAACTTTATAGCTTGGCGATGGATTTTGACGGCATCAATTATTTCCTTATAAATCATAGTCCGCTTTTCTAGATGGGTATTTTCGAAGACTCTAATGGACATTGCTTTTTCGATGCGATAACTATGAATAAATTTTTTCTATAAATATACAAGTTAAGAGGAAAATAAAACTTTTAAAAACTATAGTGTTTATTTCTATTTTCAAATTGAAGTTGATATTTTTGATGGTACAAATAAACTAAGTAGCTGGTAATCATTAATTTTTGAAATAATTTTTATAATTTTACTTCAATTTACATTAAAGATGTTCAAACTCAAAGTTTAAAAGTTTTTGCATACAGAATAGTCAGGAATCAATAAAATTATTTCTTGTACAAGTGTTTCTTTATACCAATGCTTAATATCACATATATTATATTTTTATATGACTGTAATTGTGGTAAAAATTTTTAACAATTGTATAAATTTTACTTTGTACTTGTTGCATTTTCTTCATTTTAAAATGGTATTAAAATTATATTGACTTTTAAGTAAACTTTTTTTTAACTTTTGTAATGTGTAATAAGTTAATGGAAAATGTTGATTAGAAATTTTCAATTATTTGATCTTTTTTTTTTGAATGAAAATAATTAGAGCTTTTGATGCTATAAAAAATGCCGCATTTTTATTTTAAATGTGAAAATGTATACAAAAAAGAATATTATTTAGTTTGTGATCATGTTGCATGATTTATACAAAATTGACTGTATCACCACATTAAATATCAAACAAATGATTTCTTTGCAATTATATTTTCATAATTATTCTTGAATTAATTTTCTCACCTTGTAATTCGAAATAATCCACATAAATATACAACTACTGCCATTACTAATTGTCCGCCGCCTAGCGCCGCAGTTATCCCTATACAAATTGCTACGCTTATATGCAGTAAAATTAAATAAACATATTTTTCTTCATCCACAAAATATTCAGTTGCAATTTGTACCCTCTGATGTGATTGAGACTTATTTTGAAAAAAATATAGCCATATTGCCAGTAACATGAAACCCGCACCGCACATCAAGATTAACGTCACTAAAGACAATTAAAGAGAGATCCCTTAAATTGTTATATGTGCCGAAATATATGTTACTTATGTATGTTTCAAATTTTAATAATGTTTTCATCGTTTTATTGATTCATACTTTAATCTTATTTTCTATAATGTTTTTGCAAACTACTGATCGTAGAATTTTGTATATTTTTATCCTGATAAAATATTATTTATTAAACAAGAAATATGTATTATATACGTGTACAGATTTCTTGAATGCAATTTCCACCAACTTTTTATTTTAGACGTATGATAAAAATATGTAGGTTAAATGTTAAAATTGTTAGTGATATTAATTGAAATGTTTAATTTTTACAATTGTAATGTTTAATTTTACGCTTATTAATTAACCAGAAATGTCTTACTTATCTTTGTAGCATATTTGAATATATTTAAATACTTTTCAATAATAGCAATTTCATTTTCGTCATTTAATGTGTTATATATTTTTTGAAATTGCTCTAATACATATTTTATCTATAATCATAGTAACAATAACAACTATTATTGAAATATTAAACATTATTTTTAATTTAAAAAAATGATCTGTTTTATTTAAAAAGTCATTCGGAAATATTATTCGAACAAATAAAATTATGAAAGTTAACTTACATTATGAGCATTTAACCATATTGAGTTGTAGCACATCAGGTAAAAACTACCGACCAGTGTGACGGAAGAAACTTTGATGATAAATTCAAATGTACATTTTGTAGTTATAAACGCTGTCAACTGCATTTAATTAATTTATTAAATAAAAATTGCATGAAAAATATGTCCGCTTTTTATAATAGCTAATAATTTTTATTTTATTATATGTATATAAAATAATTTAATGAAATATTTGTAATTATCAGAATATTATTAGAATTATTCAATGTTTATTAAAATTATTAGTATCATTCAATAACTTGATTGTAAAATTTTTTTAAAGAACGCTTACTACGACTGATATTATTTTAGTGCATTTTTTTAGTATTTTATATAGTACATATTTTATAACATCATTAAAAAAATGCACATGTATCGTACAATTTATCAGAATGGCAAAGAACAATTATAAATAATTAAAATTTAAATAATGACCTAATAATTACAAGACACAGTAATACAATTTAAGATATACCATACCTGAAATATAATGAAACACATCAGAATACCCATAAATAAGATTCGTTGAAGTCGAACAAATAATGATTCCTGATAAGGCCATAAGCCAACTAAGAGTAGAAGAAAACGATTCAGTCTCAAATACTGGTTTACGATGCATATTATTTCTCGATGAGAATGTAGATGAACTTCACTATAAATGAATCAATGCAATTTTAACTTTTGTGTTTTTATGTTTTTTCTTGAATTTTGCATAATGTACTTCTCTTCTATTTCATAGAGATTGTAACTTAAATATTTCAATATAAACGCACGACAACATGGTATAAAGTATCAACATATGAGATCACAAACACAGCGAAAATATTTAGAATTTTACATCTCTAAGAATAATTTTTTTCTGTTTGTGTATGCTCACGTAGACAACGCTATAATTTAAGAAGTAAATTACGATATTGTTATAAACGATTTTAACAGGAATTATATATATATATATATATATATATATATATATATTTGAGTAATTCTTGAAATTTTTAACTGAATCGAGATACATTTAATTGGAGATGAGAAAAACTGAAATTTATATTTTTAACGTTTTTTTTTAATTTACACTTTCGTATCGATTTCTTATTTCGAGACAGTTATCATTTACTGCTGTTTATGAAGTAACTTGATATACTTGTTTAAAAATATATACGTTAAATCTGTGCACTTGTATATTATTATAATTAACTTTAATGTATTTAATATTATCAGTTTTGATCTATATTTTTTCAAGGCACACATACACATGACGTATATTTTCTAATTTAAAATATATATATATATATATATATATATATATTTGTTATATCGAGAAATAAATAAAAATGTTATTATATTTGTCGTTGGATTATTGAAACAATGTAAAAGGCAGGCAAAGAACGCTGTAAGGTAAGTTCTGTGTTATTTAATTTATCCTACATTTATTGGAGTTATCATTTACTACTACAAAAGCGGAAAACATTTGATAGTTAATTTTTGTTAGATACTGTATCTTTGCATTATTGTTGCGGAGAGTATATAACGGTGAAACAAGACATTGATGCTTTTTTTGCTGTAAGAACGGAGCGTATCTTTATTTGTGCAACCGGCGCGTGAAAAGTCGCTCTTTCCGCACATGATGGGATTTTAGAAAGGGCTCCCTTTTCACGCACCGGTCACACAAAATATTGTAGCCAAATGGAAATCAGAAAAACTGAAATTTACATTTTAGTGTTATTTTTTAAATACACTTGGATATATATTTCTTATTTCGATATGAAACAGATATCATTTATAGCTGTATATGAAGAAAAAATTAATATATTATTATATTTTTGTTTTCAAAAATATATACATTAATTCTTTATATCAATATATTTTTAAAATTAATTTTAGAGTATTACATATATGTTTTGTCCTATACTCTATTTCAAGACACATACCACATGACGTGTATATTTCATAGTATAAAATATATATTTATTATCAAAAAATAAATAAAAATTATATTATATTCTTTTCTCTTGATTATTGAAATAATACAAGAGACAGGCAATAAAATACTATAACTCTGTATTATTTTATGCTAAATTTATTGGAATCATCATTTACTACTTGAAATGCGGAAAATATTTCATGATTAATTTGTGTATGTGAGACAATATATCCTCACATAATTATTACTGCATAGAATATATGACGGTGAAATAAGACATTGATGATTTTATTAGCTGTACTAATGCTGTACGTCTTTTAGATTGCACTATTAAACATTCCTAATTGTAAGTCATATGTAAATTATGACATGCGATAATTTTTATCATTCCAAAACACTCTAATAATATTTCGAACATTCCGGCGATATTTAAGTTGAAATTTTTACTATCTCTTTGCAAAATAAAGTGTATCAGTTTTTGTAGGTGTAATAGTGCTATATACCATCGACTGTTGTATCTATAAAATAATTATTATTTTGTAAATAAGTAAGTTAATAATAATAAATGAAGATAATATATATATATATATATATATATATATATATATGAGATTTTAAATATGTACAATTGCGTGAACAATATATAAAATTGTTCCTTACATTGAGAAGTATACATGATTGTTGTGACTTGTAATTTCTTACCCAGCATAATTAGTTACGAACATATGTGAAAGGACGGCAGACACACTTAACAATAATGTAATAAACATCCTTCTTTATTTCCAAGTAATGCATTCCAAAAAATCTAAACATATGTTTATAAATTACTCATTATATAAATATGCTACAACAATATTTAGACAAGAAAAGTAAAATCAATTTCTATATTTATTATACATTATTTCCTTGTTTCTTAAAATTTTAGAATTCTATAATTAAGTCAATTCGATATTCGCATATCATCATTTTTATTATACATTACTTTGGCTTATATTTTTATCTCTAAATTTTATTAAATTTAAATTATTATTAGATGTCATACGTCTTGCTTAGAAATAGTTTTACAAACACGAAAAGTAAAATACTTACTGAAAAAATATTCAGGTTTAAAGATATTACACTAAATGGTATTAATGATAAGACTGAGCCTTCAAAAGTAGATATGAAAAAGTCGATGAGCCTTGAAGAAAATATTACTGTAAGTACTGTTCAATTATTTTTACATGCATACTAACTTCATAGCTTGGCGAGGAATTTCGATGGTATCAATTATTTCCTTATAAATCATATTATTCTTCATTTTAATATTTTCGATTATTTTATTCGGCATTGCTTGGTCCATACAACTGTGATTAATTTGTCTGTTGTAAAGACGTGATTCTCTCAAAATTGTATTAACAAAAATAAAAAACAAACAGATTTTATTTGCAGTCATACATTTCGTGTCTATCTTTAAAGTCATATATTTTCACCTTGCTATTTTAAACATTCCGCAGATGTGCATGATGTATCCTAAGAACATTATTGTGCTTGTCGATGCCAACGTAGTCAACCCAATACAAATAAATGAATCTATATGCAGTAAAAGTAAATAGAAATATTTTTTTTGACCGATAAAATATTCAATTTCGATTTTATTGGCTGATTCTGTAGTTGAGATGCATTTTTTTGTAAAATATTTGTTTCAACAATTTGCCAAATTGCTAATAAATTGATAATAAATGCACCTAATACGGCGAGCGCTAAGGTATTTAACATTTAAAAAGAAATAATTATATAAATTCTTCTGTTTTATGTTATAAAATGTATTACTTATACAAAATTTACAAAAATTTTGCTGTTGTTAAATCACTTTTCTGTTCTGATATTTTTGCAGAATGTTTAAAATATGTATTATTAGAATGATAATTTGTATAAATAAAAAGTTATATATTATGATCTTACACAAAGAGCTCTAATATTTATACATATATTAGAGCTTTTTTATGTTATACGTTCTATATATACATATGTTTTTCATCACGTAAATTTTATATTGTCTTTTGCTTTTGATTAAAAAATGATAAATGTAAATAAATTGAAGAGTCGAAGTATTTTATCAAAATTATTTTAATTTTTAACTTTGATCATGATTGGAATCTACTTAATTTTATGATTATATTTCTTGTATTTTTATGCATTTTCCATGTTTTTCATATATTGTTAATAAGAAATGCTCTTACATGTAAATATAATTATCCAACGTTCCGCGAAAGTTCCATATTTCCTAATGACAGCAATTTCTTTTTCATCTTTTAGCTTATTACAGATATACTGTAATTGATCCAACAAATTTCTTACCTATTATTATAACAATTTTTCATACATTTCTATTTTGAAAAAGTTGAAAATGTTGCATGTGTTAAAAATTAAGTTATTAAGAATATTCCTTTATATTCAGTATAGAAAAACAATTAACTTATGAAACGAATGTTAATCCAAAACATATTGTAATTAATAACGGAGAAAGAGGAGAATATTACGGACAACAGAACATTAAGAATAAAATTCAAAATGCATCTTGTGTTTATAAAAGCTGTGAGTTTTATTTAAACATTTCAATGAAAACTATATTAAAGAAAAAGATAATAATTGTTTACTTTAGTAATAATAAAACAATAATGTTCTTTGTAAAATATAAAAATATATAATAATGTAATGAAATTTAATAATTAATTTATATATAGATAAAATTTAATAATTAATATATATATAGATATTGTATTATTTATAATTAAAAATAATTTAATTAAATTTAAAAATTGCATATAAAAGTGACTGAGTATATAATGCATATTCTATAATAATATGATTAAAATATAGACGTACCTGAAATATAATAAAGCTAGTCTGAATAATAAAAAACATGATTGTCTGAAGCCGAACGAATTTTGATTTCTGATAGTCGATTGCGAGTAGGAGGACCCGGTTAAAATGTTGAGTTTTAATGCAGATCATTTTTCTGCGACCATAAGAAAACTTGAACTGCGGGAAAAAATGATAAAGCTTTATCTATTTCCTTTTTTATTCAAATTACGTATTATTGTATTTACTTTTTTTAGCGCAAATTTTATCATCAATTTTTTACTTCAAAATAAATACAAAATTGCACATAATATTATGAAAATGATGCTTGTAATTTAATTTTATAAGAAAAAGCGTTTAATCGATTGATTGCTAGGACATTTAAGTAATGTATATATTTCACACGCATATAGAGACACATCAGGTAACTTCGATCAAAGTCGGCGCAAGCGTAGTCGCTCTAATTTCGAGTAACGTAGTTTCACTCGTCTCATTCTTGTTTGTGCTCTCGTCGAGGAAGTTTGTCTTTTCAGAGGAATACAGCCAATTTTTTGCATGTGCTTGCAAATTATCTATAAATCGCTATCGCCGTAAAATATGAGGTAACTATGTGAATCGTAATTCAGAGCGTTCTATATTTGTAACAAGCCTGATTTAATAATTATTGCTTTTAATTAAAATATGCGATTTCGTATTATATTGCATCAACATTTTTGTTTAAAAAAAATAAAAACGTAGATATTTGAGAATCGCCAGACAGAATTTAAAAAAGTAAAACTCTTCTCTCGACCGTACTGGCAAATATTATTTATTAAATCACAACGTTTCGACTCTTCTTTGAGTCCTTATCAAGTGATTTGTAAAAATAAAAATAAAATTATAATTAAAAATAAAAAGACTGTCAATCTCCAGTAACTCGTCTAAGAGTCTTGACGTGTTGTCAAACCGACACTATATTTGTTCTTGACATCCTAAAATTATAATTTTATTTTTATTTTCACAAGTATGTTTTGCTTCTTTTTATTATTTTTTAATATTGTTAAGTGAAGTAATTTTTTTTTATTGTATTAATCTCTGGACTGTATTTCTTCTCTATGTATATCTAGATCACTTGATAAGGACTCAAAGAAGAGTCGAAACGTTGTGATTTAATAAATAATATTTGCTAGTACGGTCGAGAGAAGAGTTTTACTTTTTTATTTTTGTTTAAGTTTCTAGTGATATATCGTTGCTGTTTATGAAACAAATTGATATAATTATATTTGTTTAAAAATATAAATTAATTCTGTATATTAAATATTTTATGTGCATGTATAGTGATAAATTATAACCGGTTTGTATCTATATAGCCAGCTTCTATGTATCTTATTCGCATTATTCCTGCATAAAATATATGTATAACGGTGAAGGACATTGATGCTTTTGTTAGGCTACAAAAATGTTTTCTGTTTCATTAGTATGAAGCACTCTAAAAATCATATTATAATATTATAATTAATAATATACAATCATTCTTACCGTAGCGAAACACTCTAAGAATGCCATAATCAATCCGACGATATTAATAATGTTAACAGATTTGCTGCCTTTTTGCAACATAAACATCTGACTATGAAAAAAAATCTAGAAACTTTCGACTATCCTTTTGTTCTCAAGTTCTGTCTTGAGTATTCCATAATATATTTTTTTCTGTTATAGATTATAACATAAATAAAATACCTTAAGGTATTTTATTTATGTTATTATTTTAATATTTATATTATATGTCTTATACATACATATATATATATATATATATATATATATATAATATTAATATTAAATATATATATATATATATATAATATTAATATTAAATATATATATATATATATATAATATTAATATTAAATATACCTTAAGGCATTTTATTTGTTATTATATTAATATAATATTTATATTAATTAATATAAATACAGGAGCGCAATATAAAATACCATTTATAAACAGTGAGAATATTCGCAATTTTATATCTTCACTCTAGAAGGGATGGAAATTATTATCCATCGATTTTACCCCGAAAGAATATCAACAAGTGTTATTTCACACAAACACATTTACAGCGTAGCTTCGTGATCGAAATCGACGCAAGCGCAGTCGTCCTTTTTCAAGTAATGTAGTTTCATATGCCTCATTCTTGTTTGTGCACTCGTAAAAGAAGTTTGTCTTTCTAAAGAAATGCGGAGTCAATCCGTCTTACGTGTGCTGGCAAATTAGATAAAATTAACATCGATAAAATATAAGGTACTGTAAACCATAATTTAGAGTTTTCTCTATTTATAACAAATCAGACTTAATAATTGTTTCTCTTAATAAAAACATACACATATTTTTATATTATTTATTATTATATGAACAACTATATATATTAAGTTTTTTGTCACCATAATATTTTCTAGCATTTTGGTCGTTATTGCTCCATACGATAACTATGGTTAATTTTTAGCTATAAATATTACTTCGAAAATTGTATAGACAAATGATAATAAACAAATAAAAAAATATTTTATTTACAGTCATACATATCGTATCCATTCGTAAATTTAGTTTCTTACCTTGCAATTTTAAATATTCCACACATGGGTATGATGCATCCTAAGAGCAATGTTCCCGTTGCTGTTATTATAGTCGCCCCAATACAAATAACTGCGTTTGTATGCAATATAATTAAATAAAAATATTTCTTTTCATCGATAAAATATTCAGTCGTATCTCGTATTATCTGACTCTGTGGTTGAGACTTGTTCATATGCAAAACAGTACCAAGAATTTGTGGCCAAATTGGCGATATCAGTATTAGAGGAATTAGTGTAACACTAATGGTGAAAGCTGAGAACATTTAAAAAGAAATAGTTATATAAACTCTGTTTTTTTTTTTTATTTTCTGACATTATATTATTTATGATAATTTGCAAATTTCGCTGCTTTTTAGTAATTTTTCTGCTGTGACATTATTGCAGCATGTTTTTAATATTTTATAATTTTTAATATAATAATAAAAACAATTAGGTTCATTATGTTATATATATATATATATATATATATATATATATATATATATATATATATGATGTGTATATATGTATTATTTAATACAAAGTTTAATTAGCTAATTTATTATTGGAAACGAAATAATTGTGAATTTGTGGCTTCATAAACAATGCAACAATGAGAAAATCAAATCAATGCTTTTGTGATATATTCATTCGTTTAGTCAACATTTCTTGATATGACATATTTTGCTCTTTCATGAAAGGTAAATTATAATCGATTTGTATCTAGCCAGCTTTTATCTACACATTATCTTCGCATTATTCGTGCATAGAATACATAACGGTGAAATAGGACATTGACAATTTTGTTAGCTAGAAAAAAAGGCTCATTATTAGCGTGTAGCATTTTTAATTTTACCATAATTTATAATATACGGTAATTCTTACTGCGGCAAAGCATTCTAAGGATATCGCAATGATTCCGCCGATATTGATGTAGAAATTTTTATTGCTTCTTTGCAATATAAAGAGTAACATCTTTTGTGCGTGTAAAGGTGCTACGTACCACCGACTATTGTATCTATAAAATAATCATCGCTTAATAAATAGTGAAGAATTAATAAAAAAGAAATTATATGTGATGTACAATATTATATGTATGTACAACTGTGTGAACAATATATAAAACTATATCTTACGCGGTAAAGTATATATGATTGTTGTGATTTGTAACTTCTTGTCCGGCATAGTTGGCTATGAACATATATATAAGGATAACAGTTATGCCGATTATGTGTAATATAAGTGATTCTGTATTTCCCTGCCCCAGATTTTGAAAAACCTAAAATATTATGATTGTAGTTATTATTTTTCATATGTTCAAAAAAATTTGAATAGAATATTAATTTACAAAAAAAATTATAATTAAGATATACAAAAAATAATTTACACGATTGAGATTTTTTTTGAATAATTTATGATTTTATAATTAAAATAATTTACTATTTATAAGTTATTTTTATCATTCTCTGATTGTAATTTTAATTATTAATGAATTCTTTGAGTTTTATTTATTATGAAAAGTATAGATATTCCTCTTTTTAAAAATAAAAGTCTTAAGAACTCGTGAAAACTTACTCCAAAAAAATTCATGCTCAAAGAAATCACACCAATTGATATTAATATGAAGAAAGAGCCTTGAAAGGTCGATGAGAAAAATTCGGAAAATCTATAAGAAAAATGAATATTATTACAGTGATCACTGTATAATTGTTATCGCATTCATACCATACTTTATAGTCTTGCAATGAATTTCGATGGCATCACTTATTTCTTTATAAATTACAGTTTCGTTTTCCAGATGAATATTTCTGAGGACTTCAATGGTCATTGCTTGTTCGATGCGATAACTGTAAATAATTTTTATTCTGTAAATATATAGAATATATAAAATAACTTTGTTATATTTTTTGTTTTTATTTTAGAATTAAAATTGCAGTTTTTGGTATTTTTTTATGACACAGATAAACTAATTACTAATCATTTATTTTTAACAATGATAATGTATTTTTATAAATTTACTTTTCATTAAAGATAGTCCAATTTTATAATCTAAATTTTCATACCGAATAGTCTAAAGACAATAAAATAATTTTTTTTAATACTTTCTCCTTAATATTTAGCAGCATCTGATGCTCTACATATATTTTTAAGTGATTGTTGTAGTTGTGGCAGTAAATTTTAAAATTGATTAAATTCTATTTTGAGTTCATTGTACGCGTTCCAAGTAAAACATTAAAATTGTATTGGTCTCAAAATTAGATTTTTTTTATTTTTGAAACAAATAGTAATTTAATGAAAGGTGCCAATTAAAAATTTTCAATTATGTCTCTTTTCCATTTTTTTAAAGGAAATAATTACTCTTGTATAAGTAAAAAAATTAGAACTTCTTAGTAGTATGTGAAATTTTTGTTTAAATTAGGAAAGTATATATGAAGGAATACTATTTACTATGTGGAATATTATTCACGTCAAATTTTTACAAAATTTATTTTACCATTATATAAAAAAATGCAAAGGATTTGTTTGCAGTTATTTTGATAATTAAATTTGTTAAATTAAATTTGTTTTTTCACCTTACAACTCGAAATAGTCCACATATGTATATAATCCATCCTAGAAGCATTGTTGCTGTAGCTGTCGCCGTAATCGCTCCTATACAAATAACTGTGTTTATATGAAATACAAGTAAATAGAAATATTTTTCTTGATCAAAATACTCAGGCACGAGTTGTATTGTCGGACGTGATTGAGACTCATTTTTATGCAAAACAATATGAAGAATTTGTGGCCAAACTGGTAGTAGAGTAGCAATAAATGTACTGCATGTGGCGAATGCTAAGAACATTGAGAAAAAATAGTTATAAAATTGTTTTTTTTGTTCTAAAATTAATTATATACATATCACAAATTTCACTTTTCTAATAATCACTTTTCTACTTTCATATTATGCAAAATGATTAAATTTACGTACTTTTAATTTATATACTTACAGTTTTATATACTTTCAATTTTATACACTTTTAGTTTTTAATATAAAATAAAAAATTAAAAAATCAAAATAAAATAAAAATTGGATAATAGAAAACTATAAAGTAAACATGTTATATATGTACATACAAATGCGTGCAAATATCCTCTTTTTATCACTCAAATGTCAGACTTTATTCTGTGTGAAGGTGATAAATATACTTAAGTTAAGAATCGAAAAATAGTTAATCAGAATTATTTAAATATTTAACTTTTATTAGATTTATCGGATTTTATGATTGGAATGTGCTAAATTTTATGTAATTATTTTTGTGTTTCTCATATTTTTTATATGTTTTTACATAGTAATTAACGAGAAATGCTTTATTACATGTAATTATAGTTGTGCAACGTTTCGCGTTATTTCCATATTTTGTAATAATAGCAATTTCTTTTTCGTTCTTTAGCTCATTACAAATATACTGTAGTTGGTCCAATAAATTTTTCACCTATTACATTACAAATAATATTTAATGCTATTTTAGAAAAGTTTGAAAATATATCATATTGTTATATATAAAAACTTAAGCATCAGGAATATAAGCTTATATATATAATTACAATAAGTAATTAACTTACACTATGAGTGTTAATCCAGAACATGTTGTATGTAATTGCGAAAATACTAAAGAATATTGTGGTACAACATACCTTGACGAAAAAGTCAAAAGTGCATTTTTTTATAGTAAGCGTTATGAGCTACAATCAATCGAATTATTTAAAAAAATTGCAGCTAACATTTACTAACAATAAGAGTAAACAGTAATTTAACTCTATAATATATATAATAACATGATAAAATTTTTTTAATTATTAGTAGCAGTTGCAGTCTTGTATTCTATTAATAATGATTAAATATATAATATGATTATATTTAAAAATTGCATAAAAGTAAGCGCTTGCTATGGTAATAACATATCTTCTAGTGCATATTTTCTATAATAATACCATTAAAAAAATATATACATACCTGTAATATAACAAAGCTACTCAAAATACTAAAGAACAAGATTCCTTGAAGCCGTACGAATATTGATCTTTTATATGGCCACAAGCCGATTGAGAGTAGAAGAATTCGATTCAGGTTGAAATGTTCAGTTTCGATGCAGAACATCACTCTGTGAACGTGTTGAACTGCGGAAAGAATAAAGTATGATAAAATTTTATTTTTTTATCCCTTTTTTTTCTTCAAATTAAGTATTAACTTACCACTCTTTAGGAGTACATTTTGCCATAAATTATCTAATTTTTAGGATAAATACAAAATTACACTAAATATTATAAAAACGAAGCAATTTTATTTTAACAATTTTCTGAAAGGAAGACAATTTAATAAATGCATTTGACACAGAGAAGCACTCATCAACACACACACACACACACACACAGGTATTTCTTCGATCGAAGTCGGCGCAAGCGCAGTCGCCTTTATTCAAGTAATGCAGTTTTACATGCCTCATTCTTGTTCTTGCGCTCGTGAGAGAAGTTTGTCTTTCTAGAGGAACGATCCGCTTGACTGCTAAATGAACTGTAAAACTCGTCAGCAAAATATAAGGTATCGTGAATTTAGAATTTGCTATATTCATGTAACAAGCTTAATAATTGTTGCTTTTAAAACATGCATGATTTTATATTATTTTGTATTTATCAACAATTTTGTACATTAAGTTTCTTGCCATATATTATTTATTGCTGTTAAGCAAAAATTGATAACATTACATATATTTGTTCGAAATTATATAATAAGTTAATTCATTCGTGTAATTGTCAAATTAACTTTAAATTATATATTTTATTTTATCTTATACTTTTTTAACACACGTATCGTACGATATATATATATATATATATATATATATATATATTACACATATCATATAAAAATCAGAAAGATTGTCGGAAAATAAATTATTATGAATTCAGGCAATAAAATACAGTAATATAAACGTTATACGAAATTTATTGGAATTATAACTTATTTCTTCATATGTGAAGAACATTTTATGAATGATTTTTTTGCAATGATCATTGATACATAGGATATAAAACAGTGAAATAAGACATCGATGCTTTTGTTAGCTGTAATAATAAAATATATGTTTCTTATATATTACAGTGTGAAATATATTAATTAATATGTAAATATTGCAGTTTAAAATGCACTGTAATTTTTACTATGGTGAAACAATCTAATGACATTATAAGCAAACTTGATATATTTAGATCGAAAATTTTACTACCTCTTTGTTAAATGAAAAGTATCATTTTTGTGCGTGTAATGGTGCCGTCAATATACCCCATCAAACATTATACCTATAAAATAATAAAATGTAATAAATGTATATTACGTATAACATAAAATTTTTACAAACAATTAAATTACAACCGATTTATATTTAGCCAACTTGTATCTACAGATAACGTATCTTTGCATTATTCCCGCATAGAATTCATAACAGTAAAGTAGGACATTGATGTTTTCAGTAACTGTAAAAAAATTTGTCCGTTTCATTATTAGGAAGGACATTAAATCGTACACTGAAATTTATAATACAGGGTAATTTTTTACCGTGGTGAAACACTCTAAGGATGCCACAATCAGTCCGCCGATATTCAAATGGAAAGCTTTATTGCCTCTTTGCAACATAAAGAGTATCAACTTTTGTGCGTGTAATGGTGCTATGTACCACTTACTATTGTAGCTATAAAATAATCATTTCTTGATACATAATGAAAAATTAATAATGAAAGAAATATTTACGATATATTATATATACAATTGTGTGAACAATATATAAAATTATATCTTACACAGTGGAGTATACATAATTATTGTGATTTGTAATTTCTTGTCCGGCATAGTTAGTTATAAACATATATACTAAAAGAACACATAAACCTAATACGTGTAATAAAAATCCTGCTTTATTTCCATGCGCTGCATCCCGAAAAATCTAAAGTGTAATTGTTATTTTTCATATGTACAAAAAATTGACTTAATTTACATAGAATAATAATGTTACAAAAAATTATATCCGAGAAATATAAAAGAAAACAATTCGTATGTTGAGGTTTTTCTTCTTGTAATTTATAATTTTTTAATTTTATAATTAGCATGTTCTTAATATTATCGCAGTTATTTTTATTATATTCTGATTGTATTTTTATTATCTACGAATTTTTTGAATTTTATTTATTATGCAATGTTATATATGTCTTTTTTTAATTGTAAAAGAAAAAGAATTTTAAGAACTCAAGAATACTTACTCCAAAAATATTCAGACTTAAAGAAATTACAGCAATTATTATTATAAACAAAAAGGAATCTTTAATAGTAGACATGAAAAATTCGGTAAACCTTGAAAAGATATAAAATGTGATTACAATGTTTATCACTATTCAATTGTTATCGCATGCATACCAACTTTATAGCCTTGTGATGAATTTCGATAGCATAAATTATTTCCTTATAAATTATAGTCTGATTTTTTAGATGAACATTTTTGAGCATTTTAATGGTCATTGTTTGTTCGATGCGATAACTGTAAATAATTATTTTTCTGTAAATATATGAGACAAGGAAAATAACATCTTTTCGTATTTTTTGTTTGTATTTTAAACAAGAGCAGTTTTTAATATTTTGCATGTGTGAGTGTGTGTGATACAGAGAATTTAATTAATATTTATTCAGAGTAATAATTTAGTTTTATACATATAAAAAATTGGAAAATTTTAATATTTTTTGTGCTCTATTTTACAATGGCATTAAAATTGTATTAACTTTAAAATAAAATTTTTCAGAAGCTTCTAAAATAAATAGTGACTTAATGGAAAAAGTGCCAATTAAATATTTTTAATTATATATATATATATATATTTTAAGGAAATTGTGAACTTTTGCATTACTGAAAAAATTAGAGCTTTTTGATGTCATAAAAAAATGTCGTTTTATGTGTGTTTAAAATCGGAAATTATATACAAAGAAATATTATTTACTTTATAAATTATTATTTACTCTGCATAATTTTTACAAAATTGATTGTATCGACGTATTCAAAAAACCAAACAAAGGATTTACAATTATATTTTTATAATTATTCTTAAATTTTTTTCTCACCTCGCAACTTGAAATAATCCACATCCGCATATAACACATCCTAAAAGCATTGCTCCTGTTGCTGCCAACGTAGTTGCTCCTATACAAATAACTACGTTTGTATGGAGTAAAATTAAGTAGTAATATTTTTCTTGATTGAAATACTGAGGCACGAGTTGTATTGTCGGATGTGGTTGAGATTCATTTTTGTGTAAAACAATATCAAAAATTTGTGGCCAAACTGGTATTAAAGTCGCAATAAATATACTGCAAATGGTGAACGCTAAAAACATTTAGAAATAGTTATACATATTTAATTGTTTCCTAATTTTTTTTTATTTAAGATTATTGCAGAATGTTTAAAATTTGATATATTTTTAGGATGATAATTCAAAGTAAACATATACATATATTATAAAAATATACATTTATTTATGTAAACATACTTTTCACTCAAATTTTTTAATTTGTTTATTCTGGAAAAAGCTGATAAATATTAAATATATTTTTAAGCTATATAACAGTTACTCGAAATAATTAAGCAGAGTTATTTAAATTATTAATTTATATCATGATTGAAATCTGCTAAATTTTCTGATTATTTTTCATATTTTTTATGTACTTTTCACTTTTCATATGGTATTTAACAAGTCTTACATGTAATTATAGCTGTACAACGTTTTGCGTTATTTCCATATTTCATAAAGATAGCAATTTCGTTTTCATCTTTTAACTCATTAAAAATGTATTGTAGTTGCTCCAATAAATTTTTCATCTATCATTACAATAAAAATTTAGGAAAAATTGAAAATGATTGTTATACATAAAAACCTTAGTTATTAGAAATATTTATTTGTGTAAAAGTACACAAAAAATTGAACTTACACGATAAGTATTAATCCAAAACATGTTGTATTTAATTACGGTGATAGTAAAGAATATTGTGACACATAAAACTTTTATGATTAAATCAAAAGTGCATTTTACAGTTGCAAACGCTGTGAGCTATAATCAATCAATTTATTTTTAAAAAATTGGAAAAGAACATTTTGTAATGTATAATAATAAGAATAATATATTATCATAAAATTCTTTTATAATTATCTATAACAGTTGCATATACAATATATTCTTTATTATTAACATATTTTAAATATAATTAAATATATATATATTATAATTAAATAAAAAAATTGCATATAAAAGTTAGCGCTTGATTTAATTAGTAATGACATATTTAATATGTATACTCCATAACAATAAATTAAAAATACATACCTGTAATATAACAAAGCTTACCAAAATACCAAAGCACAAGATTGTGTAGAGTCGAACAAATTTTGATCTCTGATATGGCCATAAGCCGATTGCGAATAAGAGAATACGATTGAGATTAAAATATTCAGTCTTGATGCAGATCATTATTTGACGAGCATAGAAACATGTTGGACTGCGGAAACGTTAATAAAAATTCGTCTGTCCCTATTTTTCCTTCTTTTCATTAAGTATTCTTGAGAATCGCTTTTTTAAAGTGAAACTCTTTCATAAATTCTCTAATTTAGAATAAAATACAAAATTGCACAAAATATTATGGGACCGAAGAACATATAACTTTTGTGAAGCGATTAAGCGATTTATTTTACATAGATAGAAATTTAATAAATGTGTATGTTATACGGAGACACAATCATCAGGTATTTTTTTCGATCGAAGTCGGCGCAAGCGCAATCGATTTTTTCCAGTCGCATGGTGTAAACATGCTTCATTCTTATGTATACGCTCGTAGGAGTAACTTGACTTTGGAGAGGAACGTCAGTCTGCCAGGTCTGTGTTTGCAAATCAACTATGAAACTAAAATATTTATAATAATAAAAATATTTTTAAGTCAGCTCCTTAATTTTTTTAAAACCACAATCTAGATTGTGGTTTTAAAATATTTATATATCGTGGACTCTATTTTTTTAAATATAATAAACTTTAATTTTGTATACATATTTCAGGTTTTAATTTATTAAATATTGCTTATATTTTTTAAGATATATACAATGTATGATATATATATATATATATATATATATATCTATATTTTTATGACATATTTTCTTAATGTAGAGATAAAATAGATATCTGTTATGGGAAATGATTATGAAATCAAAATAATGCAACAATTAGGAAACAAATTTAATATCAATACGGTGATGTCTTAATTCATTTACTTATTCAACATTTTTCAATATTACACATTTTACTTTTCTTAACATATCACATATTTTACTTTGTAAAAAATAAATTATAAGCGATTTGTATTTAGTCAATTTCTATCTTATAATGCATCCAATAAAAACGGATCCTTGCATTATTTCTGAAATTTTGTATAATTTTAATATAACTATAGGAATTATCAAGAAATGTTATATATATATGTGTGTATTTAAAACATCGATAATAATATTGAACATTATTTTTAATTTAAAAAATTGAATTGTCACATTCTAAAAATATATTTATTCAGATGTATCTGAATAAATACATTAAGAATTAATTTACATTATGAAAGAAAAGAAAAAGATATAAAAGGACGAAAATAGTGCTGTAGAGAATATCTGTATGAGAGATTTGCAATCAATAAATTTTAAAAATTAAAATGTGAAAGTATCTGGAATATACTTAATAAAACTTGTAAAAGTACCAAGATTGATTACCTGAAATCAGACGAGAGTTTTGATTGCCGAGAGAGCTATTAAGCCAATGTGATTATTGGAAATAAAATGTTTAATTTTGATATAAAATATTAAAAAATATTAAATCTTGAAACAAATTACTGCTTCGTGAATATTGAAACCCATTTGATTGTGTTAATGAGAGAGTTTACTAATTCTCCTGTTTCAATTAAAAATTTCAATCTTTTTAAATATTAATTTTAATTTTAAATCTTTTATCAGAAATATAAAAATAAAGTTGTTTAATTTTGGTGTTTGCTTGTACAAAACGTCGTTAAATTTAGACCCGTTTCCTAGGAAAAACATATTTGTGCTATCGATCCGACGTAATTCAACAGGTGTTCTTTTCTCTTGAAACAATTTGTCGATCGATGTTCGCGCAAGCGCTATATCGAGCTTTTCAAGCACTAGAATTTTACGTACCTCAGTCTTCCGCGCGCATTCGTGGAGTAAGTTTAGTTATTGAGAAGCAGCTCCGTTTAACGAATTGATAAACTAATTATAAAATGTCTCGCGAGAAAAGTACGAATACCGTAAAGTGTAACTGAGAGCTGTCTACAACAGTGAAGTTTAAAGAATTATAAATATTGATTGGTAAATATAAAATTTTTATTGAACAAACCATCATTTTATATATACATTTGCACATTTTTATATTTCCATGCATTAAATTAGCTGAACTTTTGTTCACACAATAGTTGAGAGAAAGAAAGATAGAGAGAAGCATTAATTTCAAAAAATATATAAATTTTAATTGAATATATTAGTCTGTTCTTCTTTAAACTTATGAAATAACTACATATAATATAATTAAATAATATTAAAAATAATATATATTTATTAATTGCGCTTTTACAAACAAAATATACTATAATTATGAAAACTTTATTTTATATTATATATAATTTTTCTAAAATTATGTCACTTTTTATACATTCATACTATATTTTAATATTATATTAATATTATATTTTAATATTATATTATTGATATCGTCAAATTTTTATTTATATTTATTATTAAAATATAAACAATATAACAAATATAACAATAATTTATTTTATTGTATAATAATTTTTTTTTTTTTTTCGAGGGTAATAATTATGCTACAATTAAATCTCGAAGACAGTTGTTACGAAGTTAAAAAATATTTTCCTTTGTCTTAAAATAATTTGTAATTGTTCATATACATATACTTTTAATCTTGTCGGACAGAATAAAGAACGGTGAAGTATGATATGGAAGTGCTCAGCAGCTGTAATGAAACGTGTTTTCTTTTGTTCTATTCAGTGGTTATTATTTATTATTAAGGAAATTACGATACGTTTTATATGTGCGACATATTTGTATATATTTCTCACCGAAGCCGCACTTTTCATGGACGCTACAAATATTCCACCGAGAACCAGATTGAAACTTTTAGTGCCCTTTTGCAGTAGAAAAAGTATCATTTTCTGTACACGTATTGGAGCCTTGTACCAATTGACATTATATCTAGAAAAAAATTCTTATTTTTTAAATTTGTAAGTAATTTTTTTATTATTACATCTACAAATATTATTTGTTTCTTTCAAAACATATCCACTTGAAATTTAAATGAAGAACATTTAATATATATAAACTTATATAATACATATTTGCTAAACAAATACAGTCATAAGTGAAGTTAAAATTTTCCTTACACAGTGATAAACAAATATTCATTGTGGTCCGTAATTTCTTGCGCAATATGATTGGATAGAAACAAGTATGTGTAATGGACAGATACCATAAATAGAGATAATAAAATTTGTTCAATGCTATTGTTAACTGACACAATCTGAAAATTATGAGACACATTACGTAGTTATTGTTTGCTTTTTACATATTAACATTATTCTATGCATAGTATAAAATATGTCAGTAGATTTAAAATCTATGTTAAGTAATATGCCATTATTTATTGTGTAGTATAATTAGAAGTTTTACATAATTTTCAAAAAAAGCGTGCATCTATCTTGTGTATATAAAATTTATACTTGAGAAGATAAACATGCAAATAATGTTTTAATTGATAGAATTGCTAAAAAATTTTTGTTATTTCCCTTTATCTATGCGGATTTCTTAACTAATATTACAAAGTAGCGGAACGACTAGTTTAAAAATTTGATGAACTTTACTTGAAGAAGATTACAGCTCAGGCAAAATAAGCCAGCTGCTATCAAGGAAAAGAAAGATCCCACAAAATTGGATATTAAGAAATGGCTAAGCCTTTAAAATATGAGAAAGTATATATTTTTAGGTGCGTTCATTACTTATTATTGAAGATAATAATAATACGAACTTCATAGCCTCGCAATGAATGTTTACAGCGCCAATTATATTTTGACAACACTTTTGCTCATTTTTGATACCGCCCTTTTGTACGATACGAATTGCCTGCTCGATACGGTAGCTGTAAATTTTGTTGCTATATTTTTTGTCGAAAAATATATAATTTAAATTGAACCTATTTTTGCTCTTTTTACTTACCAAGCGATACTAAACATTGCACAAGTATGCTGAAGATATGTTATGAGCAGAGCTCCTGTCGATGCCATTGCTAATGCTCCTATGCAAGATGCTGCGTTAGTATGCAACATAATTAAATAAGAATATTTTTCTTGATCAATAAAATATTCTGTCAAAATATGTGTTGAACGTGGTCGAGATATGTTTGTGGCGATAATGTAGTAAATGTGCGGCCAAAGTTGCAGCAAAATAAAACCAAATTGATAGCTTAATCCAAGTACTAGAAAAGAATATTTAATGTATAAATTAATCGATATTTATATTTTCTTGAAAGTGCCAATTATTTATTTGAATAAAAAAAAATATACTTATTGGAACGTAAATATAGGAAGATTGAAAAACTTTATCTTACATATAATTATAATCGTAAAACGTTTTGCTTTACTTCCGTATTTTTTTATGATGGTGATTTCATTTTCGTCTTTTATCTCATTACATATGTCTAGAAACTGTTTCATCGTACTCCTCAACTATTATATTGACAATATTGTATAATATATATATTTTTTTTACAACATTCGGAAATTATTATAATTGGGTTTCCGTATTCTTTTTTAATAGGGTTTGCTAAACTATTTTATAGAGGTATTTTATATTTTACTTTAATCTATATGTAATATTTACATTGTAATAATAATTAACAAATAAATAAGGGTAATATGTATAAAAAGTAAACTATATAATATAACAAAGTCTCCGATTTATAAATACAAATTCAGATAAGTGATAAAATGATAAAAGACAGGTGTAGAAATTAGGTGCAACAAACTTATTTCTAAATTTTCTTTAATTTAATTTGAATGTTTCGATTCTTTTTTTGGAGTATCCTTGATAGATCAATTAATAAAAAAAATATGTACCTAAATTGGTTTGAAGGAAAGGCCGAAACATTGAAATTAAATTAAGTAGATTTTAAAAACAAATTTGTTGCGTCTTATATTTTTGTACCTCTTATTATTTATCGTTTTTTTCACCTGAATTTGTAACCAAATAAACTATATTAATTGCGAAAAACAAATATGGAAACCCATATACGTATATTACATTCAAAAATGCATTTATCAGTAATGCTTAATAATAATTTATACTCTTACAACATCAGCGTTAATCCAAAACGAATTGTATTTGATTAAAAAGTAATAAAAAGAATGCAGAAGATAAAACTTTACAGATAAAGTCGAAAGTGTGTTCCGATGTTATAAATGTTGTAAACTGGAAAGAAAATAATTTTATTAATCATATTTTACGAATCACCTTATTTATTTGTACATTATTCGATTAACATTCTATAAATGCTTTATTTTCCATTAATCTTTTACGTAAAATAATTTATCGAATAAAATAATTAACAATTGTATACAATCATTAACGTGACAGTTAATACAAAAAATCATTGTATTATGAAATATAATGATAATTAAATCATTCGACAAAATAATTTTGTATTGATTTTTATATGTCAGTACACATAATACGCACGATCTCGTAATAAATATAATTAAAATGCGAACATACCTGAAATACAATAAAAGTCGTGATAATACTATAAAGTAAAATGAATTGAAATTCAATTAAAAACGATCGCTCATAAGGCCACACGCCAATGAGAAGCAATAAAATTCGATTGGTGCTAAAATGTTTAGACAGATCGAGAGAGGTCATCTCTCCGTGACTGTCGACGCAACTTTGAAAAGTAATAAACGTAAATTCACTTATTCTCCCCTTCTTTCCGAGTCATTGATCATTTTATGCATGAATTTTCTCTCATGGTGTAAATTTTACAGTAATCATTCTAATTCAATAAACGAAAAATTGAATAATGTACCGTAACTATTTATTGGGAAATTGGGCAATTACATAACAGTAAGTTAATAGAAGCTATTTTCTTACAGAAAGGTATTCATGAATTTTTCTGTAGAAAAGTCGCGCAGTCGCAATAGTTACTTTTCGTGTTGTATTTTTCATTCTATTACAGACACTGCTAAGAAACACTCGTCTAATTGTAAGTTGTGCTCAATATCAGCTCATGTCAATATATTTGAACTTAGTACCAGCAAAACTTGTTGTTTTTTTTTTAGCAAAAGCTATTTTATTATGTATTTGTTTAAATTCTTATATTCTTAATATTTTATTTTCTCTAACAACTCAAACATAATTTTTTAATTTTTTATTAATTTACATATTTGCTATAAAAAACAGGAACTTAAATATTTATTTTCCTTAAAATTTCTTTTTAAATTGTTTAAAGTGTTCATGTACCACCAGAGATCGAAATACTTGGAAATCCACATTTTTCCCTTCGCGAAGAATTGTATATAATTAAGTAATCGATTTCGACGCCCTACCGGATATATATACATATGTTTATTTCCCATAGAAAGAACTCCATGAAACTCCCTATGCATCGCCGCCCTTCATTCTAGTGCATGCAGTCATAAATTACAGTCAATCCTACAGAGACATATATATAGTAGTCGGTCTATTTAAAATGTCGACGTATTAGTTATAAATTTATTTGTAAATATAAAATTATTATTGAAAAACTATTGTTTTATGCACATTTGCACACATTTTTACAAACATTTTTATATTTCTATCCACTGATTAGTTGAGCTCTTGTCTACTTGTCCACAAAATAATTAATATATTATTCTATTTGAATAGTTTATTGCTAATATTGAATTTTCAATTTTTAAATTTGAAAAATATAAATTTTAATTAATATTATTATATTGATGTTATTATTGACTACTCTTTTTTAGACTTTAAACAACTAAGCAATGTATATATATATATATATATATTATAACATTATTAAATTCATTTATTAATTACGCTTTTGTAAATAAAATATACTACTTATAAGAATTCTAGCTTATATTTTATATAATTTTTCTAAAATTTTCTAAATCACATTTTTTACATATTTATACTACATGTAATGTTGTTAAAAATGTGCAGGTTAAATTTTATAGTTTTTATCTAAGTTTTTACTAACTTTTAAATGTGTAATACTACTTATTTTTATTAAATAGAGATTTTGTTCTTTGTGATTAATAATCTGTCTACAGGCGTAAAATAATTATTTATAATAATTTGATCATATTTTTAATTTTGCCGGGTAGAGTAAAGAACAGTGAAGTACGATATGGAAGTGCTCGTCAGCTGTAATGAAACGTGTCTTCTTTCATTTTGTTCACTTATATGTTATCAAAGAAATTGTAGTGCATTGTATTATATATATTGTGTGATATATTTGCATTTTTTCTTACCGAGGCCGCACTTTTCATGGACGGTACAAATATTCCACCGAGATTCAGATTAAAACTTTTAGTCCCTCTTTGCAATAGAAAAAGTATCATTCTCTGTATATGTAATGGCGCCATGTACCAATTGACATTATACCTAGAAAATAATAAATGGAAAAAAATTTTTATTTCTTCAAATTTGTAAATAATGTACATTAACATATTTGTTTCTTTCAAACTACATTATTAATGATATTCGAAATTTTTAATTTTGACTTATGTATCTACAAGATAAATACAATCATAAGTAAAGTGTAAATTTTTCTTACACAGTGACAAACACATAGTCATTGTGATCCATAATTTCTTGCCCAACATGATTGGATACAAACAAATACACGTAAAGAATAATTACTAGAATTATAGATATTACAAGCTGCTCCATGTTATTGTTGAGCGATACAATCTGAAAATTATGAGGTATATATTATACATACATGGAATGGAAATGGAAAGGGAAAAAATGGAGGAAGTGAGAAAGATTGGGGGAGAAGGTTCTGGTTATTTGACAAGTTAGTGTGAACAGTTTTAAGTTACGGAGTAGAAATATGAGGGTGGAAGAAAAGAAAAGGGATGGAAAGTTTAGAGGAAAGATATCTAAGATGGACGCTAGGGGTAGATAAAAGGACACCAGGATACATGGTTAGGGAGAAAGTTCAGAATAAGTTTCTATTCTATTCTATTCTATTACACATACATATATATTAGTTATAATCAGATTCTTACGCTCACTTGCATGCATACTGTAAAATATGTCACAAAATAACATCTATATTGTATAATTCGTCGCTTATTATATATAGCGTGTATAATTACAAAATTTTACATTATTTTCTAAGAAGCATGCGTATATCAAGTGTAGATACAACTTATGCTTGTGTAAGAGAACATAAGCAAGGAAATAATTTCATACATCTTTTATCGATATATCGGTAGAAAACAATTTTATTATTTCTCTATAGCTATGCCGATTTGTTGACTAAATTTAATTTTACAAAGTGACTCGTTCCAAACTCACGACTCGTTCCAAAATTTGACGAAATTTACCCGAAGAAGATTAGAACTCAGACTAATCATGCCGGCCATTATCAATAAAAAGTACGATCCCACAAAATTGGACATTAAAAAATGGCAAAGCCTTCAAATACAAGAAAGTATATATTATTATGCGCGTTAAATATTTATTATTAAAGATAATAATAATACAAACGCCATAGCCTTGCAATGAATGTTTACTGCACGAATGATCTCTTCACAACTCTTTCTCTCATTTTTCAAGTTATTCTTTTGTAAAATACTAATTGCCTGCTCGATACGATAACTGTAAATATAATTATATATTTGTGTATAAGAATATCATTTAAATTGCTGTATCTATTTTTGTTCTTTTTACTTACGAGGCGATACTAAACATTGCACAAGTATGTTGAAAATATGTTATGAGCATAGTTCCAGTCCCTATAATTGCAAGTGCCCCTACGCAAGATGCTGAGTAATAAAGCAGCATAAATATATAGAAATATTTTTCTTTGTCTATAAAAAGTTCAATCTCAAAATAGACCGAATGATAGACTGATAGAGATTTGTTTGTGAGAACAATGTCATGAATGTACGGCCACATTTGTAGCAAAATAAATATAAGTACACAGAACATTCCAAGTGCTAAAAAGATTTTAAAATAATCATAAATTAAAACATATTATTTCAGTTTTTTTACCATTGCAATTTATTTATTTAAATAAGAATGAATAAATACTGGAATTATGCATATAAGCGGTTCAAGAAAATTTATCTTACTTAAAAGTAGAATCGTAATAGTTTTCGCTTTGTTTCCGTATTTTTGTATGATAGCAATTTCATTTTCATCATTTATCTCATTATACACATCTTGAAGTTGCTTCAGCGAACTCCTTAACTATCATATTGACAATAATGTATGACATTTTATTTTACTAAATTCGAAAATTATTATAATTTAGTCTCCGTATTTTTATGATCGGATTCCAACTATATCTTTTATTTATACATATATATATATACACACACATTTTTACTCTGTTTATTATAAAACTTATATTATAACGATTAAAAAATAAAAAGTAAACAATATTGTTAAGAAATAACTATATAATAACTACAATTATATACTATATCAATCGCGTAACAAATACGGAAACCCATATATTGCATTTAAAAATACATTTATCAATGATTTTTAATAATTTATATTCTTACAACATCAGCGTTAATCCAAAACGAATTGTACTTAATTAGAAGACAACTGCAGAAAAATGCAGAAGATAAAACCTTGAAGATAAAATCTAGAGTACATTCCGATGTTATCAATGTTGTAAACTGCAAATATTAATTTTATCGTAAAAGTAATATTTATTTGTATATTTATTCAGTGTATTATATCTGTTTAAATTCTCAATTCTCTTTTAATCTTCTATGTACAATAATTTTGCAAATGAGATATAGGAATTAATAAATTTATGTAACTATAACATCACATTATTTTATTATAAAATATAATAATATTTAAATCGAGCGACATAATTAAAGTAATATATATATATATATATATATATATATATATATATACATATATATATATATGCTTTTTATAGATCAGTATTTATATGAGCGATAATAAATTATAATTAAAATTGCGAACCTGACATATGGTAAATGTCGTCACAATACCAACAAATAAAATTAATTGAACTTTAGTTAGAAGTGATCGTTGATAAGGCCACAAGCCAAGGAGCAGCAATAGAATTCGATTAATGTTCAAATATTGAGTCTCTAGACAGATCATCTCTCCTCGACTGTCGACACAAGTTTGACGTAAAAAGTAATAATCTAAACTTCACTGATCCCTTCTTTTCCATTTATTGATCGTCGTTTTATACATGACTTTTTTCTCGTTGTGTAAATTTTACTGTAATCTTTCTAATTCGATAAATTAGAAGTTGTATGTATAGCAACTATATTTAAAATTGGATGGTAAATTATAGGCAATTTATAAAATTATCGTAGATGGAAGTTTATGAATAAGTGATCGATTTTACATGGAAAGCAAGTTAACAGAAGGTATTTTCTCAAAGAAAGGTATTCATGAGGGAAATTTTTCTGTAGAAAAGTAGCGCAGACGCAATAGTTACTTTTCGTGTTGCATTTTTCATTCTATTGCAGACACTGCTAAGAAACACTAACAATATGTGTTCAATATCAGTAGGTCAGCACTTTTTAAATTAATACTAGCAGAAAGTGTTATTTTTATCAAATCGAATCTTATTTTACTGTGTATCTACTTTTTGTTTAAATTCGTGCTCTTAATTTTATATTCTCTAACAACTCGAATAACTTCTTCAATTTTCAAATTTACATTTTTTGCTACAAAAAAAATTAAATTTTAATAACGATTAATAACGATAAATAATGTATAATGTATTACGTATTTTGATTAAGATATTAATGTGCCTGAAATAAAGCATGTCAAAATATCAAGATTCAAGATTACCTAAAATTGGAGGAGTTTTTATTGCTGAGAGGACTAATCAGTATTGACTATTGGAAAATTCTATTGAGTTTAAAAGTATTAAGTATTGATATAAAATTAAATCTTGATATAAATCACTCTACGATATTGAGATGCGTTTGATTGCGAAAAATTAGGGATGGTTCGCTTATTACTTTCTTTCGATTAACATTTATATATCTTTTTATTTTGACGAGGAATGTTAATATAAACTATTTAATTTGATAATAAACATTTGTGTGTTCGTACAAAATATTATTGTAAACTTGAGACAGATTACTGGGGCAGAAAACATGTTTGCAATCGATCCGACATTGAAAGAAATTCAACAGGTGTTCTTTTCTCGTGGAACAATTTGCCGATCGAAGTTTGCGCAAGCGCCATCGAGTTTTTCTGGCAGTACAAACTTATGTACGTCAGTCTTCTGCGAGCATTCGTGGAAAGAAGGTCTGAAATCCTTTTAACGAATTGATAAATCAGTTATAAAATCTCTCGTAAAAAAGTGTAAAGTATCGTAAACTGTAACTCAGAACTTTCTATAGTTGTGACATTCAAATAATTATAAAGTTGGTAAGTGTAAAATATTTATTGAAGATACGTCATTTATATATATTTGCACATTTTTACAAACATTTTTAAATTTTTACCTGTTGATTAGCTAAGCTTTTGCTTATAAAATAGTTGAGAGAGAAAAAGGGTATCTTTTTAAATAATTTTTTCCTAATATTAAGTTTTCAATTTCATATTTAGAAAATATGTATTTTAATTGATATTATTATATATTGCATTTTTGGACTTGAAACGACTAGACAATATATATAAAATTTAATAATATTAAAAATAAAATACATTTATTATTTGCGCTTTCACAATCAGTATCACATAGATTATATAATATAATTTTTCTAAAATTATGTCCATTCTTTTGTACATTTATATTAGGTACATTTAATGTTGATATTGTTAAATTTTGTTTTTCTAACTGTTAAAATATAATATTAATTTTTGTATTGAATATAAATATTGCTTTTTCTTCTAGAGTAATAATCATGTTACAATTTAATCTCGAAGGCAATTGTAACGAGTTTAAAATATTTTCCTTCGTTTTAAAGTATTATAATTTGTAATTGTTTGTACTTTTAATCTTGTCGGGTAGAATAAAGAACGGTGAAGTATGATATGGAAGTGCTCATCAGCTGTAATAAAATGCGTTTTCTTTTCTTTAGTTTAATTATTATTTGTTATTGAAATCACAATACGTTCCGTATGGACGCTATATTTGCATATATTTCTTACCGAAGCCGCACTTTTCAGGGACGCTACAAATATTCCACCGAGAACCAGATTAAAACTTTTAGTGCCCTTTTGCAATAGAAAAAGTATCATTCTCTGTACACGTATCGGAGCCCTGTACCAATGAACATTATACCTACGAAACAGTAAATTAAAGAAATTAGTTTTGAATGAAATTTATAAATAAATTTTTCATCACATTCAACTTTACACACAGAACAAACATACACAAACATTTTTTTTTTTCAAAGTAGATTTAGTATAAAAAGGAACCTTCAATATAGACTCATTATGCGTATCTATAAAACAAATACGCCTATACATAAAGTTGAATTTTTCCTTACACAGTAACAAATACATATTCATTATGATCCGTAATTTCTTGTGCAATATAATTGGATAGAAACAAATATACATAATGAACAGTTATCATAATTAGAGATTGTATTAGTTGTTCAATGTTATCATGAAGTAACACAATCTGAAAATTATGAGACATGTTATATGATTCATCATCGACTTAATGTACACAACATAGGTACTTTAAAATGTATCAGATTTATGTTGTGTCAAATGTGTCACTTTTTATAGTGTAGCTTATATAATTGCAATGTTTTTTAATTGTATAAGCCATTGTAAGCTAATTAAAATAATTTTCAAAGAAGGCTATATATATATAAGAAAAGAAGATAAGTATACAAATCATTTTTTAAGGTTTTTTAATTATTACATTTCTAGAAAATAATTTTTTTTTTCTCTCTCTCTCTCTCTCTATCTGCCAATTGAATGACTAATTTAAATTTTACAAACTGGCGCATTAATCTTTCAATAACATAACGAAAATTACCTGTAGAAGATTACAACTCAGACAAACTAAACCAGCTGCTGTCAAAAAAAAGAACGATCCCACAAAATTGGATATTAAAAAATTGCAAAGCCTTTAAATACAAGAAAGTATATATTATTATGCGCGTTAAATATTTATTATTAAAGATAATAATAATACAAACTTCATAGCCTTGCAATGAATGTTTACTGCACGAATTATCTCTTCACAACTCTTTCTCTCATTTTCAAAGTTACCCTTTTGTAAAATTCTAATTGCCTGCTCGATACGATAACTGTAAATATAATTATATATTTGCCGATAAGAATGACCTTTAAATTGATGTATCTATTTTTGTTCTTTTTACTTACCAGGCGATACTAAACATTGCACAAGTAAGTTGCAAATATGTTATGAGCGTAGTTCCTGTTGCTATCATTGCTATTGCTCCTATCCAATATGCTGCCTCAATATGCAACATAATTAAATAGGAATATTTTTCTTGATCAATAAAATATTCTGTCACAATATGGAATGGTAAAGATTGATTTGTAACAATGTTATAAATGTATGGCCCCAAATCTGACAAAGTTACAACAGATAGAGAGAATAATCCAAGTGCTAAAAAAGGTTTCAAAATAATTATATAAATAAATTGTCATTTAAAAATTTGTGTTTATAATTGCAATTTAATTTTTAAAATATAAAAAGATATTGAAATGTAAAACACATAGGAAAGTGGAGAAACATTGCATATCTTACATATAAGTTGAATCGTAATACGGTTCGCTTTGCTTCCGTACTTTTGTACGATAGCGATTTCATTTTTGTCTTTTATCTCATCATACACTTCTTGAAGTTGCTTCATTGAACTCCTTAACTATGATGTTAATATTATTATATAACATTTTTGCAACATTAGAAAATAATTATAACTGAGCTTCCGTATTCTTTCTTGATCGAATTCAAACTAAATTGTCTACATTATATTTTTGTTTATTCAGTACATTATAATATTTACATTGTAATGATTAAAGAAAGTAAACGAAATGTAAAGAAAAATAAGCTATATTGAACAGAAACAACAAATACGGAAACCCATATATATTGCATTTAAAATTACATTTATCAATGATGTTCAATAATTTATATTCTTACAATATCAGCATTAATCCAGAACGAATTGTATTTGATTAAAAAAGTAAGAAAAAAGAATGTATTAGACACAACCTTATACATAAGGTTCATAGTATATTCTGATGTTATAAATGTTGTAAACTGCAAGTAATAATTTTATTAATCAAACTGTAAGAACTACATTTATTTATTCGATTACTAAGCTATAAATTCTTAATTGTCTGTTTATTTTTACGTGCAATGATTTAGCAAAAAAGGTATGTAATTAATAATTTCATATAATTACATATGACATATAATTTCGTATAACAAAATTAAAATAATAATATATTGATTTTTATACGTCAGTTTATAATATGCACGACTTTGTAATCAATTATAATAATTGATACATAGACGTACCTGAAATATGATAAAAGTCGTCAGGATACCAAGAAGTGTAATTAATTGAAGTTCAACTAGGAACGTTCGCTGATAAGGCCATAGGCCAATGAGAAGCAATAGAATTCGGTTGATCTTAAAATGTTGAGTCTCGATACAGATCATCTCTTCTTGATCGTCGACACAAGTTGACGAACAAATAATAAATGACAATTTTCTATCCCCCTCTTCCATTTATCGATCGCTTCATGCATGACTTTTTTCTCATGGTGTAAATTGTACAGTAATCTTACTAATTCGATAAATGGAAAATTGAATAATGTATATTATAACTATATTTGAAATTGGATGGCAAATTAGGCAGTTACGTAATTTAAGAAATTTTCTTATGGAAGTTCATGAATAAACGATTGACATTCGAGAAAAGTATTATTGAGAGGACTTTGCTATAGAAAAGTTGCACAGTCGCAATCTTTAATATTGCTTTGATATTGCATCTATTTTATTCTTTCGCGGACATTGCTAAGAAATAGTCGTTTAAATTATGCTCAATATCAGCGTGTCAGCATTTTCTAAATTAAAACCAGTATAGCGTGTTATTCTTCGTTATTTTACTGTGTCCTTTATGTTTAAATTCTTGTTCTTAATTTTACTATTAATAACTCTAATTAGCAATTTTAACTTTCAATTTTTTAACGTACACCATTTGCTATCGAAGAAGAAAAATTCTGGCTTATGTGATATACGATAATACTGTAGTAAAACATTTTTTAATGGTAAAAACAATCGTGCGCAATTTAATTTGAATCAAATTCTGCTTTTTTTGCAATATAAAAGTATAAATTTTTTTATAAGCATACCATAGAGCATTAGTCAAAGCAATAGTCAGTTATTTCTGAAAATCGATTGACATTATTACGCACAAATAATTTTTGAGAAATACACAAATTTTGTTTTTCTAACTGTTTAAATATAATATTAATTTTTGTATTGAATATAAATATTGCTTTTTCTTCTAGAGTAATAATCATGTTACAATTTAATCTCGAAGGCAATTGTAACGAGTTTAAAATATTTTCCTTCGTTTTAAAGTTTTATAATTTGTAATTGTTCGTACTTTTAATCTTGTCGGGTAGAATAAAGAACGGTGAAGTATGATATGGAAGTGCTCATCAGCTGTAATAAAATGCGTTTTCTTTTCTTTAGTTTAATTATTATTTGTTATTGAAATCACAATACGTTCCGTATGGACGCTATATTTGCATATATTTCTTACCGAAGCCGCACTTTTCAGGGACGCTACAAATATTCCACCGAGAACCAGATTAAAACTTTTAGTGCCCTTTTGCAATAGAAAAAGTATCATTCTCTGTACACGTATCGGAGCCCTGTACCAATGAACATTATACCTACGAAACAGTAAATTAAAGAAATCAGTTTTGAATGAAATTTATAAATAAATTTTTCATCACATTCAACTTTACACACAGAACAAACATACACAAACATTTTTTTTTTTCAAAGTAGATTTAGTATAAAAAGGAATCTTCAATATAGACTCATTATGCGTATCTATAAAACAAATACGCCTATACATAAAGTTGAATTTTTCCTTACACAGTAACAAATACATATTCATTATGATCCGTAATATCTTGTGCAATATAATTGGATAGAAACAAATATACATAATGAATTATTATCATAATTAGAGAATGTAATAGTTGTTCAATGTTATCATAAAATAACACAATCTGAAAATTATGAGACACGTTATATGGTTCATCATCGACTTAATGTACACAACATGCGTACTTTAAAATGTATCAGATTTATGTTGTGTCAAATGTGTCACTTTTTATAGTGTAGCTTATATAATTGCAATGTTTTTTAATTATATAAGCCATTGTAAGCTAATTAAAATAATTTTCAAAGAAGGCTATATATATATATAGAAAAGAAGATAAGTATACAAATCATTTTTTAGGGTTTTTTAATTATTACATTTCTAGAAAATAATTTTTTTATTTCTCTCTCTCTCTCTCTCTAACTATCTGCCAATTGAATGACTAATTTAAATTTTTCAAATTGGCGCACTGATCTTTCAATAACATAACGAAAATTACCTGTAGAAGATTACAACTCAGACAAACTAAACCAGCTGCTATCAAAAAAAGAACGATCCCACAAAATTGGATATTAAAAAATTGCAAAGCCTTCAAATACAAGAAAGTATATATTATTATGCGCGTTAAATATTTATTATTAAAGATAATAATAATACAAACTTCATAGCCTTGCAATGAATGTTTACTGCACGAATTATCTCTTCACAACTCTTTCTCTCATTTTCAAAGTTACCCTTTTGTAAAATTCTAATTGCCTGCTCGATACGATAACTGTAAATATAATTATATATTTGCCGATAAGAATGACCTTTAAATTGATGTATCTATTTTTGTCTTTTTACTTACCAGGCGATACTAAACATTGCACAAGTAAGTTGCAAATATGTTATGAGCGTAGTTCCTGTTGCTATCATTGCTGTTGCTCCTATCCAATATGCTGCCTCAATATGCAACATAATTAAATAGGAATATTTTTCTTGATCAATAAAATATTCTGTCACAATATGGAATGATAGAGATTGATTTGTAACAATGTTATAAATGTATGGCCCCAAATCTGACAAAGTTACAACAGATAGAGAGAATAATCCAAGTGCTAAAAAAGGTTTCAAAATAATTATATAAATAAATTGTCATTTAAAAATTTGTGTTTATAATTGCAATTTAATTTTTAAAATATAAAAAGATATTGAAATGTAAAACACATAGGAAAGTGGAGAAACATTGCATATCTTACATATAAGTTGAATCGTAATACGGTTCGCTTTGCTTCCGTACTTTTGTACGATAGCGATTTCATTTTTGTCTTTTATCTCATCATACACTTCTTGAAGTTGCTTCATTGAACTCCTTAACTATGATGTTAATATTATTATATAACATTTTTGCAACATTAGAAAATAATTATAACTGAGCTTCCGTATTCTTTCTTGATCGAGTTCAAACTAAATTGTCTACATTATATTTTTGTTTATTCAGTACATTATAATATTTACATTGTAATGATTAAAGAAAGTAAACGAAATGTAAAGAAAAATAAGCTATATTGAACAGAAACAACAAATACGGAAACCCATATATATTGCATTTAAAATTACATTTATCAATGATGTTCAATAATTTATATTCTTACAATATCAGCATTAATCCAGAACGAATTGTATTTGATTAAAAAAGTAAGAAAAAAGAATGTATTAGACACAACCTTATACATAAGGTTCATAGTATATTCTGATGTTATAAATGTTGTAAACTGCAAGTAATAATTTTATTAATCAAACTGTAAGAACTACATTTATTTATTCGATTACTAAGCTATAAATTCTTAATTGTCTGTTTATTTTTACGTGCAATGATTTAGCAAAAAAGGTATGTAATTAATAATTTCATATAATTACATATGACATATAATTTCGTATAACAAAATTAAAATAATAATATATTGATTTTTATACGTCAGTTTATAATATGCACGACTTTGTAATCAATTATAATAATTGATACATAGACGTACCTGAAATATGATAAAAGTCGTCAGGATACCAAGAAATGTAATTAATTGAAGTTCAATTAGGAACGTTCGCTGATAAGGCCATAGGCCAATGAGAAGCAATAGAATTCGGTTGATCTTAAAATGTTGAGTCTCGATACAGATCATCTCTCCTTGATCGTCGACACAAGTTGACGAACAAATAATAAATGACAATTTTCTATCCCCCTCTTCCATTTATCGATCGCTTCATGCATGACTTTTTTCTCATGGTGTAAATTGTACAGTAATCTTACTAATTCGATAAATGGAAAATTGAATAATGTATATTATAACTATATTTGAAATTGGATGGCAAATTAGGCAGTTACGTAATTTAAGAAATTTTCTTATGGAAGTTCATGAATAAACGATTGACATTCGAGAAAAGTATTATTGAGAGGACTTTGCTATAGAAAAGTTGCGCAGTCGCAATCTTTAATATTGCTTTGATATTGCATCTATTTTATTCTTTCGCGGACATTGCTAAGAAATAGTCGTTTAAATTATGCTCAATATCAGCGTGTCAGCATTTTCTAAATTAAAACCAGTATAGCGTGTTATTCTTCGTTATTTTACTGTGTCCTTTATGTTTAAATTCTTGTTCTTAATTTTACTATTAATAACTCTAATTAGCAATTTTAACTTTCAATTTTTTAACGTACACCATTTGCTATCGAAGAGAAAAATTCTGGCTTATGTGATATACGATAATACTGTAGTAAAACATTTTTTAATGGTAAAAACAATCGTGCGCAATTTAATTTGAATCAAATTCTGCTTTTTTTGCAATATAAAAGTATAAATTTTTTTATAAGCATACCATAGAGCATTAGTCAAAGCAATAGTCAGTTATTTCTGAAAATCGATTGACATTATTACGCACAAATAATTTTTGAGAAATACACAAATTTTGTTTTTCTAACTGTTTAAATATAATATTAATTTTTGTATTGAATATAAATATTGTTTTTCTTCTAGAGTAATAATCATGTTACAATTTAATCTCGAAGGCAATTGTAACGAGTTTAAAATATTTTCCTTCGTTTTAAAGTATTATAATTTGTAATTGTTCGTACTTTTAATCTTGTCGGGTAGAATAAAGAACGGTGAAGTATGATATGGAAGTGCTCATCAGCTGTAATAAAATGCGTTTTCTTTTCTTTAGTTTAATTATTATTTGTTATTGAAATCACAATACGTTCCGTATGGACGCTATATTTGCATATATTTCTTACCGAAGCCGCACTTTTCAGGGACGCTACAAATATTCCACCGAGAACCAAATTGAAACTTTTAGTGCCCTTTTGCAATAGAAAAAGTATCATTCTCTGTACACGTATCGGAGCCCTGTACCAATGAACATTATACCTACGAAACAGTGAATTAAAGAAATTAGTTTTGAATGAAATTTATAAATAAATTTTTCATTACATTCAACTTTACACACAGAACAAACATACACAAACATTTTTTTTTTTCAAAGTAGATTTAGTATAAAAAGGAATCTTCAATATAGACTCATTATGCGTATTTATAAAACAAATACGCCTATATATAAAGTTGAATTTTTCCTTACACAGTAACAAATACATATTCATTATGATCCGTAATATCTTGTGCAATATAATTGGATAGAAACAAATATACATAATGAATTATTATCATAATTAGAGAATGTAATAGTTGTTCAATGTTATCATAAAGTAACACAATCTGAAAATTATGAGACACGTTATATGGTTCATCATCGACTTAATGTACACAACATGCGTACTTTAAAATGTATCAGATTTATGTTGTGTCAAATGTGTCACTTTTTATAGTGTAGCTTATATAATTGCAATGTTTTTTAATTATATAAGCCATTGTAAGCTAATTAAAATAATTTTCAAAGAAGGCTATATATATATATAAGAAAAGAAGATAAGTATACAAATCATTTTTTAGGGTTTTTTAATTATTACATTTCTAGAAAATAATTTTTTTATTTCTCTCTCTCTCTCTCTCTCTATCTGCCAATTGAATGACTAATTTAAATTTTTCAAATTGGCGCACTGATCTTTCAATAACATAACGAAAATTACCTGTAGAAGATTACAACTCTGACAAACTAAACCAGCTGCTATCAAAAAAAAGAACGATCCCACAAAATTGGATATTAAAAAATTGCAAAGCCTTCAAATACAAGAAAGTATATATTATTATGCGCGTTAAATATTTATTATTAAAGATAATAATAATACAAACTTCATAGCCTTGCAATGAATGTTTACTGCACGAATTATCTCTTCACAACTCTTTCTCTCATTTTCAAAGTTACCCTTTTGTAAAATTCTAATTGCCTGCTCGATACGATAACTGTAAATATAATTATATATTTGCCGATAAGAATGACCTTTAAATTGATGTATCTATTTTTGTCTTTTTACTTACCAGGCGATACTAAACATTGCACAAGTAAGTTGCAAATATGTTATGAGCGTAGTTCCTGTTGCTACTATTGCTGTTGTTCCTATCCAATATGCTGCCTCAATATGCAACATAATTAAATAGGAATATTTTTCTTGATCAATAAAATATTCTGTCACAATATGGAATGATAGAGATTGATTTGTAACAATGTGATAAATGTACGGCCCTAATTCTGACAAAGTTACAACAGATAGAGAGAATAATCCAAGTGCTAAAAAAGGTTTCAAAATAATTATATAAATAAATTGTCATTTAAAAATTTGTGTTTATAATTGCAATTTAATTTTTAAAATATAAAAAGATATTGAAATGTAAAACACATAGAAAGTGGAGAAACATTGCATATCTTACATATAAGTTGAATCGTAATACGGTTCGCTTTGCTTCCGTACTTTTGTACGATAGCGATTTCATTTTTGTCTTTTATCTCATCATACACTTCTTGAAGTTGCTTCATTGAACTCCTTAACTATGATGTTAATATTATTATATAACATTTTTGCAACATTAGAAAATAATTATAACTGAGCTTCCGTATTCTTTCTTGATCGAGTTTAAACTAAATTGTCTACATTATATTTTTGTTTATTCAGTACATTATAATATTTACATTAATAAGTAATGAGTAAAGAAAGTAAACGAAATGTAAAGAAAAATAAGCTATATTGAACAGAAACAACAAATACGGAAACCCATATAAATTGCATTTAAAATTACATTTATCAATGATGTTCAATAATTTATATTCTTACAATATCAGCATTAATCCAGAACGAATTGTATTTGATTAAAAAAGTAAGAAAAAAAAATGTATTAGACACAACCTTATACATAAGGTTCATAGTACATTCTGATGTTATAAATGTTGTAAACTGCAAGTAATAATTTTATTAATCAAACTGTAAGAACTACATTTATTTATTCGATTACTAAGCTATAAATTCTTAATTGTCTGTTTATTTTTACGTGCAATGATTTAGCAAAAAAGGTATGTAATTAATAATTTCATATAATTACATATGACATATGATTTCGTATAACAAAATTAAAATAATAATATATTGATTTTTATACGTCAGTTTATAATATGCACGATTTTGTAATCAATTATAATAATTGATACATAGACGTACCTGAAATATGATAAAAGTCGTCAGGATACCAAGAAATGTAATTAATTGAAGTTCAATTAGGAACGTTCGCTGATAAGGCCATAGGCCAATGAGAAGCAATAGAATTCGGTTGATCTTAAAATGTTGAGTCTCGATACAGATCATCTCTTCTTGATCGTCGACACAAGTTGACGAACAAATAATAAATGACAATTTTCTATCCCCCTCTTCCATTTATCGATCGCTTCATGCATGACTTTTTTCTCATGGTGTAAATTGTACAGTAATCTTACTAATTCGATAAATGGAAAATTGAATAATGTATATTATAACTATATTTGAAATTGGATGGCAAATTAGGCAGTTACGTAATTTAAGAAATTTTCTTATGGAAGTTCATGAATAAACGATTGACATTCGAGAAAAGTATTATTGAGAGGACTTTGCTATAGAAAAGTTGCGCAGTCGCAATCTTTAATATTGCTTTGATATTGCATCTATTTCATTCTTTCGCGGACATTGCTAAGAAATAGTCGTTTAAATTATGCTCAATATCAGCGTGTCAGCATTTTCTAAATTAAAACCAGTATAGCGTGTTATTCTTCGTTATTTTACTGTGTCCTTTATGTTTAAATTATTGTTCTTAATTTTACTATTAATAATTCTAATTAGCAATTTTAATTTTCAATTTTTTAACGTACACCATTTGCTATCGAAGAGAAAAAATTCTAGCTTATGTGATATACGATAATACTGTAGTAAAACATTTTTCAATGGTAAAAACAATCGTGCGTAATTTAATTTGAATCAAATTCTGCTTTTTTTGCAATATAAAAGTATAAAATTTTTTATAAGCATATCATAGAGCATTAGTCAAAGCAATAGTCAGTTATTTCTGAAAATCGATTGACATTATTACGCACAAATAATTTTTTGAAAAATACGCAACGACGCAATACAAAAATAAATTATTTTTTGGGCTCAATCTTCCACATATACTCGGTATTACACATAAAAAAATTTTGTTAAACAAAGATTTTTATATTTTAGTAGAATCACTATCATGGCCGTCAGTTAATGAAAACACATTTTAATATGTCTTATTTAGATTTAGTGCGTTAATTTATAAGTTACGTTTAATTCTTTAAAAAGTAACAGTATTGCCATTCCATTTTTTATATAAGGAATGTATGCTATAAATATTTAATGGGTAAAGAATACATGTTCACAATTTACTGTAAACACCGTTGCTTTATATATTTTCCATTTCCTTAGCAATTATACATTTATTACAGTCATTCATCGATCAATTAAGCTGCTTTGTAGAAAATAATTAATATTACTTGTGTGTTAGTAGCACTATTAGTACTAGTTCTAACAATAATTTTTATTATTATCATTCGACTAGATTATTAATTAACACATCTTGTGTTACATCCGTGTAGAGTAAAGCACAGTAAAATATGATATTGCGGTACTCAACAACTATAATGAGACATATATTTTCTCGTTTTACTCATTATTATTTATTTACTGGTTATTATTTTTTAAATATATTATACTTTATGCTTTCGAAATATAAATTTTTATACAAATACTTCTTACCGTAGCTGCACCTTCCAATGATCCCACAAACAATCCAGCAATATTTAGATTAAAAACCTTGGTACCTCTTTGCAATAAAAACAGTATCATTTTTTGTATCTTTAATGAAGCTGTGTACCATTTAATGTTGTATCTACATGACAAATTCATGATTAGAAAAGAATTAAAAAATCTGAATTATCTTACATAAACACATATACACTCATTTTATTCAGATTTATTTTAATTATAATATAATTGATTTTTTATTTTTAAATTATGCAAAATAAGTACATATTATAAATATATATGTGATTGTATGATATGGATGTTTCTCTTACACAGTAACAAACACATCATTATTGTGATCCATAACTTCTTGCGCCATGTAATTGCCTATGACCGCGTATAAAAAATTAATAAGTATTATTATAAAGGGTATGAAAAGTTTTTCAAAATCGCTGTCCATTGTCAGCGCCTGAAAAATCTAAAGTATACATTAGCAATCTTATTGTTAGTAAAAGCTGAGCATTAATTGCAAACAAAATTTCGATTTAAACAGAACTGGTCGATACTTGACATAAATTGGAAAATTTGGAAGTAACTGATTTTATGCGATAAAATTCAAAGATGCGCTTGAGATAGACTTACTCTAAATGCACTGAGACTTGCGCTCATTATTCCGGCTATTATTAACATGACGAACATTACTTTAAATTTGGACACCGATGAGTCTGCAAATCTAATAAATAATATAGATTAAATACACGTAATCTTATACTTTCTCATATATAATTTTACGGATTAAATGCTCACCTCATAGCTTCACGATGCATATATACAGCATGAATTAATTTCTTGTAAATCGAATTCTTGTTTTGAAGTTTCTTTTTTCGCAAAGTATTGACTGCCATTGCTTGCTCGATACGATAACTGCAAGCGACTCTTTTATCATAATTGCATAATTCTTCATAATTTTGATATTTAATAAATGTTTCCCATATTTGAAATCTAATAGTTTTCTTATTTAATTTTCTTACCTAACAATCCGAAACATTCCGCAGGCATGCTGTATATAAACTATAAATAACGTTCCTGTCGCTATTAGTGTAATTGTTCCTAGGAATAAAGCCGCGTATGCGTGCAACAAAATCAAATAGACGTATTTTTTCTCATCGATAAAATGCTCGGTAAGAATCAGCAGCCGAGGATGTGATTGAGGCTCATTTATAGATAATATGATGTTGTAAAGATACGGCCAGAATGAATATATAATTGAAACAGGTGCAACGCATATGAAAAGTACTACAGAACGTTTTCAATTTATAATACATATACATATTCATTTAGAAGGTTTATTGCAAAAATGTATTAAATTTATCAAAAATTAGCTTTTAAACAAAGAATACATTTAACATTTAATAACTAAACACTTAGTAACTAAAAATAAGTTGAGTTAGTATTGCCTTACACGTAAGTGCAATCGTGTAACGTTTTGCATAATTGCTATACTCTTGCATAATACTGATTTCATTCTCGTCCGTTAGCTTGTTATAAATGTTCTGTAATTGTTCCAACAAATACTTTATCTGCAATTTTAACGATATTTTATATTGATTATTTTTATAAAATTCAAAACAAATTTATATTCAGTACAAAATTTATTTTTCTTGCAAATATTTATTTAAGTATATGTACACAAATATGACATACAATATTGATATGGCATATCAATATGATTACTTACAACTTCAATGTTAATACTAAACCAAATATATTTAATCAAGAAAAAAATACAAACTGATGCAGAAGAGAAAACGTTGATAAAAAGATCTGGTGTACATTTTGAAGTTACAAATATTGTAAACTGCAAATAATAATTTTATATTTAATTATTTTTATTAAAAATATTTTTTTATTTGATTAAAAAATTATAAGTCTTAGGTCATAAATATTGTTTTCAAATATAATAGACAGACATGTATATAACTTTAATCTATATAAAAAATTATAAAATTATTTAAATTGTTAATATTTTATAACATCAAATATGTTTAAAATACATTCACACAACACACATACATACACAAATGTATTTGACGTTATAAATTGGGAATAAGTACAATTGTTTAATGATACAGTTACATCCAAATGCAAAATAAAAAATTGCAACATTAATTATATTAATTATAAATTAACTTAACGAAAAATAATAAATTAATTTAACGAACCAATTAAAAATCTAGATCTACCTGAAATATAATGAAGGTCATCAAAATAGCAAGAGACAGAACTAATTGAACTCGAACGAGTTTTGATTGTTGATAAGGCCATAAACCAACCGTGAGTAACAAAATTCGATTGAGGCTTATATGCAGACAGTTGATGCAGATCATCTCTTCGCGAGCATCGAGATACATTTGATAGTGTAAAAAAATTTCCCTTCTTTGGATCGACCAATATTACCAATATTATTACTATATACCAATATAGCTTTATTTTACTTAAATTTGTTTTATTTAAATTGTTATGCAAATTGCATACTTTAATGTAAATGCTGCACAATATTACCGAGGGTGAGATCGAAATACTTGGAAATTCACACTTTCCCTCGCGAAGAATTGTATAATTAAGTATCGATTTCGACGCCCCACCGCATATATAACATATGTTTATTTCCCATAGAGAAAAATTCCATAAAAAAAATTTTATTGATAGCAAACCGCACATGCGCATTCGACACCTCACAGAAATGTACTTTGACGCATTTCATTCTAGTGCGTGCACTCATAAAGAACGGTCAGCCTTAGACATAGACATATATTAGTTGTTTTATTTAAAATACCGACATATTAATTATATAAATTTATTGATAAATATAAATTTTTTTATTGAAGAAAGACTATCTGTAATATTTATGCACATTTAGACATTTTTGCAAATATTTTTACGTTTTTATATATTGACTTAAGCTTTTATATTACAAAATAGTTGAGAGAAAGAAAGAAATATTATCTCTTTTTAAATACTTTATCCCTAACATTATGAGTTTTCTATTTTTAATTTAGAAAATTCAAATTTTTATTTGATATTATTACGATAAAATTATGATATTATAAAAATGGTCTTTTTTGAAAATAACTATTAATAATTAAATAATATTAAGAATAAATTATATTTATTAACTGTGATTTTACAAATAAATAATACTAATTAAAAAACATTATCCGACATTTTATATAATTTTTCTAAAATTTGATGTTATATTTTTTTATATGATAAGCCTTAAGACAGAATATGTTGAAATGAATCATATATATATACATTTACGCTACCTCATGCTTTTCCCTTGCGAAAATATTTTTATAAATGTTTCATCGATTGGTTAAACGAATCGAGATTCTTCATCCAGAAACTTATTTCGAAAACTCAACGGCGCTAGCGTAAATTTCGATCGATATATTGTCTCATGACCTAAATATATGTATGTTGAATTTCTTTTAGCATTTTCAATGACAGACTTTTATTAAACAATATTTCGTGTTCATATTTTATATCAAATCATTAACATAGACACATATACTTATTATTATAATTATTATTTTAAACGTTTTATTATATTATTATATGCTTCAAAGTGACAAAGATATTTTACAATTAGACTTACATTATTGCTGATCAATTAAAGGATTAATTTGTTACTTTTATTTCATCGAGAAATTGATTAAAACTCGCAGGACTTATTATAAACATAACAAAATGCACTGTTTATTTAATTAAGGTATTTTTTGAAATTTTCCTTATATATATATTATGTTTTAATCAAATTGTCGATGAAATAGAAGTAACAAATTAATCCTTTAATTGATCAGCAATAATGTAAGTTTAATTGTAAAATATCTTTGTCACTTTGAAGCATATAATAATATAATAAAACGTTTAAAATAATATTTATAATAATAAGTATATGTGTCTATGTTAATGATTTGATATAAAATATGAACACGAAATATTGTTTAATAAAAGTCTGTCATTGAAAATGCTAAAAGAAACTCAACATACATATATTTAGGTCATGAGACAATATATCGATCGAAATTTACGCTAGCGCCGTTGAGTTTTTTGGAATAAGTTTCTGGATGAAGATTCTCGATTCGTTAAACCAATCGATGAAACATTAATAAAAATATTCTCGCAAGGAAAAAGCATGAGGTAGCGTTAATTGTAAATCTGAGCTTTCTGCAATAATTATGACATTCAAATAAGTATAAAATACTTTAGAATTTTTTGAAGTAAAAATAAGAAATACATATTTTTTTTTCATGCAGTGAAATATTTTTCAGATAGGAAAAGCAATCTCTCTCTCTCTCTCTCTCTCTCTCTCTCTCTCTCTCTCTCTCTCTCTCTCTCTCTCTCACACACACACACATTTCAATTAAATCCATTTTTTTTCAATATAAATAGGTTTTCAAGATAAGATTTTTTTTATAAGGATAGAGCGATATATAATGACAAAGTATATGCTAAATTGAGTTTATGTATCCCAATAGTTAATCGTTTCCTAATACAGAACGATTTGCATTATTACGCACAAATAATCGTTTAAAACATATACCATGACACATTACAAACACAAAGCATTTTGACATATCTCACTTGGATATAGCGAGTGTTTTCAAGTTATATACGTTTGATTTTTTAGAAAAACAGTATGATAATTCCGTTTTTTATATAGAGAATACGTAATATTAATTTTTAACAGGTGAAGAATACATGTTTTCACAATTTATTGTAAACATTGTTGCCTCCGATTTCCTTAGTGGATACATTTATTACAGTTTAATCGATTAATTGTTGCTTTGTAAATAATAATTAATATTATTTATGTATTAGCAACTTCCATTATTGTTATTCGACCAACAATAAATTATTAATTGACACATTTTGTTAATTTCGTGTAGAGTAAAGTACAGTAAAATATGATATTCCGGTACTCAACAACTGTAATGAGACATATATTTATTACTGGTTATTATTTTTTAAATATATTATACTTTATGCTTTTGAAATATAAATTTTTATACGCATATTTCTTACCGTGGCTGCACCTTCCAATGATCCCACAAACAGTCCAGCAATATTTAGATTGAAAACCTTGGTACCTCTTTGCAATAAAAACAGTACCATTTTTTGTACCTTTAATGAAGCTGTGTACCACTTAATGTTGTATCTACATGATGACAAATTCATGATTAGAAAAAAATTAAAAAATCTGAATTATCTTATATAAACACATATACACTCATTTTATTCAGATTTATTTTAATTATAATATAATTGATTTTTTATTTTTAAATTATGCAAAATGAGTACATATTATAAGAATATACATGATTGTGTGATATGGATTTTTTTCCTTACACAGTAACAAACACATCATTATTGTGATCTATAACGTTTTGTGAAGTATAGTTGGCTAGGGACATATATAAAAAATAAGTAAGCATTATTATACAGGGAAATATTAATCTCTCACAATCGTATCCCAATGTAAACGTTTCAAAAATCTAAAATATGAATGCACAAACAATCTTATTGTTAGTTAAATCTTAATTTTAAATCGAATTTTGATTTAAATACAATTGGGCGGTGATAATTTAAAAGTGATTGGAAAATAATTAACCTTATGATAAAATTCAAAGATATGCTTGAGAGAAGATATACAACGTACTTGTAACAAATTGAGGATTCCACAAATTACTCCAGTTATTATAAGAAGAGAGAACATTATTTTAAATCTGGACACCGATGAGTCTGCAAATCTAATAGATAATATATAGATGAAATACACATAATCTTCCATACAGCACAGAAATATTTTTAAAATATTTTAAAAATATTTCTTAAAAGATAAAATAATTCTCGAAAATATTTTCAAAATATTTCTATGTTCGCTTTTTCATGTTTAAAATTTATTTTCAGAAATATTTTTAAATATATATTTAAACTAATATTTTAAAAATATGAATCAAATATTTAAGAAAATATTATCTGAGCGATAAAGAATAACATTTTTAAAAATATTTTTAAAAGTTTTTTAAAATATTCTAAAAAATGTTATTACAAAAAATTTTTAAGTCATTTTAAAATATTCCTAAAATTAATTTAAAATGTTTTTATGCAATATTTTATAGAAACATTTAGAAATATTTTTTAAAAACATTCATAATATTTTGTGCTGTATGGGTTTATATTCATATAATCTTACGGATTAAATGCTCACTTCATAGCTTCACGATGCATATATACGGCATTAATCAATTTCTTGTAAATCAAATTCTTGTTTTGAAGGTTCGTTTTTCGCAAAGTATTGACTGTCATTGCTTGCTCGATACGATAACTGCAAGCGACCCTTTTATCATAATTGCATAATTCTTCATAATTTTTATATTTAAAAAATTTTCCCATATTTGAAATCTAATAATTTTTCTATTTTATTTTCTTACCTAACGATTCGAAACATTCCGCAGACATGCTGTGTATAAACTATAAATATCGTTCCTGTCGCTAACATTGTGGTTGTTCCTATGAGTAAAGCTGTGTATCCGTGCAATATAATTAAATAAACATATTTTTCTTGATCAATAAAATATTCAGTAACAAACAGCAGCCGAGGATGTGATTGAGACCCATTTATGGATAATAGAATCTTGTGAAAATACGGCCAAAATGGATGCAAAATTGGAACAGATGCAGCGCATATGAAAATCACTACAGAATGTTTTAAATCAATAATACACATATTCATATAGAATTTTAAAAGGTTTACTGCAAAAATTTACCAATTGCTTTTAAACGAAACGTATACTTAACATTTATTGGAAACTCAAAGTATTTGTCTTACGTATTGATGCAGCCGTGTAACGTTTTGCATAAATGCCATATTTTTGTAAAATAATGAATTCATTCTTATCTGTTAACTCATTATAGAAGTTCTGTAATTGGTCCAAGAAATATTTCACCTGTTGTTTTAATGATATTTTATATAGATTATTTTCGTAAAATTTGTAACGAAAATGTATTTATATCATGTATAAAAATTTATTTTTTTTGTAAATATTAATTTATGTGCACATACGAATACAATATGCAAAATATAATATTTACTTACAACATTAATGTTAATCTTAAAACAGGCATATTTAATGATAAAACTAGCTTGAAATAATACAAAAGAGAAAATGTTGATGAAAAGATCTGGAGTACATTTTGAAGTTAAAAATGTTGTAAACTGAAAATAATAATTCTGAATTCAATTATTTTTATTAAATATATTATTTTTTATTTAATTAGAAAATTATAAATCTAGATCATCAAATATCGTTTCCAAATATATATAATATATACACATGTATAATTTTATGAGTAAATTTTTTTGTGCAACTAAATTTTCTAATTAAAATTTACAATTTAAATATTATATTATTATTTATATGTTTTTATATTATATTATTTATATTTGTTAATATTGTATAACACATCGAATAAAATATATAACATACATGCATACACAACGCACATACATGTATTCGACGTTATACAATGAGTATGATTATAATGTTATGTTAATGATTATATATTAATATTATTATGTAATAGTTACATCCAAATGCAAGATGAACAATTGCAACATCAATTAGACTAATAATAAACTAGTTTACTTCGTGCAAAATAATAATGTAAAAAATATAGACATACCTGAAATATAATGAAAGTTGTTATTATAGTAATATACAGACCTAATTGAACTTGAACGAGTTTCGATTGCTGATAAGGCCATAAACCAACCGCGAGTAACAGAATTCGATTGAGGCTTATATGCAGACAGTCGATGCAGATCATCTCTCCGCGAGTATCGAGATACATTTGATAGTGCAAAAAAATTCCCTTCTTTGGATCGACCAACATCAAGCTATAGCTTCATTTTACTTATATATAAATTCGTTTTACTTAAATTGTTATGCAAATTGCATACTTTAATGTAACTGCTGCATAATATGTAATATCATCGAGGGTGAGATCGAAATACTTGGAAATTCACATTTTTCCCCTCGCGAAGAATTGTATATAATTAAGTAATTGATTTCGACGCCCCACCGCATATATAACATATGTTTATTTCCCATAGAGAAAAACTCCATAAAAGAATAATTATTGATAGCAAACCGCACATGCGCATTCGACACTTCGCAGAGATGTAATTTGACGCCCTTCATTCTAGTGCGTGCAGTCATAAAGAACGGTCAGTCTTAGACATAGACATACTAGTTGTTCTATTTAAAATACCGTCATATTAATTATATAAATTTATTGATAAATATAAATTTTTTATTGAACAAGGACTATCTGTAATATTTATGCACATTTACATATCTTGCAAACATTTTTACGTTTTTATATATTTATTACTGAAGCTCTTTCATATTACAAAATAGTTGAGAGAAAGAGAGAAAGAAAGAGAATAGGACAGAGATTTAGAAAAACATACTCTCTTTTAAATACATAGTTTATCCCATATATTTTCAGATTAGAAAATACAAATTTTAATTAATATTATTTAGAGTATTTTTTAAATAATTATAAACTATGTGTTAAATAATATTAAAAATAAAATGTATTAAAATTTATGAATTACGCTTTTGCAAAGAAATGATACTAATTATAAGAACTTTATCTTGCATTTTATATAATTTTTCTAAAATTTGATATTACATTTGTTTTACATCTGTATTACATAATGTTATTAATATTATTGCGTTAAATTTTAATTTTTAAATTTTTGATAGCTTATTTACTCACATTTTTTCTTAATGTATAAAAAATATATTAATTATTTATGCAACGCATAAAAATTTAATATTTAAACTTTTAACAGAAAATACGAACAAAGAAATAAAATTTTCTACAAGAATCTTTTGTGATCAAATATCTACGCTTTCATTAGACTCGCGCGAAACTCTACACCCCACATATCCGTCAGGTTGCGCGGCTCGCGCGAAACTGATTCTCGGCGGGGCATCGCGAGCGCGGGACCGATGGTCACGTGACTAAGTCACGTGACCTGGTCATGTGACCATCGGTCCCGCGCTCGCGATGCCCCGCCGAGAATCAGTTTCGCGCGAGCCGCGTAACCTGACGGATATTTGGAATGTAGAGTTTCGCGCGAGTCTAATGAAAGCGTAGATATTTGATCACAAAAGATTCTTGTAGAAAATTTTATTTCTTTGTTCGTATTTTCTGTTAAAGAATTAACTATTGAATTTTCATGAATCACGTAATTAATAAATATATTTCTATGCATGCATTGCAATAATAATTTTTGCATGCATGCGTCGCAATTTTTAAGGTTTTATTATCAAAGAATAATATAACTTTGCTTCGCGCACGTAATTATATTTGATTAAACTAAATGAGAAAGAATATATAAAGAAATATTTATACAAAATAGTTCTCAAATAATATAATAGAAATTCGGCAAATTAAAATTATATACATAATAGAAATTCAATAAATTAAAATTATGTATATAATAGAAATTCGGTGAATTAAAATTATGGTTAAAGTATCAAGCAACTGTCATTGCAAAGATTAATAATTTGCTAGTTGTAAAATAAACAATAGAAATAATATCAAAGAAGCGCGCGAAGCGCGTGCTTGTGTCATCTAGTCTGCTAAAAAATACTTGCATAAATTGTGTTTATTATTAGCATATTAACATATTTAAATTCCCATGTTTAATTACAACAAAGCATTATTTTTTACTAAAAATTATTTTTTTGTTTAATTTGTATCTTTTTATTGGAATTTTTATATTCTTTGATATTTTATATTCTTCAACAACTCTAATTTTCTTCATTTTCTAGCTTATGCCATTTGCTATTAAAAAATTACATACTTCTATATTTGTTTTATTAATATATCTTTTTAAATTCTCAATATGTAAAGATAGGAATACATATGAATATATCTATATGTACATACGTACATTTATCGCATTAAGCATATTATAGAATATAATCTATCGAAAGCTACAAAGAATAATCATTATCGTAATTTATCCATTGCATTACTATTAATTTAAACATTATTACATTTTATGTTTTTTAATATATCCATACAATATATCACATCCGTTTACTATATCGATTTTATATAGTATTAATTCATCGATTGGTATATTATTGTCTCGTAGAATAAAGAAATGTAAAGTATGAAAGTGACGCGCTGACCAACTGCAATAAGAAATATATCTTTTTTAAATGTTTGAAATATACTACGTTGAGTAAATTCTTATAAAATTTTCACCGTGGCAAAACCCTCTAAGGATCCTACAAACAATCCACCAATAACTACGAGGTTCTCAAAAGTCTTAGTTCCTCTTTGTATCAGAAATAGTATCAGCTTCTGTATACGTAAGGGGGCTATATACCATTGAACATTGTACCTACGAAATGATGACCAAACTAATAACCGGTAATTTTTGACGAGCATAAAAGATTCATAAATAATATTTAAGATACACGCATATTTTATTTAAGACGGCATTTTCATTTTTGTCTTTTGTGGATTTTATTTTATATGTATTGCCTCTTATCGTTATTTTATTTTAATGTGTGAATGTCACATAAAAATTTTTCTTACACAGTAGCAAATATGTGATTATTATGATCTAAAATTTGTTGCGCGCAATAGTTGGCAAGAAAAGTATATACGTAATAGTAAAGCAAAAAAATGCCACACTGTGTAATTTTTTCGATAGCAAATCCAGATGACAATTCCTGAAATAGCTGAAATATAAGTTTTACAATAGCATGATTAATTTTTAGTTATATTTTTTAATCACGATTTTATAAACTGAATAATACTGGTTTATTCAGATTGTTAGTAAAAATAATTATATCTTGCCATGAAACGATATATAATTTGCATGTTCTTTATAAGAAGATACATAGAATGTGAAAGAAAAACATATACTCACTTGATAAAGATTGAGACTTGCTGTGAGTAATCCGTCTATTATTAAGAAGAATAAGAATTTATTAATTGAGGAAAGGAAAAGTTGTATAAACCTTTAAAAAATGAGAAAGATATTACTTGCGTTGTTATATAATATGTACCGTAATACATAAAAATCAGTTCAGAAATATAATTTTTTGTCAATCGAACACATTTTAACTCATAATGTTGACGACGTTATTTTTGATTTATTCTTTACTTCCAATATGATTATTTCTTTATTTCCAATATGATTATTTCTTTATTTCCAATATATACATTAAAATAAACTGCGAGCTTTTAATTAAAAATTTTTTAAATTAAAATTTAAATCCAAAATTAAATAAGTAAAGTTTTTTATGATATTACTTTATATAAAAGCTATTACATTTTTAATTGTTTACAGCGGCTAAAAGTATCCAAAATTTAGCAATTTTTGCTAAAGAATATTTGACGCAAAATTTATCAAGAAATTTATACCTAAAGTGAATCTCACATATTACGATACTTTTTGTATGTACATATATCATTCGATAAATACAAACTTTATAGCCTTGCGATGCATATCTACGGCGCACACCATACCCATGTAAATTAAATTTGCACTTGCAACAACGTTTCTTTGTCGAGTGTCAAATCTTATGATCCTCTCCATGCGATAACTACAAATAATTGTGATATTTATTAATTTTACAATTTTTAATAAGAGCAAATACCGATGTGATTCCAGTGCAATTTGTCGAATTTTTTTACTCAAAATAAGGAACAAAATTTGATTTTGTTTAAACACAAAATGAATTTTCTCACCTAGCAACGCTTAACATTCCACAAATATGTTGAATATACATTATGCTCATTGTCCCTGACGCTACCATTGCCATTGCTCCTATGCAGAACGCTGCATTTGTATGTAGCATTATTAAATAAAAATGTCTTTCTTCATCAATAAAGTATCCCGGGACAATTTGTAATGAAATATTTGGTCGTGACTCATTTCTCGGCAACACATTAGTGGCGAAAATATGCGGTAGAAATGGAGAAATAATAAAAACACACATTCCACTCACACCAATCACTAAAGAACGATGTAAAAGCCACAATTCCTCAACAATTCACACATTTCAAAAATTAATAACTATCATACTTATAAAATTATTTCATCTTTAACTATTCAGTTGTTACTGATACAGCACAAATTATGAATGTTTTCAAAAAATATTCCTAAATATTTCTGTAAAATATTGCATAAAAACATTTTAAAATAGTTTTAGAAATATTTTAAAATAATTTAAAAATTTTTTGTGATAACATTTTTTAGAATATTAAAAAAAATTTTTTTTTTATTTTTAAAAATGTTATTCTTTATCGCTCAGATAATATTTTCTTAAATATTTGATTCATATTTTTGAAATATTAGTTTAAATCTATATTCAAAAATATTTCTGAAAATATTTTAAACGTGAAAAAGCGGACATAGAAACATTTTAAAAATATTTTCGAGAATTATTTTATCTTTTAAGAAATATTTTTAAAAGATTTTAAAAATATTTTGTGCTGTATGGATATGGCCAGAAACTCAACTGTGAGTACAAACTATTAAACACATTTCAAGTAATTAAAATTATGAGATTATCTTACGCGTAAGTACTTCAGTGTAACGTCTTCCAATATTCCAATATTTTTCTATAATAGCAACTTCGCTCTCATCTCTTAACTCATTATAGGTACATTGAAGTAGGTTTGATAAATGTTTCACCTATCGTTTTAACGAAATTTCTCTACCATTTGTGTTTTATGAGATACGACAAAGCAATATATGACATGTTTATTTAAACAAATAGAAAAATCTATATTACTTACGAGATCCATGTTAAAGGAAAACTTGCTGTACTGTATCGTATAGAAAATGAATGAAGTTGTGGGAGAAAGAATTTCAATGGCGTACTGTAGAGTACATTTTGAAGACACAAATTTCATAAACTGCGAGAAATAATTTTGTTGAATCAAAAATTGTACGAAAAAAACTAACACATTTCTACCTCATCAGAAAATAGAAAAAATTAAATTATTAAATTATTAAATAAAATATTATATTTTGCGCACTTCTTGCTCAACTTACGTGCAAAAAAGAGCAATTAATAATTTAGATCTTTCTGATAAGATATGTGATATAATAATTTTATATATATTATATATAAACATATATATAATAGTATATAAATAATATAAAAATAATTACAAAATTAGTAAAGATATATTTCTATAATATAATTAACATAAAAATGCACACCAGATTAAAAACGTTACAGTTAACACAAATACACATGCGTACCAGATTTACAAATAATTAATCTCTGATTAGCTTATAAAATATATTATATATATCTAATTACAAATTAGTAAAGATATATTTCTATAATATAATTAACATAAAATGCACACCAGATTAAAACGTTACAGTTAACACAAATACACATGCGTACCAGATTTACAAATAATAATTCTGTTAGCTTATAAAATTTTATATAATCTAAATATTGAATAATTGTGTCAAATTATTGATGTACCTGAAATAAAATGAAGCTTATCAAAATACCGTACAGCAAAATCAGTTGTGCTCGAGCGAGTTTAGATTGGGCAAAAGGCCACAAGCCAACTGTAAGTAAAAGAAATCGATTGATGTTAAAGTACCGACTCTCCACGCAAATCATCTCTTCGAGAGCGTCGAGATGTAAATAACTGTGAAGAAGTCAACGACACTCCGTTCATCCCTCCGTTTATCGGATCGATTCAAATGAAAATGTCTCTTTTTTTTAAATAAATTTTGTCGTAAAATTAATATACTTTAAGTGCTAGAGAGAACCTTAGTGTAAGGACGTTCGCAATTTAGCAACGTTTTTCATGAAAATGATTAAGCGATCGATATATGCTGCGTTAAAAAATTCAAGGTGTCTTTTTCCCATCAAAAAGACAGAAATGCAGACCATAAGAGAGAAAAGTCTCACGCAGGCGCATTCCCTTTTTCTCGGTGTTGCAGTATCATTCTAGTGCACGCACTCGTAAGATGCAGGTGATCGTCGAGAGGACTTCTTCATTTTAAAATATATCGCTGCACCGTCTATCAAACTTATCGCTTATCAAGTAAGAAATATCATTCTCGAAAAGAAATAGTTTTGCTTAGTATTTTTACATAAATCTTTATTATTTAGGTCACTTTGAACATCATAATTTAATAATATGCTTAATTAAAGGACGTTAAAAATTCAAGGACAATTAACAATAATTGTAGAAGAATAATATTTCAAAGTAAAATGTCTTATTATTGAGTTCCTAAATCTTGAAATTTCTTTTGCACCAAATTTCTCCGGTGAAGTGTTGTATAATTACACGATCGATACGACGCTGAAATCACTTTGACGTATATCGTCTTCCCATGAATTAAACCCTTTCCATCAAAATAATTCCACGCTTTTCCCCTTTTCTCGGAATCGACACTCCATTCTAGTGCATACACTCATATAAAATACATTTGGGCTTAGTGAAGAATGTCTTCCAATTTTAAACATTTTAATGTCGGCTCTGTTTGGTAAACCTTAATGTTATCTTAAGCCAAATCAATTAGATGAATGCACGACACTCAAATTTTAAAGGTTTAGCGCGCGATACATATCGCAAATAAAGATAATAAAACTTTACTAAGAATAATATAAAATGATGTGAATTTGTATTAATGTTTCATACATGAAATTGAAAAAAAGCTCAATTTTTTAATGTATTTAAAATTTATGCAATTTATACATAATCCATGTATAAATTTTTAATTAAATATACATTTATATTTTTAAAGATTTTTTATGTCTATTTTGAAATAAAATTGTGGGATCAATATTCACATTTTTAATTCAAATTTTAAATATGTCATATAATTGTAATATTTTTGAAGATAATTACATTTTACACTATAATTTATATATATAGAATATTTGTAACACGCAAATATAGTGTGTGCACTCATAGAATATATTTGGTCTTCGAAAGGAATATCTTCCAACTTTAAACATTTCGATATCTGATGTATCCGATAAAACCTGTGTTATCTTAAGCGATCCCATACGGCACAAAATATTATAATGTTTTCAAAAAATATTTCTAAATATTTCTATAAAATATTGCATACAAACATTTTAAAAAACTTTTAAAAATATTTTTAAAAATGTTCTTCTTTATCGCTCAGATAATATTTTCTTAAATATTTGATACATATTTTTGAAATATTAGTTTAAATCTATATTCAAAAATATTTCTGAAAATGTTTGGTTAACATGAAAAAGCGGACATAGAAACATTTTAAAAATATTTTCGAGAATTATTTTATCTTTTAAGAAATATTTTTCAAAGATTTTAAAATTATTCTGTACTGTATGGGATTAAACATAACATTGGTTCAACATTTGAAGCAAAAGTTTAATAATTAAAAAAACATATATATTATGAATAATAATAGATCTAACACATTATCGGAAAAATACAAACTCTATTAATAATGCTTGACAATGAATGTGCTCAATGTTAATTAAATTCTCGAATATCAAAAGTTTGTTTCTGAAATTAATATTTTATAGCATTCCGTTGTTATAGTTTATCTATATGTTGATTTACATTGCCTCGAGCATTATTTACGCATTATTTCTCATATTTTTGTATTGACTCAATTGTGACCAATCTTTTTATCTAAATGATTGCACATTTTGGTCTCTTTTCTATTATTTTATTCGTTATATATGTAGGTATATATATTTTTCTAACATATACATTATAAATGCATGTATTTGTGGAATTTTTTGTAGAAATTATTATTCTATTATATATATGTTATATTTAAACTGTTGCGGAATCTATCTGAATCGATTTTCCATCTTGATTCTTATATATTAAAAAAATATATTTAAAAATCTAAAATATTTTTTAATGCAGTGGTACAACATTTAACATTACAATGTATTCATATTCGTTTAAGATATCAATTTAATTTGTGTCTTTAACTCATTAAATAGAAAACTTTAACTGTTTCGATAGAGAACGTAAGAGAACAGAAATTCGAAGTACATTTTTGTGAAATAAATGATAAAAAAAAAAAAATATAAATAGTAATTTTATACGTAATTTTGACGTACAAAGGACAATTTAATTATATCACTTTTGTCACTATAATTTATATATACATATATATATATTTGTTATTATTTCTTTTCTTATCTTATTATTGCGTTGAATATATGACAGTAAAGTAAGAGACCGAAGCTTTCACCAACTGAAATGTTTATGTGTAATATATTGAATGCATTCTGAGAAATATTTTTCCTTACCGTAGCGAAACACTCTAACGATCCAGTAAATAATCCACCAACACCTACAGTAAATTCCTGAGCATTTCTCTGCAATAGAAATAGTATCAATCTTTGTATACGTAATGGAGCTATGTACCACTGGACGTTGTACCTATACAGTTAATGTAAACAAATTTGTAATTTAAAAAAAAGAGAAATCAATAATTTTGACTACAAATGTAAATATAAATATGTACATTCACATCACATATTTTTACGAACTATTATTATCTATGTTTTTTGTTTTTAATGTAAAATTTTGCATATAATTAACTATTCTGTATAATAGTATTTTATAGAAGTATATCTTACGCAGCAACAAATATATGTTTATTATGATCTGTTAAATGTTGCCCCATATAGTTGGCGCAGAACATATATATAACACTGACAAGTGTAAATAAAGAGGGATTGAAAATTTCATCAATATTAGCTCCACTCGACATTAGTCGAAAAATCTAAAATACAAAGTTTATAGTTATAATATAATCAGTTTTTTAGATATGAATTATTTTGTTACACACATAGGTAGTTTCTGAATTAATTAATAAAAATTATAAAAATTTATACAAAAACATAATATTCCTAAAAAATTTATTTTATTATATTTACTTTAAATATATTTTCGATAGTTTCTTTACTTTTGTTACAAAAATATTATATACGCAAAATATTATTCAAAAATATTATATAGTAAAAGAACAAAAATTTAAAAAATAGGAAACGGAGAACGAGAATTGTAGTTTTCCCTTACATAAAACACATATTATATCATAGAGTGTTTTAATGTTTAAAATTATCTTTAAGAACATAATTTAAAATTATCTTTAAGAACATAACTTAAGATGATATACCTGAAGCAGATTAAGGCTCAATGATGTTACTCCTGTTGTTATTAAACAGAACAACATTGCTTCAAATTTGGATACCAAAAATTTGGATAATCTTTAAAGACAAAAAATGTATTATTATTATACTATAAAAATATTGCTAAACTTATATTATACTCATATTATCGAGTGGATATTGACTTCATTGCTTGCCGATGGATATCTACGGCACATTTTATTTCTTTTAATATCAATATATTCTTCTCTGGAGTAATATTTTCTAACATACTGACTCTCATTGCGTGTTCAATGCGATAACTGTGAATATATTTATCAAGGAGTACATTTTTTGTTTTATTTGATGTCTTTGGAGTATATTTTTACAAATATAAATACTATTACACGTTTTTATTTAAAACTCAATTAAATGTTTTTGTTTTATACCTAGCGATTTTAAATAGTCCACACATGTGTATAAGATATGCAATAAGCATTGCTCCGGTTGCCACCATTGCACCTGTTCCAATGCAAAGTGCTGCATTTAAATGCACTAGCATTAAAAAGAAATATTTTTCTTGATCAACAAAATACTCTGTCGTAATCGGTAGACGACGTGGTTGAGATACGTTTGTTTGCAAAATGGCACCAGTTATATTGAATGTACATTGTATGCCAACAAGAATAATTATACCACAAATGTAAAACACTAAAAGTGATTAGAATATTTAAATATCTGTTGCACACGTTCCAAAAAAAGTTTACATGTAATATAAAATTTGGTCTTACCTGTAAGACCAGTCGTATAACGTTTTGCATCGTAGCTATATTTTTCAATGATAGCGCATTCATATTTATTTTTCAGATGATCGTGTATATGTTGAAATTGTGTCAATAAATTTTTTACCTGACAGTCCAACAATTTGTTTTACCGTTGTATATAATAAAAAATAGCTAATTATATAAAAATTTAATTATCAGAAATATTTGCTGGGAGTAGATACTATAAATAATTGACTTACAGCTTCGATGTTAATAGCGAAGAAGATGTATTTTATCGCAAAAATAGTAAAAAAGAGTGCGTTAGTTAAAACTTCGATGAAGAAATCAGTTGTGTATTTTGAAGTAAAAAATGTAGTAAACTGCAAGTAATAATTTTTTATAAGTGTTTGCATTATGGAATTTTTTTTTCAATTATTAATTAATTAATTAATTTTTTTACTATGAATTGTTTAATTGCCAACCACACAATAAATAATGAGATTATGAGGATTTATATCAAAATTTCGATTTATTTGTTGTTAGATAAAAAAATATATCTTTAGCTTTTATATATTATAAATCTATATAAATTATAATAATTAGATTTTTTATGCATAATTGAGTTATATGAAAATGTGTTGTTATTATATTATTATATACAGAGAATTCTGTTAACATTTTATTATATTTTTATAACGTTTTGTATACTATATTTTTTTATAACGTTATGTATATAGATTGGAACCGAAAAAATATTAATATAACTATTAATATATAAAAAAGATATCAGAAAACCACAATTTCAAATTTACAAATGATCAAAGACACTGATATTGCATATAGTTTTCACATTCAAATAATTACATATATTAGATGTGCATGTCGTGCATTGATCAATAAATTATTTTTTATTACTAAATTAATTTAACTATTTCTTTTTCTTTATTTTCGATGTATTGTATAATACTTGCTCTTTTCAATAATAAATTATAGGTAAATGTAATTTAATAAATTATTGAATCACGTAATAAATAATACAGAACTGTCAGGAATCATTATTTATATATTGTATTATAATTTCACTCGCAGCATAATAATAATAGTGGTAGTAATGAGAAGATATTGTCTTACTTGAAATAAAATAGCAGTCGTCAGAATACTAAAGAGGAAAATAAACCAAAGTCGGTCAAATTTTGATTGCTCATAAGGCCACAAACCTACAGTGACGAGAAGAATTCTGTTCAAACTAAAATACTGTGCCCTATCGGTCATTTCTTTAAGAACTCTTAAACATATGTGACGGTGACAAAATCGACGATGATGAGCTCACCCTTTTTTTCTTCATTGATCAATTTAATATTTTTTACATTTTCCCTCTTTCTGTGTAAATTTCAACGCAAATTTAATGTAACTATAGGCATTACACAAAATACCATCGTGTGATCGGAGCACATGCAATTCAACAAATTTCTCATGTATATATGTATAATTACGCGATCGATACGACGCTGAAATTACTTCGACGTATGTTCATTTCCCATGAATTAAACCCTTTACACAAAATAATCCCACGCAGGCGCTTTTCCCCTTTTTCGGAGCCGACACTTCATTCTATTACACGCACTCATAGAGTACGTTTCGTCTTTGAGAGGAATATCTTCTAACTTTGAACATTTCGTTACCTGATCTATATATCTGTGGTAAACTTTATATTATCTTAAATCGAATCAATGCACGGCACTTTTAAATTTTAAATCGACAATCGGTTCAATTAAAATTTTATCATTATTTGTTGCTAATATATTTACTAATATAAATATACTTTTTTTTAATCAAATTATTATATAATGCTAACGCGCTAAACAATGAATTATTTATTTAATAATAATATATCAGTAGAGTGAAAGACTATATATATTACTGATATATTTATTAAACATTCAGTTATATTTGATTAAATATAAACGATCAATGATATTGTAGTATCTATTTTTTGCAGTTTCTTCTTAATATAAAATAAAATTTTCGACATTCCTCAATTAATATATAATAATAGACAAATACAATTGTACCTAACACTGATAATTACTATAATTTTCATATCGTTCTTCATTCTAGAAACTACGTATATATAATTACAAGTATAGCGATTTATCTTGGGACCTCTTACGATAGAAAAAAATTATTCATCCAGAAATATGATCCGGAAAAATCTTTTTATCATGATATTTTTGCACAGACGCCTAAATACTTGGTTAACAATTTATTATAGTCGTCCCTGTGTTTGGTGCCAAAAAATATGAGTACGGTAGCATACTTTTAGATTATTTACGAAAGAAAAAAATTTATTTGTTAATAAACAAGGCCTGGAAGAGTTCCGTTTAACAAAATATTTACGCATATATGCGCACATAAATCCATCAAAAATTCATTGTGGCCGTTTTGATGTCTAGTTCTAAAAATCACAAGCATAGCGGTATATCTTACGATAGAAAAATTATATTATTGTTTGTTATATGTAATATATCTAAAAATTAAATGCTCTGTATGTGGAATAAGTATATAATTCGTGTTGTACATATTTAAAATTTTATTAGAATATTAAATATTTATTCTGTGATACGTCACCGTTAAAGAAAAAGAAATAAAAAAAATATTAAAGCAAAAATATAAATGAAAACAGCTATTTATTTTTTATATTTGTTTTTTTCTACATAAATGCTTTAAATAGGATTAGATTGTTAGGAGTAGAGTGTTATATAAAAGAATATTTAGGCTCCGGTGCGCGTATGTCGTCGAAGATTTTCGGATCGGGTTCATCATCAGGATCGAATTCTATATCCATTGGATCAATTATAGATGGTGGTTGTGGAATTCTAGGTTTCGCAATCGGTGCTGGTCGCATTAGACATGCTTCTATATTTTCTCTCACACATTTTTTCTCATCCATCGCATCTATTACGGATGCAGTTTCCCCTGCATATCGCATTATAGCTTCTATATTCTGTTCGTACTCCCAAGGCTATATATTGAATGAATAATAATAAAGACAATTTTAAATATTAAAAATCTCAATTTAGCTTATATTAAAATTCGTGTAAAATTAACATAAAAATTGTCCTCTTTTTAATACAAATTTTTTAAAGATATATAAGCTACATTTTTGGCAACTTTAACATTTTAAAATAATATATTTAAATGAGAATGTTTGCGAGAGTTAATATGCTAATTACATCTTGTTCAACGATATCCTTGTAATCTTTGGAATAAACATCCAATTTACAGTCTGAATCTATTAAAGATTCACACAACGCAAGATTATATTCAATTCCAGTGATGGCATTAGATTGACGATTTAAGAGTCTTTCTCTGCACTTTTGTGTGTCCACTTTGAGAATGATTACTCTGAACACATTTTTAAAAATCATTATTATTATAGATTTTTTTTAGAATTCTAGTTATATATTTCAAAAGAGGGAATGTGCCTATTGGGTGGCGTAGATATCATATCCATAAGTTTGAATTCTTCTATAGTTTTAGGATAATCGGTTAAAATCCATCCCTTTTTAAGACATTCGGATCCGAGGACGTATTGCTAGAAATAATAACAATATATATAAATAATAAAAAATTAAATCGATTTTTTTTTAATCAAACTGTATTGCACCTCAACAATTTGTATTCTCGCTTCTGCTTTTAATTTATGTCCGCATCTATGTTCACATAATCGCAACATTTCACCTAAAGCTATTTCTTGCGAACATGCTTGCTCCAGAATATAATTAAAATCAACTACAAAAATAATAATTCATTATTGTACACTCGAAAAATTATTAAAATTACATTTGTGCTTACTCAAAATTGTTATTTTAATAAAGAAAAAATATTTATATATATGTATATACATCACTTTAATGAAATATATAAATAATCTAGAGTAAATACTAAATATTAATAATATAATTATACCATGAACGAGATTAAATCTCTCAGATATATGCTTTGCCAAAGAGTGATTACCTGATTCTCGAGAACCTTCCATCTTGATTCTTATACATTAAAAAAATATATTTAAAAATCTAAAATATTTTTTAATGCAGTGGTACAATATTTAACATTACAATGTATTCATATTCGTTTAAGATATCAATTTAATTTGTGTCTTTAACTCATTACATAGAAAACTTTAACTGTTTCGGTAGAGAACGTAAAAGAACAAAAATTCGGAGTACATTTTTGTGAAATAAATGATAAAAAATATAAATAGTAATTTTATACGTAATTTTGACGTGCAAAGGACAATTTAATTATATCACTTTTGTCACACTATAATTTATATATACATATACATATATTTGTTATTATTTCTTTTCTTATCTTATTATTGCGTTGAATATATGACAGTAAAGTAAGAGACCGAAGCTTTCACCAACTGAAATGTTTATGTGTAATATATTGAATGCATTCTGAGAAATATTTTTCCTTACCGTAGCGAAACACTCTAACGATCCAGTAAATAATCCACCAACACCTACAGTAAATTCCTGAGCATTTCTCTGCAATAGAAATAGTATCAATCTTTGTATACGTAATGGAGCTATGTACCACTGGACGTTGTACCTATACAGTTAATGTAAACAAATTTGTAATTTAAAAAAAGAGAAATCAATAATTTTGACTATAAATGTAAATATAAATATGTACATTTACATCACATATTTTTACGAACTATTATTATCTATGTTTTTTGTTTTTAATGTAAAATTTTGCATATAATTAACTATTCTGTATAATAGTATTTTATAGGAATATATCTTACGCAGCAACAAATATTTGTTTATTATGATCTGTTAAATGTTGCCCCATATAGTTGGCGCAGAACATATATATAACACTGACAAGTGTAAATAAAGAGGGATTGAAAATTTCATCAATATTAGCTCCACTCGACATTAGTCGAAAAATCTAAAAAACAAATTTTATAGTTATAATATAATCAGTTTTTTTAAATATGAGTTATTTTGTTACACACATAGGTAGTTTCTAAATTAATTAATAAAAACTTATACAAAAACATAATATTCTTAAAAATTTATTTTATTATATTTATTTTAAATATATTTTCGATAGTTTCTTTACTTTTCTTACAAATTTATTATATACGCAAAATATTATTCAAAAATATTATATAGTAAAAGAACAAAAATATAAAAAATAGGAAACGGAGAACGAGAATTGTAGTTTTCTCTTACATAAAACACATATTATATCATAGAGTGTTTTGATGTTTATAATTATCTTTGAGAACATAATTTAAAATTATCTTTAAGAACATAATTTAAGATGATATACCTGAAGCAGATTAAGGCTCAATGATGTTACTCCTGTTGTTATTAAACAGAACAACATTACTTCAAATTTGGATACCAAAAATTTGGATAATCTTTAAAGACAAAAATATATTATTATTGTATAATACTATAAAATTATTGCTAAACTTATATTATACTCATATTATCGAGTGGATATTAACCTCATTGCTTGCCGATGGATATCTACGGTACATTTTATTTCTTTTAATATCAATATATCTTTCTCTGGAGTAATATTTTCTAACATACTGACTCTCATTGCGTGTTCAATGCGATAACTGTGAATATATTTATCAAGAAGTATATTTTTTGTTTTATTTGATGTCTTTGGAGTATATTTTTACAAATATGAATACTATTACACGTTTTTATTTAAAACTCGATTAAATGTTTTTGTTTTATACCTAGCGATTTTAAATAGTCCACACATGTGTATAAGATATGCAATAAGCATTGCTCCGGTTGCCACCACTGCACCTGTTCCAATGCAAAGTGCTGTATTTAAATGCACTAGCATTAAAAAGAAATATTTTTCTTGATCAACAAAATACTCTGTCGTAATCGGCAGACGACGTGGTTGAGATACGTTTGTTTGCAAAATGGCACCAGTTATATAGAATGGACATTGTATGCCAACAAGAATAATTATACCACAAATGTAAATCACTAAAAGTGATTAGAAAGTGATTAGAACATTTAAATATCTGTTACACACGTTCCAAAAAAAGTTTACATGTAATATAAAATTTGATCTTACCTGTAAGCGCAATCGAAAAACGTTTTGCATTATAGCTATATTTTTCAATGATAGCGTATTCATATTTATTTTTCAGTTGATCGTGTATATGTTGAAATTGTGTCAATAAATTTTTCACCTGACAATCCAACAATTTGTTTTACCGTTGTATATAATAAAAAATAGCTAATTATATAAAAATTTAATTATCAGAAATATTGCTAGGAGTGGATATTATAAATAATTGACTTACAGCTTCGATGTTAATAGCGAAGAAGATGTATTTTATCGCAAAATTAGTAAAAAAGAGTGCGTTAGTTAAAACTTTGATGAAGAAATCAGTTGTGTATTTTGAAGTAAAAAATGTAGTAAACTGCAAGTAATAATTTTTTATAAGTGTTTGCATTATGGAATTTTTTTTTTCAATTATTAATTAATTAATTAATTTTTTTACTATGAATTGTTTAATTGCCAACCACACAATGAATAATGAGATTATTAGGATTTATATCAAAATTTCGATTTATTTGTTGTTAGATAAAAATATATCTTTAGCTTTTATATATTATAAATCTATATAAATTATAATAATTAGATTTTTTATGCATAATTGAGTTATATGAAAATGTGTTGTTATTATATTATTATATACAGAGAATTCTGTTAACATTTTACTATATTTTTATAACGTTTTGTATACTATATTTTTTTATAACGTTATGTATATAGATTGGAACCGAAAATATTAATATAACTATTAATATACAAAAAAGATATCAGAAAACCACAATTTCAAATTTACAAATGATCAAAGACACTGTTATTGCATATAATTTTCGCATTCAAATAATTACATATATTAGATGTGCATGTCGTGCATTGATCAATAAATTATTTTTCATTATTGAATTAATTTAACTATTTCTTTTTCTTTATTTTCGATGTATTGTATAATACTTGCTCTTTTTAATAATAAATTATAGATGAATGTAATTTAATAAATTATTGAATCACGTAATAAATAATACAGAACTGTCAGGAATCATTATTTATATATTATAATTTCGCTCGCAGCATAATAATAATAGCGGTAGTAATAAAAAGATATTGTCTTACTTGAAATAAAATAGCAGTCGTCAGAATACTAAAGAGGAAAATGAACCAAAGTCGGTCAAATTTTGATTGCTCATAAGGCCACAAGCCTACAGTGACGAGCAGAATTCTGTTCAAACTAAAATACTGTGCCCTATCGGTCATTTCTTTAAGAACTCTAAAACATATGTGACGGTGAAAAAATCGACGACGATAAGCTCACCCTATTTTTCTTCATTGATCAATTTAATATTTTTTTACATTTTCCCTCTTTCTGCGTAAATTTCAACGCAAATTTAATGTAACTATAGGCATTACACAAAATACCATCGTGTGATCGGAGCACATGCAATTCAACAAATTTCTCATGTATATATGTATAATTACGCGATCGATACGACGCTGAAATTACTTCGACGTATGTTCATTTCCCATGAATTAAACCCTTTCCACAAAATAATCCCACGCAGGCGCTTTTCCCCTTTTTCGGAGCCGACACTTCATTTTATTACATGCACTCATAGAGTACGTTTCGTCTTTGAGAGGAATATCTTCTAACTTTGAACATTTCGTTACCGGATCTATATCTGTGGTAAACTTTATATTATCTTAAATCGAATCAATGCACGGCACTTTTAAATTTTAAATCGACAATCGGTTCAATTAAAATTTTATCATTATTTGTTGCTAATATATTTACTAATATAAGTATACTTTTTTTTACTAAAATTATTATATAATGCTAACGCGCTAAACAATGAATTATTTATTTAATAATAATATATCAGTAGAGTGAGAGACTATATATATTACTGATATATTTATTAAACATTCAGTTATATTTGATTAAATATAAACGATCAATGATATTGTAGTATCTATTTTTTGCAGTTTCTTCTTAATATAAAATAAAATTTTCGACATTTCTCAATTAATATATAATAATAGACAAATACAATTGTACCTAACACTGATAATTACTATAATTTTCATATCGTTCTTCATTCTAGAAACTATATATAATTACAAGTATAGCGATTTATCTTGGGACTTCTTACGATAGAAAAAAAATTATTCATCGAAAAATATGATCCGGAAAAATCTTTTTATCATGATATTTTTGCACAGACGCCTAAATACTTGGTTAACAATTTATTACAGTCGTCCCTGTGTTTGGTTCCAAAAAATATGAGTACGGTAGCATACTTTTAGATTATTTACGAAAGAAAAAAATTTATTTGTTAATAAACAAGGCCTGGAAGAGTTCCGTTTAACAAAATATTTACGCATATATGCGCACATAAATCCATCAAAAATTCATTGTGGCCGTTTTGATGTCTAGTTCTAAAAATCACAAGCATAGCGGTATATCTTACGATAGAAAAATTATATTATTGTTTGTTATATGTAATATATCTAAAAAATTAAATGCTCTGTATGTGGAATAAGTATATAATTCGTGTTGTATATATTTAAAATTTTATTAGAATATTAAATATTTATTCTGTGATACGTCACCGTTAAAGAAAAAGAAATAAAAAAATATTAAAGCAAAAATATAAATGAAAACAGCTATTTATTTTTTATATTTGTTTTTTTCTACATAAATGCTTTAAATAGGATTAGATTGTTAGGAGTAGAGTGTTATATAAAAGAATATTTAGGCTCCGGTGCGCGTATGTCGTCGAAGATTTTCGGATCGGGTTCATCATCAGGATCGAATTCTATATCCATTGGATCAATTATAGATGGTGGTTGTGGAATTCTAGGTTTCGCAATCGGTGCTGGTCGCATTAGACATGCTTCTATATTTTCTCTCACACATTTTTTCTCATCGCATCTATTACGGATGCAGTTTCCCCTGCATATCGCATTATAGCTTCTATATTCTGTTCGTACTCCCAAGGCTATATATTGAATGAATAATAATAAAGACAATTTTAAATATTAAAAATCTCAATTTAGCTTATATTAAAATTCGTGTAAAATTAACATAAAAATTGTCCTCTTTTTAATACAAATTTTTTAAAGATATATAAGCTACATTTTTGGCAACTTTAACATTTTAAAATAATATATTTAAATGAGAATGTTTGCGAGAGTTAATATGCTAATTACATCTTGTTCAACGATATCCTTGTAATCTTTGGAATAAACATCCAATTTACAGTCTGAATCTATTAAAGATTCACACAACGCAAGATTATATTCAATTCCAGTGATGGCATTAGATTGACGATTTAAGAGTCTTTCTCTGCACTTTTGTGTGTCCACTTTGAGAATGATTACTCTGAACACATTTTTAAAAATCATTATTATTATAGATTTTTTTTAGAATTCTAGTTATATATTTCAAAAGAGGGAATGTGCCTATTGGGTGGCGTAGATATCATATCCATAAGTTTGAATTCTTCTATAGTTTTAGGATAATCGGTTAAAATCCATCCCTTTTTAAGACATTCGGATCCGAGGACGTATTGCTAGAAATAATAACAATATATATAAATAATAAAAAATTAAATCGATTTTTTTTTAATCAAACTGTATTGCACCTCAACAATTTGTATTCTCGCTTCTGCTTTTAATTTATGTCCGCATCTATGTTCACATAATCGCAACATTTCACCTAAAGCTATTTCTTGCGAACATGCTTGCTCCAGAATATAATTAAAATCAACTACAAAAATAATAATTCATTATTGTACACTCGAAAAATTATTAAAATTACATTTGTGCTTACTCAAAATTGTTATTTTAATAAAGAAAAAATATTTATATATATGTATATACATCACTTTAATGAAATATATAAATAATCTAGAGTAAATACTAAATATTAATAATATAATTATACCATGAACGAGATTAAATCTCTCAGATATATGCTTTGCCAAAGAGTGATTACCTGATTCTCGAGAACCTTCCATCTTGATTCTTATACATTAAAAAAATATATTTAAAAATCTAAAATATTTTTTAATGCAGTGGTACAATATTTAACATTACAATGTATTCATATTCGTTTAAGATATCAATTTAATTTGTGTCTTTAACTCATTACATAGAAAACTTTAACTGTTTCGGTAGAGAACGTAAAAGAACAAAAATTCGGAGTACATTTTTGTGAAATAAATGATAAAAAAATATAAATAGTAATTTTATACGTAATTTTGACGTACAAAGGACAATTTAATTATATCACTTTTGTCACTATAATTTATATATACATATATATATATTTGTTATTATTTCTTTTCTTATCTTATTATTGCGTTGAATATATGACAGTAAAGTAAGAGACCGAAGCTTTCACCAACTGAAATGTTTATGTGTAATATATTGAATGCATTCTGAGAAATATTTTTCCTTACCGTAGCGAAACACTCTAACGATCCAGTAAATAATCCACCAACACCTACAGTAAATTCCTGAGCATTTCTCTGCAATAGAAATAGTATCAATCTTTGTATACGTAATGGAGCTATGTACCACTGGACGTTGTACCTATACAGTTAATGTAAACAAATTTGTAATTTAAAAAAAAGAGAAATCGTAATTTTGACTACAAATGTAAATATAAATATGTACATTCACATCACATATTTTTACGAACTATTATTATCTATGTTTTTTGTTTTTAATGTAAAATTTTGCATATAATTAACTATTCTGTATAATAGTATTTTATAGAAGTATATCTTACGCAGCAACAAATATATGTTTATTATGATCTGTTAAATGTTGCCCCATATAGTTGGCGCAGAACATATATATAACACTGACAAGTGTAAATAAAGAGGGATTGAAAATTTCATCAATATTAGCTCCACTCGACATTAGTCGAAAAATCTAAAATACAAAGTTTATAGTTATAATATAATCAGTTTTTTAGATATGAGTTATTTTGTTACACACATAGGTAGTTTCTGAATTAATTAATAAAAATTATAAAAATTTATACAAAAACATAATATTCCTAAAAAATTTATTTTATTATATTTACTTTAAATATATTTTCGATAGTTTCTTTGCTTTTGTTACCAAAATATTATATACGCAAAATATTATTCAAAAATATTATATAGTAAAAGAACAAAAATTTAAAAAATAGGAAACGGAGAACGAGAATTGTAGTTTTCCCTTACATAAAACACATATTATATCATAGAGTGTTTTAATGTTTAAAATTATCTTTAAGAACATAATTTAAAATTATCTTTAAGAACATAATTTAAAATTATCTTTAAGAACATATTTTAAGATGGTATACCTGAAGCAGATTAAGGCTCAATGATGTTACTCCTGTTGTTATTAAACAGAACAACATTGCTTCAAATTTGGATACCAAAAATTTGGATAATCTTCAAAGACAAAAAATGTATTATTATTATACTATAAAAATATTGCTAAACTTATATTATACTCATATTATCGAGTGGATATTGACTTCATTGCTTGCCGATGGATATCTACGGCACATTTTATTTCTTTTAATATCAATATATTCTTCTCTGGAGTAATATTTTCTAACATACTGACTCTCATTGCGTGTTCAATGCGATAACTGTGAATATATTTATCAAGGAGTACATTTTTTGTTTTATTTGATGTCTTTGGAGTATATTTTTACAAATATGAATACTATTACACGTTTTTATTTAAAACTCGATTAAATGTTTTTGTTTTATACCTAGCGATTTTAAATAGTCCACACATGTGTGTAAGATATGCAATAAGCATTGCTCCGGTTGACACCATTGCACCTATTCCAATGCAAAGTGCTGTATTTAAATGCACTAGCATTAAAAAGAAATATTTGTCTTGATCAACAAAATACTCTGTCGTAATCGGTAGACGACGTGGTTGAGATACGTTTGTTTGCAAAATGGCACCAGTTATATTGAATGTACATTGTATGCCAACAAGAATAATTATACCTCAAATGTAAAACACTAAAAGTGATTAGAATATTTAAATATCTGTTGCACACGTTCCAAAAAAAGTTTACATGTAATATAAAATTTGGTCTTACCTGTAAGACCAGTTGTATAACGTTTTGCATCGTAGCTATATTTTTCAATGATAGCGTATTCATATTTATTTTTCAGATGATCGTGTATATGTTGAAATTGTGTCAATAAATTTTTCACCTGACAGTCCAACAATTTGTTTTACCGTTGTATAAAATAAAAAATAGCTAATTATAAAAAAATTTAATTATCAGAAATATTTCCTGGGAGTAGATACTATAAATAATTGACTTACAGCTTCGATGTTAATAGCGAAGAAGATGTATTTTATCGCAAAAGTAGTAAAAAAGAGTGCGTTAGTTAAAACTTCGATGAAGAAATCAGTTGTGTATTTTGAAGTAAAAAATGTAGTAAACTGCAAGTAATAATTTTTTATAAGTGTTTGCATTATGGAATTTTTTTTTCAATTATTAATTAATTAATTAATTTTTTTACTATGAATTGTTTAATTGCCAACCACACAATGGATAATGAGATTATTAGGATTTATATCAAAACATTGATTTATTTGTTGTTAGATAAAAATATATTTTTAGCTTTTATATATTATAAATCTATATAAATTATAATAATTAGATTTTTTATGCATAATTGAGTTATATGAAAATGTGTTGTTATTATATTATTATATACAGAGAATTCTGTTAACATTTTACTATATTTTTATATCGTTTTGTATACTATGTTTCTTATAACGTTATGTATATAGATTGGAACCGAAAAAAAATATTAATATAACTATTAATATATAAAAAAGATATCAGAAAACCACAATTTCAAATTTACAAATGATCAAAGACACTGTTATTGCATATAATTTTCGCATTCAAATAATTACATATATTAGATGTGCATGTCGTGCATTCATCAATAAATTATTTTTTATTGCTGAATTAATTTAACTATTTCTTTTTCTTTATTTTCGATGTATTGTATAATACTTGCTCTTTTCAATAATAAATTATAGGTGAATGTTATTTAATAAATTATTGAATCACGTAATAAATAATACAGAACTGTCAGGAATCATTATTTATATATTATAATTTCGCTCGCAGCATAATAATAATAGCGGTAGTAATAAAAAGATATTGTCTTACTTGAAATAAAATAGAAGTCGTCAGAATACTAAAGAGGAAAATAAACCAAAGTCGGTCAAATTTTGATTGCTCATAAGGCCACAAGCCTACAGTGACGAGCAGAATTCTGTTCAAACTAAAATACTGTGCCCTATCAGTCATTTCTTTAAGAACTCTAAAACATATGTGACGGTGAAAAAATCGACGACGATAAGCTCACTCTTTTTTTCTTCATTGATCAATTTAATATTTTTTTATATTTGCCCTCTTTTTGCGTAAATTTCAACGCAAATTTAATGTAACTATAGGCATTACACAAAATACCATCGTGTGATCGGAGCACATGCAATTCAACAAATTTCTCATGTATATATGTATAATTACGCGATCGATACGACGCTGAAATTACTTCGACGTATGTTCATTTCCCATGAATTAAACCCTTTCCACAAAATAATCCCACGCAGGCGCTTTTCCCCTTTTTCGGAGCCGACACTTCATTTTATTACATGCACTCATAGAGTACGTTTCGTCTTTGAGAGGAATATCTTCTAACTTTGAACATTTCGTTACCGGATCTATATCTGTGGTAAACTTTATATTATCTTAAATCGAATCAATGCACGGCATTTTAAATTTTAAATCGACAATCGGTTCAATTAAAATTTTATCATTATTTGTTGCTAATATATTTACTAATATAAGTATACTTTTTTTTACTAAAATTATTATATAATGCTAACGCGCTAAACAATGAATTATTTATTTAATAATAATATATCAGTAGAGTGAGAGACTATATATATTACTGATATATTTATTAAACATTCAGTTATATTTGATTAAATATAAACGATCATATGTAATATATCTAAAAAAATTAAATGCTCTGTATGTGGAATAAAATATATAATTCATGTTGTATATATTTAAAATTTTATTAGAATATTAAATATATATTCTATGATACGTCATTGTTAAAGAAAAAGAAATAAAAAAAATATTAAAGCAAAAATATAAATGAAAACAGCTATTTATTTTTTATATTTGTTTTTTTCTACATAAATGCTTTAGACAGGATTAGATTGTTAGGAGTAGAGTGTTATATAAAAGAATATTTAGGCTCCGGTGCGCGTATGTCGTCGAAGATTTTTGGATCGGGTTCATCATCAGGATCGAATTCTATATCCATGGGATCAATTATAGATGGTGGTTGTGGAATTCTAGGTTTCGCAATCGGTGCTGGTCGCATTAGACATGCTTCTATATTTTCTCTCACACATTTTTTCTCATCCATCGCATCTATTACGGATGCAGTTTCCCCTGCATATCGCATTATAGCTTCTATATTCTGTTCGTACTCCCAAAGCTATATATTGAATGAATAATAATAAAGACAATTTTAAATATTAAAAATCTCAATTTAGCTTATATTAAAATTCGTGTAAAATTAACATAAAAATTGTCCTCTTTTTAATACAAATTTTTTAAAGATATATAAGTTACATTTTTGGCAACTTTAACATTTTAAAATAATATATTTAAATGAGAATGTTTGCGAGAGTTAATATGCTAATTACATCTTGTTCAACGATATCCTTGTAATCTTTGGAATAAACATCCAATTTACAGTCTGAATCTATTAAAGATTCACACAACGCAAGATTATATTCAATTCCAGTGATGACATTAAATTGACGATTTAAGAGTCTTTCTCTGCACTTTTGTGTGTCCATTTTGAGAATGATTACTCTGAACACATTTTTAAAAATCATTATTATTATAGATTTTTTTTAGAATTCTATTATAGTTATTTCAAAAGAGGGAATGTGTGAACCTATTGGGTGGCGTAGATATCATATCCATAAGTTTGAATTCCTCTATAGTTTTAGGATAATCGGTTAAAATCCATCCCTTTTTAAGACATTCGGATCCGAGGACGTATTGCTAGAAATAATAACAATATATATAAATAATAAAAAATTTAATCGATTTTTTTTTTAATCAAACTGTATTGCACCTCAACAATTTGTATTCTCGCTTCTGCTTTTAATTTATGTCCGCATCTATGTTCACATAATCGCAACATTTCACCTAAAGCTATTTCTTGCGAACATGCTTGCTCCAGAATATAATTAAAATCAACTACAAAAATAATAATTCATTATTGTACACTCGAAAAATTATTAAAATTACATTTGTGTTTACTCAAAATTGTTATTTTAATAAAGAAAAAATATTTATATATATGTATATACATCACTTTAATGAAATATATAAATAATCTAGAGTAAATATTAAATATTAATTATATAATTATACCATGAACGAGATTAAATCTCTCAGATATATGCTTTGCCAAAGAGTGATGACCTGATTCTCGAGAACCTATAAGAACAATGCGAAAGAGCGATGGTGCCCTATAATGTTTCCTAATTTTCGTTAATTTTACGCAATCTTTGCCTAGTTCTTGAATTGTCTTAACACCAGCTTTAACTTCCTAAAAAATTTTTTTTTTCATCTATTTTAATCCATTTTTTATATCGTCCAGCAGAATGTTATGTATATGTTTAATTAATATAAAATATATAAATTATTATATATTTGCACGATTTATAATTTAAGAAATAATTATGATATAAAAATGAATTTTTTCTATTATATAAATATAATATTAATGTTAATATTAATAATACTAAATAATGATACTGATAATAATAATGAAAAAAGTAATACTATTATTACTGAAATATGATATAAAAAATTAATTATAACTAAATAAAATAATTAAAAAATTATAACTAATTAAAAATTATAACTAACAATTAAAAGATTAGCATAAGCTTCACGTAGACCTCGAAGAGTTTTTTTATAATTGCATTGCTTCACATCTTCTAAAAATAAATGTGATTTATGAAAAGATGAATCAGATATAGATCAATTTTGCATTTGATCAGAAATATTAAAGATTTTATATTTAATTCTGTTAATACGTATTTGAAATAGATTACTATGTATGTTTTAATTTTAATTTTGTTTGTGTGCATTTTAAAATATTTTCACACATTATGTATACATTGTTTAAATATATTAATATAAAAAATATTAATATAAAATATTAATTATACACAATGTCATTTAATATAAAAAATTTTGATTTATCTTTACAGGTTGACTTTTGGGCTTCAAAACTAAAAATGGGCTTAAATAGGTATGATATAAGAATAGCAGAGAATAATACTGATCATATACATATAGTAAGTATACTTTGCATTTCGTCCTCTAAATTTGATGGAATAATTTGTATTACGTGTGTAGGTATCACGCCAACACGTTGCATTGCACGTGCTTCCTTTTTGTTTCTTGGTATATCTATATCGAAGTACATAAATTATTTTCATGCAAAAGATAAAAGATTTACGTTTCTTCTAATAGTTGTGAATAATATGATATTTAACTAATTAAATAGTTTATTATTAATTTATTAATTAATATTTTATAAATATTATTAATATTTAAAAATTTTCTAAAAAAATTTAGCAGAATAACTTCAAGAGACAATTTAATCAAAAAAGGTCCATCCAAATTCGGTACCAACTAAGGTCCATCCAGATTCGTGAAGTATTCCCGACATTAACATTTCCTTCATTTTCATTGCAATCTGATTAGCATTATGAGAATAACACATGTTCTGAAATGTATGTGCGTATATAAAATATTATGTAATAAAATAAAAAAATAATTAACGTTCTTTTTTCTTCTTTCTGTGAGACATAAACAATAAATAATTTTAACATCATACTTCAGCAGAGGATGAAGCATAAAGATCTTTTAGAGTCACAGGACGATTACTAATTTCCTTTTGAAGAATTTTCGCAAGAGTTAGTTTGTCTGAATCGATACAAAGAAAATGTTTTGTTTTATTTGTCTTAAAAAAAAAATAAAATATATATATATATATATATATTTACAATATGTATATATTTTAAATAAAAATATTGTAAATTCTTTAAAATAAATATGAAGCATAAATATTTTTAACATAAATATGAAGCATTTCTTGACTTTTATAATCTTATTTTATAAATAATATATTATAATAATAGCAAATCTCTCTTAGAAAAATATTTATGCAATTAATCGTGTTAACGTTTAATTATGCGAATTTTACCAAAATTTGGAGGAGCTATAAGGATGATTCTGGGAATATCTCGTTTTCGTATAGCATGTTGAATGCATTGTTTCATAAACACTATTGGATCCTCGGGTTGTTGGATCAATAATTGTGTCACTAATTCCTATAAATTTCTTTTATGATACAGTACAATGTAAAAATACACAATATATGTATGAAAAAAATATATATTTTAATATATATTGACATATACATATATAATATATATTGAAATATAATATAATTAATATTAACAAAAAATATATGAACAGAGAGATCAAACGAACAAGATGATATAATTTATAATTACATAAAAGAATTCGTATAATCTATGCTTCTCCATATAAGGCACAAAATCCGGAGGAATGGTTAAAAATCTTCTTGTCATTTCTTCAAAATCGCACATATTTTATAATTTTTCGTAGAAATATTTAAATTAACACACAATACACATCCTTTGACGTTGACATATTTTTTCCCTTTCTAAAGAGGCAAAGTCGATTATCGCAAATATTGTTGCTGCTTTTTCGAGATGATATATAATTGGTTGTCTCGAATAACATTGTATGCTATATATATTAATAGCATTAAGCAACTTTTATCGTGAAAGTTAACAGTTTGACAAATGTAAAATAAATAGTAAAAATAATATGTTATAAATAAATAAATAATATGTTTTAAATAATTAATATATTAGGAAATACATATATATACCTAAACTCGATTAATATTTTTGACAATTATTAATTTTGGTAGTTATCAGAAATCAGCTGATAACTGTCAAAAATATTAATCGAGTTTAAAGAATTTTTTTAATCAGCTGATTTCTGTCAAAAAATATTGATCGCGAATAAAGTATTATATAATAACATATAATTTATGACATATTACTATTTTAATTTTTATAATATATTTTTGTTTTAAAATTTAATTAACAATAATTTAATGATTTAATTTGTGTCAAAAATAAAATAAAATTTCGTGCGAATTAAAATTATATATACACACATATAATAGAAATAAAAATTATATTTATTCTAAAATAATATCCCAAATGTATAGTAATATTGTTACTTAATTTTTTTATAATAATTATTTTCTATTCTCAAAATTTACTTTCTCTTATTTGTTTGTTTACATATACATATATATAGTATACATAAAGTAATTTTCTTCTTTACCATCCGTACTTCAAATGACTCACAGCTTTCCATTCTACAATATTTTCTAAGAGGGCGCTAATGAACAGCGAACATTTCAAGCTATTCAAATTAATCTTCGTGATTGTTTACAGAGGGAAGCAGTTATTCAAAATGGAGCAACTTTGAGCGGCATAAACAGGCATAAGTGCATCTCGTGCATATTCGATTTGAAAAGAGTTTGAAATATCTCGATATATATATTTCACAAAATACGCAACGTGGGAAATTTAGTTTCAAAGTGATGTTTGTCAATCTTTAACACTTGCCAAAATGGGTAAGAATATATTTTTATTATATATCCATTCTTGGAAACAAAACAATGCTATCTTTTTTTTGTATGAATATATCTAAAAAAATTATAATTTAAGAGAATTTTTATAATTTTTATGAATATTAGCTTCTTTTTGTTTCCAAGTTATAGAGAATGGCACTGATTGCTATCATTATTTTTATTGAGTATAATGGATGATGATTGCGTTTATAGGTAAAACAAGAAGAAATACTCGAAGCATGAGAGAGAGTAGCAATGACATGTTTTTATCACAAGATCAACCTGGCCCAAGTAGTCAGATTGATGTCTTATCACAACGAAGCAGTAGAAATACATCCCTCCGAGAATCACAGATGATGGGCTCGCAAGACTTGGATACACAAGAGAAAATGCAATTAGTTAGCAGTGTAATAAGATATTTGTTTGCGGCAGATAAGAATAAACAGCCTATACAAAAGGCACACATCGTTAAAAATGTACTGAACGGAAGTAACAAATTGTTCCATACAATTATGGAGAAAGTGAACAGGGAATTGTTTGAGGTATATTTATCCATGCATTTTAATTACTATTTTATATATATATATATATATATATATATATATATATATATATATAATTGTACAATTATTCTGAAATTGAAACTTTCTTATTTTGACATTTGACATTAAATTATGTTTTTAAAATTGTATGTTCTTTATTCTTAAAATTATAAAAATATTTATGAAATTATTGATTTTCGATGAAAGGTATTCGGATTTGAACTGGTAGAAATCGAAAATAATAGATACATATTGGCGAATAAGATGGAAAACAATCTTCCACATCTCATTTTCCAAAATAGCAATAAGCAGGTGCTATTGTATCTTGTGCTTGTTCACATTTTTATGCATGGCGAAGCATGCCAAGAAGGTGATTTTACTTATTTAAGATATTTATTGTTTATATATTTTATTAAATAACAATAATATGAAAATATTTGATAAATGTAAATATTTTTTCAGATATGTTATGGAATTTTCTGCGCAGTCTCGGTATCATAACTAACAACAGTTTCCAAAATGAATACTTTGGTGATGTGAAACAATTGGTGACAGTAGTAAGAAATGACATGATTATAAAATTTTATCATATACAAAATAATGGATATTTAAATGTTATTTATTCATATATATAGGATTTTGTAAATGAGAGATATCTTGAAAAAAAATCAGTAGATAAGAATGATCAATCACGATTGGAGTATATATGGGGAGCCCGAGCAGAAAATGAGTTGACTTATCGCTCCGTCTTGCAGTTTGTGGCAGATGTAAGCTCAAAATTATATGTTCACAATAATTTTTTTATGTGTACATACATGCATACATTGATATATGTACATGTAAAAGAACAAACTTATTAGATATACTAAATTACATTTTTTTAATTTTATATTTTTTATTTTTTCTAAAAAATATGATTAAGATTAAATCAATGTGTGAATATATATATATATATATATATATATATATTTCTTTGTATTATCTTATATGAAACAATGATACATAATGTCGCTACATATATATATATATATACACATACATACATATATTATATTAATTGCAGATATATGGCGTTTCTCCGAATAATTGGAAATTACAATATAAAGTTATGAGTGAACAAGAACGAAACAAAAAATAAATATTATAATTGAAAAAATGATAAAAATATTAATTAAAGACATTATTACTATTATTTTTTTATTTTTATTCATAAAAAATTTACGAAAGAAAACTATGAGAAAGAGACACTGAGAAAGAGATACCAAAAAATGTATTATTTAAAATACAATATCTAGATAAAGAATTTATATAAAACAAAGCAATGTAACTTATATATAGGATAAGATATATTTTAATTTTGTTGAAAGAGATATGTGTATAATTAAATGATACTATATTTCTAGATTGATTTACTTACGATTTCACGTCCCTGAGAAGCAACCCTAAAACTGCGAGGATTATAGTTTGTGTGGGATCAAGTTCAAGCGAGAAAAATAAAGACTCGCAAAACAGCACGTTCCCGGAATTGTGCTTAATCCACTTTATTTCTACTTAAAAACTATATAAAGAGAATTAAAAATTTCAAAATTTACGCTTACTTTCTACAATCGTTTTACAAGATCAGAGATCATATAATATAATTTGTACTTGTGTACACAGGAATTTAGATAGCACACATTTCCAAATCTGTGTCATCTCGTTTCGCATATGTAAAATCGTTTTTCTAGTCGCAGATGAATCCAAGATTAGACCTCATCAAGTTGGATCACGTCTACATTTGTACTCTACCGAGGGAAAAAATAAAAAGAAGAAGAAGGAAGAAAGGGAAACTTTGAAGAGAGTTTCGTTCCCTCGTGTGCCATTCGTGCCATTTACCTCGCCTCACCCTTTCGGAGGGTGAAGGAGCGCGGGAAGGTGGGGTTGTGCAGAACGGAACGGAATCTGTGTCGCGCCGGGTCGGTCGGCCACACCGCCGCCGGGGATCTCTCCTCGCGCGCTCTCTCCATCACATCAGTGTCCACCCAGCCTCGCTGCTGCTCGGCGCGGCGCCGACGTCATCGCGTCGTCCGTCTGAAGTCGCGATTCCGCCGCGGCGGAACACGCGTTGGAAGTCCACGCGCGCCGTACACTGCCCTACGGTTCCACCGCGCACCGGGTCGATAGCACGGAAACTCGAACTTCGAGTACATTGCACCTGCCCCGGGAAAAATCGGAGGATCGTCGCGCTTTCGATTCGGTACGACAACCTGATTTTTTATTAGTGTTTTTGATAAGAAAATTTATTTTTTTTTTTTTTTTTTTTTACAGAGTCTTATGTATAAAAATGTCTGCGCGATATGTAGGGAAGAAATTTGTTATAAAAAATGATAAAACACGCCTTAGATTATCGTTTCAAATGTTTAATGCTGAGTTAAATTTTTTTAGATTTTTTTGTATATGAGAGAAATATAATATATTTCTTTTTCTATTTTATTTATTTAAAAAATTAATATCTCTTCCTATGGAATTTCCTTTAAAAATACAATATGTATATGACTTTTATCGATCCTCCTGTATATATATCGTATTTTCGAGTACGCATAGAATTCACAATATTTTGAGATATGCTATGAGAATATATTTTATTCTTTTTTTGTAAATTATAAAAAATGTCATTAAATAAATTTTCAGTAACATTTTATTTCCACTATATTACGATAATATTTTGTAGATCAAATTGATTAACATAGAGTTATATATATATATATATAGGAGATTATTAAAAACAATTTTTTATTAATTTAATATGTATAAATATTTATATATTTTCTTTTTTTCTAATAGTATCACGCGCGGAAATTTTTTTGACCAACGATTCTACGGACCAACCAATCCTCTGTGATATTTTGTCGATTTTCAACATCAAGATAATTCAATATCAAAGGGCTCGATTCATATTTCTCAACGGTAAGTAAGCGATGAATTAAACCGTTGGCAATCGATTAAATATTAAGTCCTGCATAGAGAATTATAAGGAGAAAAGTGGCTTAAAAGCGCTGCATTAATTTAATTGTGATATTAAATGTAATAACATTAATAAAAAAATATAAGAAAAAAGTAATAAAGTTATTAATTTTATAATTAATGAAATATTAATTTTCTCTCTCGTATCATATTTCTTATTTATATTATCATTTTAATTTCTATTTTAAAATTTAGAAATTTCAGGAGAAAGCAAAGAGAAAATTTAATAGATATTATAGTTCACAGAAATATAACTTGTACTATATTGACTCATGAATTATGTGCATACAATATGAATTATTTTAAGCGATCAATATACTTTTCCGATTACTTAGGCTTAATAATAAATTTCATAAAAGGTAGTCCTTGGTATTATTAATTATATTAATGCAGTTTTGTCATAAACACGTTTCAAATCCATATCATTTTCAGCATTTCTTATTTCATAAAAGAGAATATATTATAGAATATATAAGATAACAGATCTCTCCTGCATATAGAAAAATGCTAATCTAATGACGTAATATTCTTAAGGAGAATCTTTCTTTGTACCATTTTTTTCTTTTTATACAAGTGGATTTTTCAAATATCTGCGACCTCAGGATAGAATATTCTGACAAATAATAGGTGTTTTGAGCGGACGCGTTTATTCGCTTCATATCGATCTGGAATTTCGAGAGCGTTATTAATAGCAAAACGATTCCGCGCTTTAATAATGTATTCGCGTGTATCTTTTGCGACGTTGACTAGCAATAATTTGCTTCGATTGTGAAATTAAACCGATAAAAGGTCAGAGGAAAAATCCAACAATTTATAAAAAGCTGTTAAAGGAAGCGTTTTTCTCGAAGAGTCCCGAGAGAGAGAATCAATTATACAATTTTTTTTTCTTTATTATTATTCTCCTTTACGAAGGTAAACGCTGCCAATTATAAAATCAGAACATCTCTTTTCTCTCTATCATTGCATTTAATAATATATATAAAAGATGCTGGTTTTTAGTAAAAACAAATGCAGAGAATAAATTATTTCGTTTGTTTAAAAAAAAATGATTACAATTTGAGATTTCAAATTAATTTTATGGAAGTTTCATATTCATATGATATATTTTCTAGATTGAATAATCTTTTTCAAAAATATTTTGTTATATATTTTTAATAAATTAAATGCATCAGCATTTACACGTGCACGTTAACAAACTTTCTGATAGAAAAAAATTATTAGACAAATAATTAAAACGATATCTTTAACAAATATTTGAACATTTAATAAAATGTGGTATGATACAATTTCTAATTTTTATTGGAATCATTTTATTATTGCAACAATAATTTTTTTCCACTACCAGATAATTAAAAGTTAAATTGAATAAACTGTTACATTGCATGTATATAAAAATTATCAAATAATTTTTTGAAAATCCTTATTCTTTTATGTCTTTAAATTTTATTTAAAAAGAGAAATTCGATCTTTAAAAATTTCAAACCATCTCTGAAAATGCCTTTTATTACTTGTATATGAAGAATTCAATATCTCTCATTAATATTACATCTATTAAATTCTTATCTTAGGATAAGTCATAATTCATTGTCATACATATATGTAATAAGTAATTAGCGCGCAGAAAAAAATAGTCGAACAGTCAGCTTCTCCAAGTTTCTCATCAAACATTCATGTCTTAATTTAACATAAAAGCATCGGGACAGCTTGATGAATCATCATTCGATGCGTATCTTCCGCGGGACTAAAGTTTAACGAAGAGGAATAAGGGCGAGCAACAATATTTCAGACACCAAGCTGGGACCAAGCGACATCAGCATTCGGCGAAGCCAATCGAACCGTAAAATTGCGGCGCGCGCGAAGAGAAATGTTCAATCTCTATCAAAGCCTAAATAAGAAGGACGAGGGCGATGGGCAGCGGAACCGGGAGTCGGAGGTGACCGGTCACGACCGATTCTGCCAGCATCGTAGCTCCAGTCACTCGAGCACTCGTCGTCGTCGTCGGGCTGTCAATCGCAGGACGCAAAGCGCCACAGAGCTGAACGCCAGGGCGATGAGCTCGGCGAGAGGCTCCCTAAGACGGGGTCGCAGCGTGAGCACCGAGGACGACAACGAGAGCGAGGACGACAAGGGTAATCAGCTGGCGAACAAGTTGGACAATCTGGCGCGGCTCCTCTTCAGCCGCGTCTCGGCGGCGCGAGGATACAAGGATCAAGGCGACGTCAAGTAAGTATATTCGAAATTTACGAATCATCTGTTAATGGTAGATTCCTAGGATGATTTGAAGATGATTTTTCCTCATTGAAAATGTCGAGGCACCAATAATTTTCGAGCTATAAGCGATGATTGAAAATAAGGGATTTTTTACTAACTGTGAGCCTTGTAGAAATGAAATATTAGCAAAATCACGTTTTTCAATTACTTTCAAGTAGAGTTTACTTTAATAGAATTTTAATTTAAGGCTTAGTTACAAAGATATATGATAGCAAAAATTGGAACATGCAAAAAATGATGGTCTCTCTCGATATTTTCGCTGAGGAAAAATCGTCTCCAAATGATCCCAAGAATCTGTCAGATGATTCGTAAATTATAGGACACCCTGATGTATATATAGAATTATATATATACAAAATCAAGTTAAATAGAAAGAAAAAATAAAGTATCGGTTTTAATCTTGCACGAAATTTCTCGATTAAGATAAACTGACGAAGAAATTTATAATTTATGAGTTATGATAAAGATCTATGAAATATTATGAGTCAGGAGAGATCGATGAAATGTTATATACGATATAATGATATTACAGAGTTATAAAATTATAAATCTGCATATAAGAAGAGTTCAAAAATTATGAAACTGAAAAAAAATATAGCGAATGAATTATGAATTATGCAATATTGAGAAAATGATTAGAATCTAATAAAATTGGAGAGTTATTAGAAAAAATATATATATAAGATATATATTAGAAATTGTGTGATATATCTATTATAATTCAGAATAATCAATATTCTCAGATTAAGAAATATGTTTTAAATAATATGATTATTACATTTATATAAAAATAATATATTTATGATATATTTAAAATTGATTAAAATTATTTCTTTTTGTGTATATTGAACGTGCAACTGTGATTACATTTGTGTAAAAGAGAAATTTGCATCAAACGTGAAATATAAATCGCGTAATGTTCAATTCAGTCATCTGTCTCCCTAAAGTGAGATATGCTATAATCCCTCGCCGAGAGATTTATCCCCTCAGGCTATGTATATATATATAATTCAAATATAGCAATAGTATAGCATCTCCTCTCTCTCTCTCTCGCTGTGTGTTTTGAATCAGTTATTACTTGTTGCTTCAACAAGTAATCAACAGGCATTTGGTTGATTGACAATATTCATGTCGCTCTATATTAATGATTCCGTCCTCGTTTGCTCTATATAGTGATATCCTGCCTGATATCAACTACTGTGGTATCATCTATATTTCACTATAAATCAATCGCTACATTTATACGAATCTTCTAGCTTTCGTATTTGTTTGTAAACTTTGAGATCGCTTCGAACATCCTTCATGACATATATTAGAGTGATTTTCCTCTTTCGAGAATTTATTATCGCGTTATAATTAAGACGTTTATGCCGTTTTATGGAAATGTCTGATTGATAATGATGAACAGTCAGGATCATCGAGAACCAGCGATAGACAATCGTGATCGGGTAGACGGAAATTTCCGAATTCCTGTGCGCAGGTAAAAAGCAAATATGCACACACAGAGTGTTTTGGATTTTTTTCATCATCTCTTTGATTCTTCGCAATTTCCAGACAAATTCGTTCGTTTCTTTTCATCTTTTTTTTTTATTTTCTAATAACTTGGAATAGCGATGATACCTCTGAGACACTCTGTGTCACAATCTTTAATTGAATTATCGTGTCTCATCATATATATAAAGATTGACTTACACGATGATGTACAGTGTGCGATGACCTTTTTCTTTTTTTTCTTTTTTTTTTATTGGATGAAACCCCTTGCAGTCACAGAGCAACCTGGCGCGTTAGTGACACGCGACCGCATCGTAATCCGTGGCTCGCGAATCTAATCCGCTTTTGTTGCAACCAGAGGCACGATAATGCACACGAATTGTCCATCAGGCAAGCACAAAACTGCGCAACACGTTTAGATGACAGGTAAAAAGGTTTTTTATACGATAATATATAACAAGGTATACAAAATAATATTAAACTTTGGCAAATAAAAATATAGGTCATGGAAATATATATGTGACTATGTTTACCTGAATTAGTATCTTAAGACATCTACTTTTACATTTTTTTATTTATTATTATTATATATATTTTTTCCTTTAATGTGGTAACTATACGAAAAACTTTTTCGAAAAAGATTTTAGTATCTGATAACTGCATTCTAATCATATGTCTGTAATGTAGAAAAATAATATAAATATAAATATAAAAATGTAAAAATAATTATTGAAAAATATATATGAAATTTAAATATAAAAATAATTTAAATCCGAGAATCTTGAACTATCAGAATGTAGAATAATTTATTCGATCGCGTGATACAATTAAAATAATATTATAACGCTCGCGCGTTTTATTTTCTGAGTGAAAAAAAATCGGATGGAAAAATAAAAAATGGAGATGAATAAATGATTAAAAAAATTTACATATATTCAACAGGAACGGGCGTTACACGGCGTTGAATCATGGATCGAAATCTGTCAACGAGGATGGAGTCGAGTACATGGAAATGGAAAAAAAATCTCGCGATCGTGCTTTATCAATCTGCCGGGATTACATCGATAAAACGCCGCGTTTTGTTCTCATCAAGCAACTTAATAATATCGGTGAGCCTCTCCCAATCACTCTTTTTCGAATCCATCGAAACATCCAAATGACAAATGAAAATATATAAATAAGCTTCGTAGCATTCTTCGACAAATTTTTTTATAAAACGGAATAGAAACAAATAATTAAAAAAGTTTAGAAAAATAAAAAATAAAAATGTAAAAAGTTACTAATAAATAGAAACGTAAGTTTTCAAATATAACAAGTTTGTAGGCGATCAATTTTTTATGTACTTGGAAACTTAATTTTTGTCTCTTATATTGGTGACCCTAAGAAGTGTCTTAAAAAAGTTTGTGTAAAGAAATGCTGTTAGAATTGTTAAAATATCCTTTAGGATCAAGGGTGGACAAATATTGGTTCATGGTGAGGGACACGTCCCTGAAGACGGATAGATTGCTGACTTTGGTGCCATTGAATCGAAGCTGCCCGCTGTCCGTCTGTCCTTCCACTAAAGATATCCTGAACAATCTATTCCTGGCCTTACAACACCCTTACATCTGTCCTGTTTTTCACGTCGATTTTCTCGAGTACGAGGACCAAACGTACATTGTCCTGGTACAGCCTATCAACCAGGGTAGTCTTAAGGATCTAATATACGGCGTAAGTATATCATTTTTGATGTAAAAATATTTAATTTTATATAATGGTTAAAAATTACGCGTACCAAATTTTATTTAAACATTTTTTACCTGATTTGAAATTGATTTTTGCTCATTTTTCTTAAAGAAATATTAATTAAAAGTATTTCAAGATTGTTTTGTAAAATAATTAAGGTAATTGTTATACATCTATATATAGAGATTGACGCATTTCATTTCTAATTACTGAGAACACAAAACAGTTTCGGCATATCCGATCTCCAAGAAAGTATTTTTTTAAGGAAAATATACTGTTTGACAGATTGAACGAAACTGCTGGAACGAGGAATGGATTCATAAATATGCCGCACGTGGCAAAAGACTTACATTACCGCAGGTGCAACGAATGGGACGACAGATTTTGGAAGCACTGATGTTCCTGAAGGAACGAGGATTTCCTACGGTGACTCATCTTCATTCCGGTAACGTGGTGATTCAGAACGGCGTTGCAAGACTGGCCGGTCTAGAGAATAGTCTTCTAGGCTTCACCAGTCGAATACATCCCATTGTAACGTCTCGATTAACGCATTCCACCTCGATCGACATTATCTGTTTTGGTACATATAAAGCAAAACATTAATTTAGAATTTTCAAAAAAATTAATATAATTTTCAATTACTTTTTAAATTATATTTTTTAATAGAATAGATTATATATATATTTTTTTTTTTTGTTGTATGTTTCAATTGAGTGAGATCTTTTAGGATATGTAATGTTACATTTTATTATTTTTATTATTTTATATTATATTTCAATAAATGTGTCATCTATTTTAGTATTTACAATTTTTAATCAAGTTTTAATATGATTTCTTTTAATAAAATATAATATATTTTATAATGAATATATGTAATAATGAATTTGTAATATTTTTTGCAAAAAAATCTATCGGTTAATAAAATTAATTATACGAAAGATTTTATTGTTTTTGGAGAGCATCTTGTATATTAATAGATGATATAAATTATTTTTATATTATCAGGACATATGCTATTCGAAATGTGTGCCGGTTATGAATTATCTACCTTCAGACCATCTGCCGTCCAGTTATCAGAACTCGAGATGCATCCGCAGGTATGAATTGATAAACAAGATAACAATCAGATATATAATTTATTCACAAAATGAGAATCTCCCAATACATACCCATATATTTTAATTGTAGGTCTTAAGGTTTCTCGAGTTGATATTCACGGAATCGGAGCATCGTTTTACCAGCATAGAGGAATTGTTGATGCATGATCTTTTCAGGAACATTGATCTTCGTGAAATGCGATGTTCAGCCGTAACTGTAGGTATCAAATTTCTTTTCATCATGTGATTTTTACTTTGCCGAAATTAATGCAATTAATTAACTTCAGGTATTTCGTCCGACTTTGACGCCTTCCATAATGAGCTTGCTTGATGATATTAAACGGCAAGACGCTGGAAAAAAGTAAGTTTAAATTTTTATATTATAATTTTATATAAGTATATATTTATATATATATATATAAAACAAGTTAAATTGTATAATATTTAATGTATTAAATTCTACTTGTGTATATCTGTATGAATTTCGATTCACAAATAATCATTGGTATTGCAAATAATTTATTTTGCATACACAGCTGGCATAAGACACGCTCTATAAGCGATGTCCATTTAACGCGCAGATTTTGGTAATGAATGATCAATTAATTGCGCTGATTAATAAATTCAAAATTGAAGAAACATTATATGTGCGCTTTATTCTTTTTTTTTCAGAATTATGAATGTCGACAACGAAGACGCTGAACCAAATATTACTAAACGAATATCAATGAACAGCTCTGAATACGACAGCTCCTTACTCACGCAGATATACAACGAGCTTTCACAAACAGCTTTATAATGTAGGAACAAAGTCTACACATATATATGTATATTTTATCTCGAATAAGAGTGCACTTCCTATTATACACACTTGCAAAGTGCCAAGGAAATGATTATATCATAACCGCTTTTATTAAAGTGCTTGTTAAAAGATTTGTACAATGATAATGTAGTGTGAAATTGATTTGCGTGCTTTCTTTGTATTGAACGTGCTTATTTATTGATACAGATAAGAAAAAAAAATTGTAAGCTGTTAAAAATAATTATTTTTCTGATTATTGAATTTAATTCTAGAAAAAAAGTCAGCAATTCCCTATCTATCTAATATTTGTTTTTTTTTTCTATTTATAATTGTTTTAAATTACTGTGAGGATTATAGTAGCAAAAAGTCGTAAAAAAATAGTAATAAAGGAAATTGGGAAAAGCGCAAGTTGAACTAAGCATCATTCGAGTTTGGGTCATTTCTTTATTATTCACGCTTAAAACGAAGTAGAAAAAGTACTTGGCATGTCCTAATCTTACTTGAGCTTCCTCTTCTGTGACAGAGAAATAATGCCTTCATACAAAAAGATGATTTGTAATAACGGGTAGAACTAACAGTTATTCTGTTCTAGCTAGCTTTTATCAACCAGCTAGTTTATTCAGTTGTTTTTTTAACATAGCCAAGTCGTCATCGTGAAACAATAATACTCGCTATTCGCAATTGCCATTCAAGAAGATATAAATCCATTTAGTCAAATGCGATAAAATGTCTATTGTTTATCTTATCTATCCAAAATGTGTTCATGGAACCTCCGAAAATATGGTGATAAATTTTTTTTCTTAATTACAACATCTTTCGTGTTAATTTACGCACTAGATCGATTAAAAGCGAGGATTATTATTTCTCGATGGAAAGAAATGTGTGTCGTCGTCTGTGTTGTGTCAGTTGTTATGCCAAAAGATTTAACAACATGACGCGCAATTGTAGCTGCGCTTATAATCCTCAATCGATGGCGATAATTCAAAACGACTCGAATTACATTCCGCGTTATGAACCGCCAGTCTCGATTTCGCTGCCCGGTGTTTCGGGTTCTTCATCGTTGTAGATATTTTCTGCCATTTGCCACACTTGCATTATATTATCCTCCGATACCGAGCATATAACCCACGGTTCGTTCGGATTCCATGAAAAATCACTAATTTTTGCGGTATGACCTCCGTGTATGAACTGTAAAAAATATTTAGTTTAAAGAAAATGAGAATTAAATATTTCGATTCTTAATTCCAAAAGAATCGCGAATAATTATAAATATTTAAACTAGAAAACGAAAGCAGTAGAAATTTACATGTTCTTTTATTTAAAAATTCTCTTTCTTAATTATTAATTTTTTTGTCAATTAAATTTCCATTATTACCAAAAGTTCGGGTGGTCCGTCTTCGGCATCCTCGCTCGATTGCTCCTCGCCGATTTTGCTGAGATCCCAAACATGCAATCGTCTATCTGTGCCACTGCTCGCTAATATCGTCTCGTTATGTGGCGACCATTGAACCTGGAAGATCTCGTCTTTGTGCGATTCAAACGAATGTAACTTCAATTTTAGATTTCGCAAGTCCCAAAGTGCAACAGTTTTGTCTGCGCTACCAGTAGCCAGTATAAATTCGGAATATGGATTAAAACTGAGACAATTCACCTCAGCAGTGTGAGCGTCAACAGTATGACTTGGTTTACTAGTGTTGTTGCATCTGCACATATTAAAATTTGACGATAATGTACATCATTAAATAATCGTAATTTTAAAAGTATTAATGTTAATAGAGACTATTGACTTCATAAATATTAATAGAATATTGTATGTGTATTATGTATATGTAATTTTTTAAACATTGCTTTTATGTTAATTTAAAAAACACATAATATATATATATGTAATATTCTATTAATATCTAAAAAGTCAATATTTTATTAATATAATTAAATTAAAATATTTTAATTTTTTTTTAAAAACTTAAATTATTTAGAAAATATTTATTACAATTATATATTATTAATGTAAAGACTTAAAATAATTACCTAGTATCCCAAATCATGAGCTTTTGATCATCAGCAACTGAACCGAATAATGACTCATGTAATAAATGCCAAGCTACATCCTCGACCACAGCTGTATGGCCTGTGAAAATGGTTTTAGCGTCGATAACACGATTTTCTTTTGGGGTAGCATTGATGTCCCATAGACAGATTGTATGATCGTCGGATGCACTAAGCAGATATCCATTGAGATTCGGATTCCATGAGAGACCATAGCCTTCCTTTTGATGTCCTCGTAATCTGCACACATGTATAATTACATTATAATAAATACACAAATACAATTAAATAATAATGATAAGAGTATATTGCGTGCATACCTCAAATCTGGATGACATTCTCCATTGGGATCTGGTTTACTTGGATGTTTGGTATAATCAAATACAAGCACATCACTTGAAGGAGTTTTTGTTGCAATCACACATGGATTCTGTGGCATGTATCTCGCTCTGTTGACCTCGCCTTCATGATTAATCTTGATCTCGATTTCAATTTTGCCGCTTACAGAACCAAATCCACCAAATTCACCCTTCTCGTTATCGTAATGAGAAGCATCAAACTGCGCATCTTCATTTGGAAGCTGGACGCTAGCAATGAGCAAGTGATTCTGTTCATCCGAAGTATGGGTACCCAAGATCAATCTATGCACTGAATAATCCTTTCCTTCTGGCCGGGTGACATCTGGCAGCCATTGGGCAGTCAGAGAAGGCCATTCCAGAGCGTGTGTCATCACCAGATCGTATAAAAAGGGTGTATTTTTCTTCCATATTTTGTATTCTTCATTAATAATACGTTCCTCTACTGCATCGTCAAAACCTTCTAAACAGTTATCAACTATTTAAAACTTTATACATCAAAATTCTGTCCACAAAACAAATAAATGAGATAATATATAAGTACATTATATATAAATATATATAAAAAAGATATATAAATATAATGTATCACAGAAGGTACATATCTTTAAATTCTATATATATATATATATCAATATATACATATCAATTTATACACAAATAAATAAATTTAAATTATTATAAATGCACAATATAATTAAATGCAAATACACAATCGTTGTGCACTTTTAAAAATTAAAAATACCTAACACTTGCATACAATTTAAATAAATGAACTCGTAATATATCATAATTACGAACGGCAATTTCCACGGCCAAGTAAAGGAATATTTCTCATGGTGAATGAAGTACGTTTTCAGTTTCGAGCGCGTTAATGCAACAATTTCGCAAAAACAATTACAAGAACGCGGCGCGTTCAACCGGCTTGTTACATCGTCAGAAACATTCGCTATATCGTTTAGAAATCCCATCGAGAGGCGGCATTCTCGTTTCCGAGAGCCATTGACACGGCGCTTTATAACCGTTGTGTCGGCAACGTGTCCGAGAGAGCGCGAAACTCTCTCACGAATTTTCACACCCGGACAAACCACGTTGTCGTTCAAATTTTTCTTGCGCATTCACCAGCGCGAGAAAAAAGAGAAAAATTCGTTCGTTCTTTCGGACGTTCTTTCGCGAAAGAGCAGCGGAACGACAGATCGGGGCGTCCTTTCGCGGAAATCGCCGATCGCCTCGCAAATTTGTTTAACATCGCGCGGCAAAAAAAATAAGAGGCAGAAGCACGTGAATCCTTACCGCCGTCCTTGTCCGTCATCATTTATCCCTCCGTGACAGGCGCGAAGACGACAGGAGATGATCGCAGGACGAAGCACTGCTTGGCAAAGTCCGGCCCGCCAAAATCGACAAAACACAGCAGAGTCACACCGACACTTGAACGAGAGACGCTCGGCCCGATATTGCCGGAGAAGCATCAAGTCCCGTCCGCAATGCGGCGACATCGGCGACGCTCGATTCCTATTGGCTGCGCCGGAATCTCCTTCGCCCTAGCTTATGGATTTTGCATTAAGCCTGGACAAACTTGTGGAGGAAAATCGATATAATTATTATTATTTTTCGATGTAAATTATGTATTGCGACAAAAATGCTGTTACTATTATGAAATATATTTATTGTTCATTGCCGTCTCTCTTTATCTTGCTTCTCTCTCAGGGAGAGGTTTCCTAGATTTATTCCAAGATTAATTTCTTTCATAACCACATGTTCATTGGCCAACATTATACATATATCTTCAAGCTCATGCAAATATATATCTGATAAATTTGCATAATACAAAAAAAATTGTATATATGTAAATATATATCTGATAAATTCGCATAAAATACAAAAAAAAAACAAAATCATATATATTAATATATATCTTATGAATTTGCATAAAATACAAAAAAATCAAATTCATATATGTATATAAATATATATCTAATAAATTTGTATAAAATACAAGAAAAATCAAAATTATATATAAATATATGAGCTTGAGGATTTAAATTCAAATTTAAATTGAAATTATTTTTAAACCAAAAAATTAATGTTAAAATATAATTTAAAGAAATGCACATTTATTGTATTATAATTATAATGATCATATCATATGAGAGAATAAAAAGAAATAATTTGATAAATTCAATTTTGTTATATTATCAAATAATTAATCTTTGCTACAGTCTTTTATTCTTTAAATTTATAGAGATTTTATAGAGATAGAAAATAAATAAATATATTACTTGAATACAAAATCATTCTTCATGTATTTCTTGCTTATTCAAAAATGTAATCACATGTTCTGCTAATTCTTTATAAGCCTCTGCCTGTCTAGTTTTTGGAGCTGCTAAAACAATTGGTTTACCATTATCCGAACTTTCCGCAATGCTTTCATGCATTGGTATCTTCTGTAAGATATCTACATCTGTGACATACATATAATTCATATTATATTATCCACATATATATATATATATATCTAATATAAAAATACACCCATGTAAATAATAATATAATGTTATAAATAACATTCACTCAATTATAATTGAGAAAAAATCACATTTTATTATTTATATAATTAATTATAAATATTATATAATAATTACTTACTAAGTTCTTTAGCTAATGATAATGTGGCTTTGCCAAAGAGATTAATCTCAGTCATGCATTTTGGACACATAATGGTGCTCATGTTTTCCACAATCCCAGCAACAGGTATGTCCAATTTCTTGAACATATTTGCGCCTCTCCTAGTCACTTCTAGCGCAGCCTTTTGTGGTGTTGTTACTAACAAGGCGCCAGCAATAAAGAAATTCTGAATAAGAGAGAGATGCGTATCTCCCGTTCCAGGAGGAGTGTCAATTACAAGATAATCAAGCGAGCCCCAGGCCACATGATTCACCAATTTGTCTAATGCACTCATCACCATAAGGCCTCTCCAAACTACCGGTGATTTCTCGTCAATTAAGAATCCCATGGACATGCTGCAAGTAAAATATAAAATTGTATAGCATAGACCCATTTATCGAATCATTTAATGCGCTTAACAATTAATCACCATTTCACACCATAATTTACAAGAGGTTCCATAAGATTCTCTTGATTTATCACAGGTGATTCGTATATATTCATCATTAATGGTATGGAAGGTCCAAAGACATCGGCATCTAGTAATCCAATCGACTTTTTTGGTTCAATAATTTTCAAGGCTGTTGCTAAATTTACAGCGGTTGTTGATTTTCCAACTCCACCTTTACCAGACGCAACTAACAAAATTTGTTTAACGCCCTTTATTCGTTTTCGTTTAGGAAGTCCACGTGCCATGATTTCCTTCTGTCTGGCCTCTGCATTTTCCTGCCTAGTCTTCGCTGTGTCAGTTGTTGTGTTGTACTGAGAAAAGCATGAATAAGAAAGAACTAACAAGATTTTTTGATAAGATGATTATAAATTTTTCTTTTTTTTTTATTAAATAATTTATAAAAAATAATTATTCAATTAAAAAATTTATTAAATAATAAATTTTTAATTGAATAATTATTTTTTAAATCAAAAGATCTTTTAATTGTTTATTAAATGCTTGTCAAGACAAAGTATAAATTCTTCTTTATTAAATATAAGTATAAATTCTTTTTTATTAAATATAATTTTATTGAATAATTAAATAAAGTAATTTTTAAATCAAAAAATCTTTTAATTGTTTATCAAATGCTTGTCGAGAAAAAGTACAAACAAGTTTCATGACATGAGATTTTCAAATATGTATCTAGGAACTCTAATGTCACTTTAATCTTATCAGAATCCTTGCATATTTACTTTTTTGTATCGTTGCCGCTGAAGATGCTTTAAAAATTCGCCTAAACGCGGTCTCGCAATAATATTCAACATTTTTTCACGAGTCAATTTATAACCTCGTGTGCGAAACGCGAAATATACAACGCATCATATCAAAAATGCACAAATCAAAAATTATACTGGCATTTTAAACGTCTTGCTCGTGAAGAGAGTCGAAAGTTTTTATCTTTCCGTTCTTTTTTCTGTCATCGTAATTTCGAAAAAAGTAGCAAAATTTCGCAAAAATAGTCGCGCGGCGAGAGCGTGTGACGCAAGTTTTTTTTTCAAAAGCTTCCATCTGTCAACGTTGGAGGCGCGTTGAAAGATCGGCAGCGTCGTGCAAAAATGTGCGGAAGTAAGTTTTTTATCGTTCGAAACGTCAAAACGTCGCGTCGCGGTTATCATTTCTCCGATAATTTCCGCTCCATCTTTCGCAGACACGTATGTACGCGCATACACACATATTATATATAATACAATTTACACGTACGAGAGAAAAAACACACACACACAGGTAACCTCTAAATCTCGACAATGATTTCCGACGATGACAAATGACAAAAGGTGCGAGAGACGATGAGTCGTCGATTTTTCGTCGCGAAGAAAAAATTCGCGCGCGACTGTCATCCGCGTCCAGCAGAAGACAGCGCGACGTTTTGAACTGTCAGGGTTGGGTCAGGTTAGGATGAAGTGAGGGTAGATTTCTACTTTACGCAAGTTGCGCCCGGATTGCGCTTATTTGTACTTTTAGTACGCTGGAAAAAAAAAATGGCGTCCATTTAATCAACTTTCTGCCGAGCGCGATCTGTTTTGATTGGGACGTGTTGCTGATCGAAATCGATGATGATGATTATGACGGTGTTAATGATGAGACGTAGGTTTGTTTGCGCTATTGCTTTATCTTCGCCGAACGCTTATCGCGTGACGATTTTAATCGAAAGTCGAAGTCAATCCTCGATTAGAGGTTAAGGGAAAGAAGTCTTCCAAGTATTTCATTTTGCAAGAATTTACGGCGGAATTTAATTCTACCATCTTTTCTCGAGCGGGATATTAATGTAGCGAATATAAAATTTGCAGGTGAAGGACGTTGCATTTGACCGTGCAGGGAAGACGGAATATGGGCCTAAAGGCAGCTGTTCAGGCTCTCAAGTAAGTTTCAATGTGCAGCTTCAAGATACAAGACACTTTCAATTTGTATTTGATTAATTAAGTTATTTTTTCTTATTTTATTAATGTGAATTATTTTTTATTATTTTTTATTATTTTATTAATATGTGAAATAAATGTGTTTGAACAGGAAAGCAGAACCATTGAAGGATAAAGTTCAGCGCTGCAAGGATCTGTTGAACGACAATGATGCCTGGGTATGTCAGCAACAGCTGCAAAAGATATATCAACAAGTCCTCATACTGGATTTGGAATACGCCCTGGATAGGAAGGTCGAGCAGGAGCTATGGAATCTTGGATTTAAGAACTACATAGCGACTCTGCAGTCACAGGCCAAGGACAGGAAGAACCCCAAGCGTGGTGAATCGCAAGCATTGCTCAGTTGGTGCTTAGAAGCGGCCAGTGGTTTTTATTTGACCCTGTTACAGGAAATTTGCACTGTATTTGATTTGGATCTACCATTTAGAAGGTACATGATTTTTAATACATAAGTATAATTGTATATATTTTGCGTTCAATTTTATAGAAATTTATTAAGAATATATTTTCATTATATTATTTCATTATTAAGAATATCTAATCAATTCTTCCAGGAAGGGTTATGTATATGGTTACACGTCCCCGTGGAAGGCTGTTGAAAAATTATCTCCACCTCACAAGTCGTCTTGTTTTTATGCTTGCCAATATTGCCTTGTACATTTGGGTGACATCGCACGATATAGAAATGAAAGCAAGCAAGCTGAGATGTTCTATAGACACGCTGTTTCGTTGTCACCATCCAGCGGACAGCCTTATAATCAACTGGCCCTCCTAGAAGCATCTCGCGGTGACAAATTGGGAACAGTGTTTCATTATGCACGTTCAGTAGCTGTCAAGCATCCCTTTCCTGTCGCTACGGCGAATCTCGCCACGACTCTGTCGTCCGCCTTGAACGACAAATCTTTTAATATCGACGGCAAGACCAAGTTGAACTCTCAGGAGTACATCGCTGTCTTTCTGAAATTGCACGGAATAATTCACAATTTTGGCGACTTGAAGCTCGCGTGCTCGTACAGTAAACAGTTGACGGAAACGTTAACTGCATTGGTCGCTACCGAGAGTTTCAGTCCGTGGATGCTGATACAGATGTTGGTGATAAATCTATATGCTCTGCAACACGCGGCCGGAAGTGGCCCGGATAACACAGAATTACTCAAAAACGAACAACTGACTAACGATGAAAAAATGGCCCGTGATTGTATACTGGACCTAATCGCAGGCACTCTGTCTGCTTTATTGTTACCCGTCTATACGATAAAGAACTCTATCATCGAGTATTTTGCGTTGCCTTCTAGTAAGTATACCTTGTGTATAGGTCGCAGTTTTCAATTGATTGCAGATTGCAATAAAATAAGGCACAGCTAATTTTTTTCTTTATAGTAAAACTGTGCCTTGATTGGATCAATATAAAACCCACGGTTTTGGAGGAAGTTGCTTTTACATCAAGATTACAAATATGGCCCAGCCTCTGCGTGCTTTTGAATGCTCTGCAGAATTGTGTGGTGGATTTTAAGCATGACGAGTGTAAGTAATTTTACTTTGCACTGTAAAATTATCTTCTTGCATATTTTGAATATAATTAATGAAGATTTAATTGTTTGACAATAAAGTTTATAGTAGAAAATAACTTTTGGCGTATATAAAAAAATATATATATATTAATATCGCTAAAAAATTCTCTTACTTTTTCTTTTCTTTCTCTCTAAGATGAATTTAATGAAATATAATAAACACAGATGCTGTAGTGCCACTGCCAGAAGATCGCGACCTTCAGGGTTTCTTGCCGTTGGAAAAAAGTTTCGAGAACCTCAGATTCACGAATACTGCGTTGGAAGGCGACACCGCGATGTTAAACAAATTGCGTGCCGTGCGCATTCTGCATCTGGGCCGTTGTCTCGCTCAGAATCGCATCAATGGATCTGCGCCGATCTCGATTACGACGGAGGAGAAGACAGGCGAGAGCAGATTCACATCTATGAGTAACGGCGTTGGGCCCAGCAACGAATTAATGAAGGAACTCGAGGAACTAAGTCTGAACAAGGAACTGAAACAACTGAACACCTCGATGAGCCCGGTGCTATCTGAAGCAGCTAGCAGCAAAAGTTCTACGGAAACCGATGCCGAGATTCCTGTTGATAAGAAGATCTTTCAAGGCATTCTTAAGCCCCAGGGTTCCTTGGAACGGAACCGTGACTCCGAAACCAGCGGCGCCGAGGCATGCTCTCTTCCATCTTCCAGCGCGAGAAAGCCGCGGCAAAATATTGCGATGCAGGCGATTATGCGTCGCGCGGAGACCGAGCAGAAGCAGGTAACGTTCAAGAACGTGTCGCCCGTGATCGTCGAGGAAGAGAATGATAAGAAGACGAAAGCGACGGTCGTTGCACCGATTAACACTTCCATGGCGAATAAACCGACACCGATTCTAGAGATGCCTAAGACTAACGAGGCTTCTAGTACGAACAATTCTGTTGTTAGCGCTCCGACTCGACTGTCAATGATGTCCACTGGTTCGCAGAGCCAGTCCCCGTTAGTTCAGAGTCAGCAGAGATCCGTGAAACCAACATTGCCGCCCAACATCCCCATACCTACTCAATTGGTGGTGGTCAAAGAGCAACAAGCTCAGCAAGTTGCTCAACAAATGCTCCCGCAGTTGCACGCCGGCAATATAACTACGCAGATTACAAATCAACAGACCTCGACCGGATTGGGACCGGTGTGCTATCCGAATCAGTCATTCAACGCACAGAATCCGCAGTTCGCCAACAACTTCATGACGAACCGATCGCCGCATTATCAGATGCAGGGACAGCTTAGCAATAATGGACAACCGGTTACAGCGATACCGCAGAGCATCAACGGGATACATCACTCAATCAGTCAGAGCAGACCTTTGCATCAGAGGATGCCGCAAAGTGTGCCCTCTGTGCAGATGATACAACAAAGCATGCGATTAGGTTCGCCCGCTCAGCCGAGCATGTTGCAGCCTAATATAAATCTGCCGGCGAATAATATGGGGCTACAGGCGAGCATCAATGTGGAACAACAGAATCACGCTATCGGATTGCAGCAGCAACAGCAGCAGAACATAATGCAGAGCAATTCTAGATCGAATAGCATGCACAGTCAGTTGAACGGTAGTCCAGGTATGGCAAACGTGCCTGCGATGATGTCGACATTGCCATCAGTGTACGAGAAGGATCCCCAGCAATCGAGCTTAACAACCCTGGTGAACAGTTCGCAGAGTCCAACGAGCGGATCGAACTTTCAGCTTAATTTTAATCAGAATCATTTTAATCAGAGCCAGACTTTCGTCGGTCAGGGTCCACTGTCGCAAAATCAGCCGTCACCGTCGTTTTACAAGAACAATGCCGAGACGATGGACTTTCAATTCCCAAACCAGAAGATAGTTAACAAGAATCAACCACCGCCGCAGCAACAGCCAGTGACGAATAATTATAACATGTTCTGCAACTACGAGCCGACAGAACACTTTAATTTATGGAGGGACAGTCGACCTCCTCAACCACCAATTGCTTGGTGGGGTCCGGCTGGTAACACCACGGCTCAGATGCACATGAAGGATTCCATTGTTAATGAGAATGCGTTCTCGAACTGGAGCGACTCGTCTACCCTCGGAAATATGGCGAATAGGGTGCCGTTGACGCCGGGTAAAAATTACCAGCAGCAACAACAAAACGGACAGCACGGCAGACATCTTATGGCAGGAAATAATTTCGAGGACTCCAGATTGTTTGAAGTAAGTATTGTCATTATTGTCATCAAGAGTGATATAATAAATATTTTAAAGAAAATTGAGATTAATGTCAAAATTATTTACAGCAGTTAATTTTATATACTGCATTTATATGGAAATTTATTTATATATTTTTTAAATATATAAATTTTAAATAAAATAAAAAATATTTATAATTATGTAGAAATTTATTATATTATAATTGTTTTATATCTCTATGTACTCTCTCTCTTTGTATATGAGATAATGAAGTAAAAACATATGATATCTTCTAGGTTGAGCAGAAGCCGTCCCAACCCGTGAGCACCGGCAATACTTATTCCTTGTTTAGTAGCAACACCTGGAGCACCGTCAACACGCCGATCAATACGAATTCGACCAGTCAAGATCAAATGAAGGCACGACTACATCAGCAGTCTCTGTGGTCTGGACCGGGTCCTTCCCCGTTAGAACGGCTTCTCGAGCAGCAGAAGTCGCTGCGCGAGGGTGGGACCACTTGAAGGGACGCGCCGAAATCCGATTAAAGGAGGCCAAGCAGTGTAATTTCGCATTCAGCGTATGCCGATTTAAGTAATCGCGGCGACGAAAACAAATCACTTAATTATTCGATGCGAGAAATGCGCAAAATTCTCCAAAGATATGTAGAAAGAGTGGATACCGAGCTCGACTATATATAAGATGCAGCCTGTTGTCCTCGTGGCATTATGATATGCGCAGAGGTAATATAATCTTCGTTTATTTTGTAATCGCATGTGACAGATCTACGACAGACTTTAAGTACATTATTGCGTGATTTTTGGATTTCTTGCAAATTAAGAAAAACAAGACGAAGGAATGAAAGACGACGATTTAACCGCAATACTTTAATTTGTATGGAAATAAATAAGCAAGCAACAGGAAAAAAAATTAATAGAGATGCAAAAAATACAGTAGCTTCTTAACGTACATTAATTAGTATGCAGGAAATAAATGAAAACGTAGATGTTAATTACAAGCGAGAGACGCGTGAATTTTGTTTTGCTGATGTATTTAGAAAATTCACAATAAACATGAATGATTGATTAAAACCTTTTCTATTATATCAGCGGTGCACAGTTTTGTTGTTGCAGTTTTGCAGCAGTTTAAATGCCGAGATCCTGTATTTAAAAATTAGATGGATAAATGATAATAATGTTGATCGAACATCGTTTTTGTTTAAATTGTAATAACTTTATTTCACATTATACAAAAATATTTCATTAACAAGTTTTATTTCTGTAATATTATATGTAAGTTATATCACATATATGTCATAATTATATAATACATACATATTGCAGTGTTCTCTCGTTTTGTCATAACAAGTTCTTAAAATTCTCGTTTATTCAACATTTCTGATACTGTTATATTTTGGAGAGTGACTACAGAGAAAGTGTAGCAAGTAAAAAATGTCATTTTTTTTCTCTTTCCTAGTTTTTCAATACAGAATTGTCTTATTATGGTTTTGTAATAAAATTATACGTTAAAAATTATTTGACGAAAACCTGTCACATTATTTGCATGATTGCATCTGTTCCTGCAATCTATGATGAAAAGTTCTTTCTCTTAAATGCTTCTCTAATCTATTAATTAGACAGTATCAATATATAAGACCAAAATATAATCTAAAACTATACTTATTTCAACAAAAAACGCGTTCTTAATCTAACATACTATATTAAATAATTAAAAGTTTGTTTTATATTATATTAATTAAATAAAAACCCTAATTATTTTTATCGGAACATTATGTTTGGTAAAAGCAAAAAATAAAGTTACATTCAATTTTTATCAACAAATTCATAGTGTTCAGCATGCAATTTTATATATATATATATGTCACAAATTGTTTCTTAAATTAAACGTCTTCAAATACGGGCATATCGATATCTTGTGCGGTAGTCTTATAATAATTAACTCTACGCTTTAATGTAAGGTTGCAATGAAAAAAGTTTTTATTGTCGATTATGTGGCGCATATCGTTTACACGTATATGCAGACAATCATTATAAATGCACTCTCTTCTGAGTCGACATGACTTTACCTATTAAAAAGTATAAATTTTTAATAATTTAATATATATTATCAATTTTTATTAGTTTGATATATTATCTACTTTTAAAAAAAAGAAATAATGTTCAATATTAAAAATTTATTTGTAAAAATTTTTATTATTAATCGGAAAATATAAAAAATGAGCTCTCTCTTTATACGAAATCATGTAAATAAGTGTGAAAATAGTATTACCTGACCGCTGTAAGAGGCATTTATTGCTCCAACTGCCTCAAATGTATAAGCAAACTGTTTGCTTACATCAGTACAATTGACAATTTGGACAGAAGCTATTAGATCACCTAACTGACTTATAGTGACATTTAAAAAAAAGAGACCCATCTCTTTGATTTGAAATGCAAAATCATAATCCCGATTCAAGATATATTCTAGACTCCACTTTCTTTTAAATACAGTACCTTTTGTGCTGAACTGTAATTATATTTAATCATGCAGATCCAAACAAGAGAACAATCATCTCAAATCAATTTTAGATCAATGAAATTTAAGAAATTATTATCAATTATAATCAATTTCATCAATTAGCATAATTCATAAAATTAATTAAACAATACCTCATAATATACATCTTTATGGTGATATCTTAAATGACCAATGATTCTTCCATGTGGTAATTCCACTGTGCAGGAACCAATTCGACAAGGAAATGCTCCTTTCCCTACTCTGGGTGCTACATTTATCATTGGCTTTCTTTGTTCACTTCTCGGAGTAACAGATTCAGCTTGATTTACAGGTTCAGTTTGACAAGCAGAAGATGTTGATGGCATGGAGACAATCTCAGTTTGAGTGGCTACGCATACTTTATTATGTAAAATTCTTCTATTGAGCTCATGATATGGATGCAGTAATGACAGCTAAAAGTGATAATACTTTCTTTCAAATTATATCATTTATAGAGCATAATTTAAAAAGGATATTATGCTCAAATTATTCTAGTATATTTTATTATTAGTTTATTGTCATTATATTATTAAGAAAATAATAAGGACTGTATACCTTTATGTCGCTCAATTTAGCTGCCAGTTGTTCTACTGCCAAATTTCTTGTAAGAATAAAAGAGGATTTGCATATAGGACATATTTGTAACTGTACTCTACATGGATGGCATATGTGATGTCCGTTTGTACATTGAACTTTTGTACCTTGCGTTGTATCTAAGCATACAGGACATTGAAGCAATTCTTCTAATGTATCACACCACTGAAATAATCAGAATTAATTATGAAAAAATTATGTATGCTACAGTACAATATAATTGGTGAGAGAGAGAGAGAGAGAGAGAGAGAGAAACAATAAATTTTTTATCTATATATATATGTAAAATTACAACATTATTATACTGGAAAAATATTTATTTCTTGAACATAAAATTAAATGTTATCATGATTTAATTATCAATGAGCAGTTAGTTAATTTGTTGTTAAGAATACATTAAAAAACAATTAATTATGATATAAGACAATAACATATATTGAAAAAATTGTGAATATACTAAAAGTGCTAATATATGTAATATATATATACTATACCATAACACGAATTTCTTCTACCATTGTGACTTAACTCGATTTCGAATTAAAAACACGAATAAAATGTTTAAACAAACAAACGATCGACAAAACAATATTCCTTATCTTATTTATATATGAAATTATTCTCTATATTTCTTTCGTGGCAGGAGGGGGGATTCCCCTTTCTTCCGTTTTTATTATGCTACGATCTACGTTGGAATAAAACTATAGGCAGATTTAGAAGCAAAAATTAAAGCATTATTACATTTATAAGACTTGGATTTGATAAATGAATTTAAAACCGTGTACATACATATTAAATATGTTTTAATATAATAACGTGACAAATGACATATGATATAGGTTTCTCTGATGTTCATATTTATGTAGGTTTATCACTGACTAGGGGGTCGATTGTGTAACTTTTTCTAAAGTGAAAACGTGAAAAGTGAAAAATTTCCACCAATCACGCATTGATTTTAAAATAAAATCGATGTGTGATTGGAAGAAATTTTTCACTTTTCACATTTTTACTTTAGAAAAAATTACACAATCGACCCCTAGGTATCATTAATTAAAATAATGTACATGACAAAAATCCAGCAAAATAAAATTATGTACAAAAGAAATTTTAAGAAATAAAATTATGTTTATATAATAATATATATATATATGTAATATATATATATATAGATATATATATATATTTAAGAAATTTTAAGAAATAAAATTATGTTTATATAATAATATATAATATATATGTAATATATATAATATATATATATATATATATATATATATATATATATATATATAATTTATATAATATATAATAATATATAATAATATATAATAATATATATTATATTATATAATTAATAATATATATATATAATATAGAAATTAGATGAAAAAATTGTGTTCATTATATATATAAAGAATTTATTATAAAATTTCTTCCATTGGTCAAAGTGAATTGGACAGACCAATTGGAGAGCGAGGATCTCTGTCCTGATTGGTTAATCGGACGCATCGCCCTAGGTGAGTATATTTCCGAACGTAATTGAATGGAGGTGCTGCCATCTAGTTCACTTTCGCATTGTTTGTGAGCAAAGAATTTGTAACACCTGCCGATCCGCGAACTCGTGTGAGTAATTTAATATTAGTGCCGTTAATTAATCGGTATAAATGCGATGCATCGTGATCGCGATAGTAAGCGCGAGATTAATCTCATCACGAATTTTGAATATTCTTGAGTCATCATCTCACGTTCATTTAATTGGCCGAATTTCTATTATGTACAATTTTAATTATTTACATAATAGAAATATGGCGAATTAAAATTATGTGTATAATAAAAAAGGAAAAATTAACATTATGTGCATAATAAAAATGCGACAAATTAAAATTATGTACATAATAGAAATTCGGTAATTAAAATTATGTACATAATTGATATATTCGGCGAATTAAAATGATATACATTTGCTGATTATATTATTTACTATTTACGCGCTGAAAACTCCCGCGCGTAGTGATACGTGAAATCGGCCGATTCTGACGTGACGTCACGGCGTCACTAACTTCAGCCAGCGCCGCTATTAGTCAGTGCGAGTCCGGCGGCGAAGGAGGGAAGTGGCGCGCCGGGAGATGTCGCGATTAACCTCTATAGACATCACGAGTGAATTTAAGGACATTTCGATGCGTTTAATGTGATTAATATTCGGACGCTCGCTTTTCCGGAATCGGAAAAGTATATTTTTTCAACAGATATTTTGTTCGTGTTTTTATTCGCGAATGCGATATCGAACGTGATCGAGTGGGATGGTCGAAAAGTGCCGAATGCATTCGCAAGTGATATTATTTTTTTCGTATCGTCCGTTTATTTCGAAGTGCATCTGTGTGTAGTGAAGTGCGAGAAATAATTATTGCAAATATAAAATAATAGAAAAACAGTGCAGTGATCAGTGCCAAACCATATGGGATTACAGCAGAGCAACAGTGGAATATAAAAGTGGATATATGTATAAAAGGAGAAAGGTTTGGATAATCGACCTAATGCAATGTGAGTTAATTTTTTCTTTACATTCGCGCGCACGTATATAGCTTTAATTAATATAGTTTCCGTATTAAAGTATTAATTCTTTAAAGTCAGATGCCACATGTACATAACTTGCGATCGAAATGCTGTCGTTTTCCGTATTAAAAAATTAATTTCTTAAACTCTGGTGCCACATTTACGTTAATATATTAAAGACACGACATTTCCAAGTGTGAATAAAAATCTTTAAGCGAAGATAGATCAATATCGATTTCGAAGCGAAAAATTTAAAAAGTGTCAAACTTTAAGATATTAAAAATTCACATGCTCAGTCGTGTTTGGAATCGATTCTTATTGTTTAGAACATTCCCAATCGAAAAATATATTTGTGGAAAAAACAGAATTCGAAAATCTTGAAATTTGAAGAAAATCAACTTTGACAGTTTTCTTTAAACTACTGTATTTTTTAAAGCGTACAACTACAAGCGAAACGAAAATCACTTTCCACAATTAGAAACGATATTAAATAATACTGCGTATTCGGATTTGCATTATTTTAAAGTTGGGTCACAATTTTAAATTTCGATTTTTACATTGACGAGACTTGCGATCGAAACGCTGTCGTTTTTCGTATTAAAAAATTAATTTCTTAAACTTTGATGTTACATTTACGTTAATATATTAAAGATACGACATTTTCAAGTGCAAATAAAAATCTTTAAACGAAGATAGATTAATATCGATTTCAAAGCAAAAAATTTAAAAAGTGTCAAACTTTAAGATATTTAAAATTTACATGCTCAGTCGTGTTTGGAATCGATTTTTATTGTTTAGAACATTCCCAATCGAAAAATATATTTGTGGAAAAAGCAGAATTTGAAAATCTTGAAATTTGAAGAAAATCAACTTTGACAGTTTTCTTTAAACTACTGTATTTTTTAAAGCGTACAACTACAAGCGAAACGAAAATCACTTTCCACAATTAGAAACGATATTAAATAATACTGCGTATTCGGATTTGCATTATTTTAAAGTTGGGTCACAATTTTAAATTTCGATTCTTATATTGACGAGACTTGCGATCGAAGTACTATCATTTTCCGTATTAAAAAATTAATTCTATAAAGTCACCTGTCAAATTCACATTAATATACTAAACACACGACATTTCCAAGTGCGAATTGAAGTCTTTAAGCGAAGATGTCGATCTTGAAGCGAAAAATTTACAAAGTGTCAAACTTAGAGATATTTAAAATTCTCATGCCGAGTCGTATTTAGAATCCATATTTATTGTTTAGAACGTTTGCAATCGAAACCTACATCGATAAAAATAGCAGAAATTAAAAGTCTTGAAATTTGAAGAAAATCATGTTTAACAGATTATTTAAACTACTGTAATTTTTAAAGCGTGCAAGAACAAGCGAAAGGAAAATTTTTTCACACAACTACAAACAATTTTAAATAAGACTGCGAATTCGGATTAGTTTTATTTTAAAGTTGTTTTTCCGTTGTTTTAATGATTAATGTATCATATATAAAGTATATAGACACATCTAAATTATATGATGGGGATGCAATATTAAAGTATCTGGACATATCTAACTTAATATGTTGGAGAGACAATTTTAAAGTGTTACGACATATCTAATTTAAATTATTCGGGAGACAATTTTAAAATATTCCGACATATTTAAATTAAATTGTTTGGGACACAGTTTTGAAGTATCCCGGCATATGTAAATTAAATTGTCGTGAGTCAATTTAATAATTAAAGTACTTTTAATAATAAAATTTTTAACCGAAATAGATTGATGTCGGTTTTATTTCAGTGGAATATTTGAGGGTATATTCTAGGTGAAATGTGGATAAATATCAGATTATAGATATATTTATATTTATTCTTACAATAGACAGAGAACAATTATAGAATTACTTACAACAATATTTTAACTTAACTCGATACATATATATACAAATTCATGATATGAATGAGTAGTGATCTCCAAGTTTGTTTGCAAATACTTTGCATCGATTTATATAAATGTCCTGAGAGAGAAGGTTTCCATATTTTCTAATAAATTATAATTATAATTATGTATACATATATATTTATATTTAATTAAAAATATGGATTTTTTCCCGGGAATGGATGTTTGTGCGTATCGACATTTATATTAGGTTTTTATTTTCCATTTTTAATAAAAGTTACATACAAAATCGTGTTATATGTACACGCGCGCGTGAGTATTTATAATAACAAAACGATCAAACAGTCTTACGCCGTAGCAAATATTAAAGTTTTATCTCAAGTCATACAACGAGAGCGAACACATTAAACACACATCATTATACGAAATACAATATTACGTTTCTGTCGCAATTGCATAATTTAATATTTCTCGTCAACTAAAAAAAAAACTTAAACTATTGAATTTGATCCAATAATTTAGTTTGAAATCTTCTACGTGATTTATCAATATAATGCAATAAAAGTCCGTTCAATTAAATGATAATGTTAATTGTTGAAACGTCTATTCAACAAGAGTCGAGAGTGACAACTAAAAACGTTCATGATAATATCATCACAAAGTTCACAATTTTTCTCCACTGAGATTGAGTACATTGTAATACGAGTGATCTGGAAACCTATCAAGTTCGATATAATCCGTTTCGTCGAGCAGAAGACCTTCAGTTAGGCTAACAAGTTCGGCGAAGGATGGCCTGCAAGCCGAATCCTTGTCCCAGCAATAATACATGATATTATAGAGCTCTCTTTTACAATGTTCAGGCCTGTCTAATCTGTAGCCCTCTTTGATTCTTCGCATTACCTGGGAAAATGAAAGTATTTTGATGTTAAACAAATAGTTTGTCACGATTTTAATGAATTTAATTTATCTTTCTTTCTAATTATGTTAATCTCAATCAAATAATTTTTATTTCACATTTCCGTATTTCGCTTATTAGTATTTAAATTAATATTTAATCTAAATTTTAGTCAATTCAATTTTTCAAAATTTTATAAATGTGTTTTCCAATTTCAATTTAATTCAATTTATACAAAGCTGCACAGAGAGAATTTTCTCTTAGAATTTATCCTGAAAGTAATGGTAATTGTGGGAAAATATGGTGTTGGAAGAATTTTATAAGAGTTTTACTGATTAACATTTACCGCAATAAAAAATATTAATAGATACATAGTAAATTTTATTATGTACATGGTAAAATTAATCGAGTATATTTTATATCTTATTGTGATAGATATTAATATTTTTATTGTGGCAAATATTAATCAGAAAAATTCTTATAAAAATTTTTCCAATACATATTGTTCCACGTTTACCACGATTTTCAGGGTAAATTCTAAGAGGAAAATTTTCCCTGCGTGTGATTGAGAATTTTATTAAAATTTTGCATAGACTATAAATATTCTTACTTCTGCGGCAGCTAATCCAGGATATGGTGTCGATCCTAAAGTCACGATTTCCCAGATCAATACGCCGAAACTCCAGATGTCCGACTTGACAGAGAATATATTGTCGTATAGACTCTCGGGTGCCATCCACCTGATCGGAAGTCTACCTTCAGATTTTCTCTCGTAAATCTGATTAGCTGCCACATCCCTGGCAAAGCCAAAGTCCGCCACCTTGCATGCGCGATTCTCATCGATCAAGATGTTCCTGGCAGCCAGATCTCTATGAATGATGCCCTTCGACGCTAGGTACTCCATACCTTTGGCGATCTGAATGCAAATAAATAGTAAATGATTCAAAAATTTAATCGACTGTAGATTTTAAATACAAACAGGGTATATATATTTCCTGGAAAAACCTGGAGAACCTAGAATTTTCAGGGACTTTTTTTCTACCTTGAAAAATTCTGGAATACTCGTGGAATTTATTTTGAACTCAGGGAATTTTTTTAAAAATTGCCCCTTTGATTTTATTTTCAAATATACTTTTAAAAAATATAAAATTTGTTAGGTTTATAGAAAGTATATTAAACTATATTTTATTATAAAATATATTAAATTATATTAATAATATATTACAATATATTATTACATTATAATATTATTATATTATTATATTAAAAAATATTTTATTTATGCCAAAAAATTATATATAACAAAAATATACTTAATTTAAAATTGTATTTGAAATTTTTTTAAACTTTAATTTTACTAGGAATTTTGAACAAAAGTACCTGGAAAGTCTTGGAATTTATTTATAAGATTTGAGAGTGTATACACTCTGACAAAGCTCTCTTTATCGTTTACCTGATACACAAATCCAGTAAGATCTCTGGAAGTCAATCCTGCGCCTCCGTGATTTCTTTCTTCTCTGGAGGCTCTGAGGAAACTCTGCAGCTTGCCGCCACTTACGTATTCCAGGATAACGAACATGGGTTCACGCTCGGTGCAGCATCCCAGAAGCCGCACCACGTTGGGGTGAGGATCTAGGTTTTTCATGACTCGCAATTCCTGCGCAAGATCCAGTCGCTCTCGTTCGGTAGCGTTCTCCTTTAGAGTTTTTACCGCTACTATCGTAGGCCCAGGTTTGCCGTCGATGTCCAGAGCCTCGCATTTCCACACCTGGCCGAAGCAACCCTCGCCAAGGATGTTGAAAACCTGGGAATAATTAATTGAAAAATGACAAAAAAGAGAATAAGGCAAAAATGATTATTTAATTGATCGAGCTATTATTTCGGAACTAATTAAAACTTATTTATTTAATAAATTAGTGTATTAATTAACCAGTTAATTGTTCTACTTGGGAGCTTAGTAACACATCCAAGAATTAATTTTATCGATTGTGAAAATCAGTAATAATCGAATGTAGCGATCATTACCTTTAATCTATGCCTGGCAAACTCCCACTTATCCTCCTGCTTGCTCTGAATGCCTGCTTGAGATTCTTTCTCCCACGGCTGATAGCGATTGCTGCGAGCCTTTGGACCTCGCCACCTTTTCAGAATGAGAGAAGGATCGTCTGATAGATTAGAAACGCTGACCGACGCCTGTTCTTTCTGAAAATCGTGGAACACTCTTTCAAACGTCTGAACAGATCACTAAAAATCTTTAATAATTTTTATATATAGATTAGCATATTTTAAGACGGAAAAATTAATTCTTTTCTCGTGTTTCTCTTTACTAGAGTAAATTATTATGGAATTTAATTTAAACTCAGGAAATTTTTAAAAAAATTGCCTCTTTGATTTTAAAATATAGTTTTAAAGAATGTTAAATTTATTAGTTTTGTACAGAGTAAAAATATTAAGTATTTAATAAAGTATTTTAAATAATATTTAAAATACAATTTTGAAATAAATTTATCTGTTATACATAATTTTTAACACAAATGAAGTATTTTTTAAAATAATAATGTAATATAATATAATATTATAAAATATATTTTAATATATACTCTATATATAAAACTAATAAATATTTCTTTAAAACTATATTTTAAATAAAATATTATTTAATTTTACCTGGAATTTTGGACAAAAGTACCTGGAAAATCATGGAATCTTCACGAAATTTATTTCTATATAAGATTTGAGTATACACCCTGTTTATTTTATATCTTCTTTCGAATAAATTTATTTCGCGTACCGTGTCCGCCTTAGATTTGCGGCTGTCGCAAAATCTGTTCCTCAGGGACCAGGCGCCCATGCCGAGGCCCAGGACGAGAGCGCATCCGGCCACCACCGGTATCAGAGTCATTGCCATGTCCTGCGAAGGTGGCGCGGTGGAGGGTGCGATTTTTGAGCTCAATGCAGGACCCTCCACCTCGTTCACCTGGACACTCTCCTCCGTGACGGCGCCAGCCGTACTGCCGCTGACGTTGTTGTCATTTTCCTTGGACTTTGTCCTGTCCAATTCGAGTTTCGTAGTTTCAGGATGAGGATACTGCTTCGGCGGTAAAGGAGGCAAAGGTGAGGGAAAGCTTGGTAGATTTGGTAAACTGAGGAAGGGCGGCCGTATCCGGCCTCCGGAGCCATGTTGGTTTGGAAATGGTGTCCTGTGAAAAATGGAAATCATTCTTTTGAGACTAAATTTATAGAACATATTTTTTAATTAAAAAATATTAAATAAAATGAAACTTCAGTTCAACTGTATAATATATGAATACTTTTCTACACTTTGCAATGTTTGTTTGATCCGTCCCTGATCGTTAACTAAGTGGAGCATGAATAATGGGACGAATCACGTCTCCTTAAAGTCGAATGTTCTTTGTCATTTATGAAAAAAATGCTATTTTTTGATAAACACTAAATAGAATTTTCACTTAGATATTAATTGTTATATTTTGCACAAATATAAATTAATTTTAAATTTATAGAAGAAACATTTTATAAGAACATGAATTTGTATCAAATTAGAATAATGGAATTAATTATATGTAATGCATTTTTATTTTTTACTAAAGAAGATTCTTTTATAATACTTAAATTTTCGTAGAGAAAAAAGTTATAAATTAATAAATGGTTGAGAGATTTAATAAATATTTTGGGTGTATGTCATGAAAAACTAAAACTCAAAAATAACATTATAAATGGAAAAGAATTATTTCTATTTTTCATTTTTTCATTATACATAAAAAATATAACATGATCGAGAGACCAGAAATCGATATGTTGCATTTTATCAAATCGCATTTATAATTATTATTTGACCGATATATATAGATTAGAAAATATATTATTGATTTAAAAAGATGTTAAATATTATATATATATTTTATAATTATATATATATATATATATATATATTTTTTTTTTTAATTGCAATTTTTTTACAAATTTAATTTCTAAGATTGATGCATATTTTAATTAATGGAGATAATTATGGAGAATTTTCTACGTTCTATTTTTCTTAAAAACCAGCGTTTAAATACATCGAACTTTTTTTAAATGTGATGTACAATAAATTGCAACAAGCTATCAAAAACTATATCGAAAACTATAGTGTATGTGTGCGTGAGCACATACGCACCTTGTTTTTCCTCGATTCGGTGCCGATGCGTTCTTGATGTTGACGTAAACCTCAGTCTTCGCCGTGAGCTGACCATCGGAAACGGTCACGTAAAGGAACAGGTTCTGGCCTCCCTGGAAAGAGAAGAATGAGCAAGAAGCGTAATTCAAGCGTCTCGACATTGGAGTATTCGCGAACACCGTATAAGTAGATAGGTCGTGCTTTTATCCAATATCAAAGACAGCACATTTCTTTTTACACAATACATTTTTCCAACACAAATTTATTCGATCGCGTTCGATTCTGCTACGTTCGATAATATTTTTTGTTATAATTTATTTAGAATACATATTTCATACACATTTTCTAATTTACATCATGTGATATATAAAAATATTACTCTCATTTTTTATATATTTTTTTATCAAAATTATATATATTTATTATATTACTTATTTAGTTATTCGAGACTTTTTTGGAAAACACAAAATTTTAATACAAAATATAATTTTTGTAATATCGATAATCGTCGAAAGTACTCACCCTTCCTTTGAGAGTCTCGTTGAGAAAGACGGTACCGGTGCTGTTGTCGATGAAGAATGGCAACGGAGGCTGTGGACTGTCGTCCCCATTGTAATTGTGCCCGAGCGGTTCCAGACCATAAGTCAGCGTGTTCTCCTCGTTGTCCTCGGCGCGAACCCTGGTCACGATGCTTCCTACGGGTTCGTTGTCCGGAAGCACCCAGTTTCGATCCAACCACATTACGGGCGGTGTATTGTCGCTGAACTGACTCCCTGCAAGTGTAAAATATAATTGATTAGCAGTCTGCGACTTTAAAATATTCGAACTTCGATATTATAATGTTTTACGGACATGGAACCTGCTTGTGGAGAGTCTTGAAACTTTGGAAATTATTTGAAATATACATGTGAAACTATATTTGAAATTTTATCGGATATTTTAGAATTTGACATTTACAGTTTTAAATTTAATTATCTAGAACAACACAAGCGCTCGATTAACATTTCTTGACAGTTATCAGCTGATTTCTGTCAAAAAATATTATTTGCGTCAAAGATATTATTACAACATATTATTTAGAACATATTACTATCTTAACATTTTTAATATAATATCATTTCACACACATAATGAAATTAGCAAATTGACACTTTAATCAGCCAATTTCGGCAAGAAATATTAATAAAAAGGTAATTTGCTAATTAAATTATAAAATAATAATATATTTAAAAATTAAAATAGTAATAACATATTGTAATACCTCGTAATCGATTAATATCTTTTGACGGAAATCAGCTGATAACTGTCAAAAATATTAACCGAGTTTAAAGTAATATATTATGCATATTATAACATATTATTTAATACATTAGCTGCATACATCGAAACTCATGGCAAAAGTACAATGAGCAATCTTGTATAGAAATCGACGAGATCTACAAGTTTGCCTTTGACTTATCTGCGTAAGATTCAGATTCTTTTCGAAGATATTGCTGTTTAATTTGATTGTCATGTTTATCGAAAAAGCCTCGTTCTAGAGCAAAGGTGAAAAGGGAAAAAATAATATTTAAAAAAAATTATATCAAGTTTGTTTAAACTCGATCAAAACGTTAATTTGCTAATTAAATTTTAAAGTAAAAATATGTTATAAGAATTTAAATCATAATTTTATTAATAATATGTTATAATACTTTAAACTCGAGTAATATTCTTTGACAGAAATCAGCTGATAACTGTCAAAAAATATTACTCGAGTTAAAGAACTATAACATATTATTTAAATCATATTATTTTAAGTTTTATATATATTATTATTATTTTAAAATTTAAATAGCTAATTAACACTAATCAGCTGATTTGTGTCAAAAATATTTGTAAAGTATTAATTTGTTAATAAACTTTTTAAATAATAATATGTTGTAAATAATACGTTATAATATTTAGTCCGTGGAATAATACTTTTTGACAGAAATCAACTGTCAACAATATTTAAAATAAGTATTATATTTTATTTAAAACATATTAGTTTTAAAAATTGTTCATATTTTAAATATAATTTAAATTAAATATAATTGAATGATAATATCATTCTTTTATATCTATATGCATATATATATATATATATTATATGTATAATTTTCTTTTTTCTGTTATCGCCGTTTTAAGTTCTAAAAGATTTTGTTTTAATTTAAGTCATTATGATTGTGAGATTCCAAACAGAGGTATTAATTTAGAATGAAATAGAATAGATTGAGAGATATTTAGTTCGTCGGTAATCAATGGCCCCCTCGTCACGGAAGGTTGACAACGCGACTGAAATACCGTTCAAATCGGCTTCGATTCCTCGCAAGCGCGTTTCGAGCGCGAACGCGCGGCGAGAGCCTCGTTCCTTTACACGCTCGAGCTCTAATTAGCCGCGAGTTTACCGAACGATAATGAGAGAGAGCAGCGGGTGGAAATGCGCGCGCACCGAGAGATCGGCCTTGATATGCATTCCTTCCTGGATTTCGAGTTCATATCGCCAAGTAGACTGTGACCCTCCACAGAGATTTTGTTCTACGCATTTTCGGCTACGCGGTTTCTTAATACGCATAATTAATCTCTTTGAAAAATTATTCACGTATTATATTTTCATGTATACATAAATTCAGAATTATCATATATATTGTTATATATAAAGTTAGAATTGTATATATATTTTGTCCTTTTCCAAATTAAAAAATATCGTATTGCTTTAAAAATTTATTCGAGAAAAGAAAATTCTCAAGAGAGGAATATTGGAGATTTGAAAGGTTTGTAAATCTTAAAACTTTTTTCATCGTCCGTGTTTCATGCAATTATACTAACTTACTATTTTACAAAGCACAATTGAGCAAGAAAAGCGAATATAACTGGACCTCGCGACGTTCCACATCAGCTGACTGCGCGTTCCCGACGAATAATCATTTCGTCATATGATTTCGCGGTAATCACATCCCAACGATCATTACTTATTAGGAATGATCGAACCGACAAGTTATGTTTAGAATAGAAAGTCAGTCGGTGAAGAGCGTTATGATACCAGCCGGCCGATCTTGATACGGCGCGAAAGGCGCGCATATATACTAAGAAATAGAAAGTGCATCGTGCAACAAACAAGAATGCGCTCGCGATTTGTTTCAAAATTCAGATTTACCTCGGATTCGAAATACGGATTCTCATATAGGAACAATCAACAGAATTTTATCTTCTTTTGCATTGCATGTTCTCTTCTTACACATAATTGACGTCTCTAATTTTAGTTCTGTTATTAGACGACCCGAACCCTTCAGAATGTCCTCACAATTAATATTTGCTAATATATTTAAAAAATAATAAAATTAAAATATTTGTAAAGTATTAATTTGTTAATTAGATTTTAAAATAATATGTTGTAAATAATGCGTTATAATATTTTGTCCGTGAATAATACTTTTTGACAAAAATCAGCTGATAACTGTCAAAAATATTTAAAACAAGTATTGTAATATTTTATTTAAAACATATTAGTTTAAAAAATTTTTTTATATTTTAAATATATAATTGAAATTAAATATGATTGAATAATAATATCATTCTTTTATATCTATGTACATATATATATGGTTTATTTTCTTTTTTCTTTTATCATCGTTTTAAGTTCTAAAATATTTAAACTTTAATTAAATTTTAATTTAAAATTAATTGTAGAAATTTGTAAGAGAAAAATTTGAGTGAAAAAGATTAAAGAAGATTTGCGACCCATTATCGCTAGAATTATACTATTGCATAGCTTAAAACTCATCGCGATGCATCCCACGCTGCGTAATGTGAGAAAAAAAGAAGATTACAATTAAACGACTTTGTTTTCGATGTAATAACCGTTCTCTCGAGTCAATGAGCTTCTGTCGAGGAAGGCACGACGAAGTATTTTTTTTTTTTTTTTTTTTTTTTTTTCGATGAAGCGACGTAAGCGTGACGATCTTTTCATAATGGCAGAGAGCCGGCTTCGCTTCGCGTTCTTCTCACCCTTTGCGCCGCCGTAATCATAGCGATTATTCATGAGAATATAGCGCACACCGTAACTGTATTCTCACGGTGCAGTGACTTCAATACCGCTATAACGCGTATGAGATGAAGTCGGCGTGCGCATTGTAATGCGACGCGCCGTCATATACGTATTCGTATCAATGTCAATCGGCGTCACGATCGGATAAAAATAAAAAATTCCTCATCGACCGCTCGAATAAGTGCGTGTATTAACAAGGTGACGTGGAATAGTACCGTAAACCGCGGTTACATTGTCGCACGATGACTAATTTCTTGATATATATTTTTCTCTATTTACTTTGAATATATATGGATAGGATATGCGATGCAAAAGGGATTAAAAACGATGCTGATGTAGAGATAAAAGATCGTAATTAATCAGGTTTGATAATAATTACATAGCAAAATTTTTTAAAATTTATAAATATATATTATAAATATACAGGATTTAAATGAAAAAAACATATATGGATACCTCACCGAAAATGTCGAAGAAGTCATTATTTTTTACATGTTTCTAATTTTGTATTTTGTATTTTTGTAATTAAGTAAATATCTTAAATTAACATTCTATTAAAGTAAATTCCACTGAAAATTAACTCAAAAATATAGTTTTGTTAATATTTTAATTCTACAAAATTTAGTTTGTGAGAAACTCTTCTTTTTCAATCATTGATAACTTGAAAATTATTGATGCCTCGACATTTTCATTGACAATGAGGAAAAATCGTCTTCAAATTGGCCACATAATTTGATGGAGTGTTCCATGTATGTTTTTCAGTTACATCTTTTATATTTTAAATTTTATATTTATTTATAATAACTAAATATGGATGTCTCTTCTGAGAAATTTAGAATGGATTTTTATATCGATAATAAAATCATTCATCGTTCAATTAATTTCAAATAAATTTTAATTTGTAGAGATGTAGAATATATTTCAGCATTGTTGAAAAATTGATATATTAACATATTTTTCACCAATATTTTTATCGTGTTTTTTATTTTTTATTTCGGAAAAGGTAAATCATGCAGATTGCGCAAAGGGTGAACTTGCAGATCGCTGAGAAGATATTAAATAATATGTTATAATTTTCAAAACTCGATTAATATTTTTGACAGTTATCAGCTGATTTCTGTCAAAAAATATCAACAAGGATGATATATTATAATATGTAATATGTTATTTACATATTACTATTTTAATTTCTTTAACATATTATTATTTTAAAATTTAATCAGAAAATTAACCCTTTATTAACATTTCTTGACCGAAATCAGCTGATTAAAGTGTCAATTTGTTATAATTAAATTTTGAAATATTATTATATTAATAATATTAAGATAGTAATATATTCTAAATAATATATATATTATAATACCTTTGACTTAAACATTTTTTTACAGAAATCAACTGATTAAACTTTAAAATAATATGTTTTAAATAATATATTATAGTTATTTAAACTCGATTCATATTTTTAACAGTTATCAGCTGATTTTTGTCAAAAAATATTTAAGTTTAAATATAACTATAATATATTATTTAAAACTTATTATTTTAAAATTTTATTAGCAAATTAACGCTTTATAATCAGCTGATTTCTGTCAAAAAGATTAATGGAGTTTAAATAAACTTTATATTATTTTTTTTTAATGTCAATCTTCTAGTAATAGTACATTATTAAAATTCTGATGTTGATAGAGGACAGTCTATATAAAATTA